GATTGGGCCGTTCTGAAAAGGAGTTGTTTTAGCCCAGAAGGAGTTGTTTTTAAGCTCGCGATCGTTTAATCAACCGGCCATGTTTGATTGGAGTTAGATTGGACGGTGGGGGAAGGGCAAGAAGACGCAGAGGAAAAATCTTTCCAGTAGATACTTATGGTGCCCTCGTAAAGTAGCCGAGTGGCATTACCGTCTAAGTTTATTTGTAGTTCTGTATACCATACTATTTTTGGGCTTGTTGGGCCGTTCTGAAAAGGAGTTGTTTTGGCCGCGGTGAGATGGGCAGAAATAGCCAAAACTTCGACATAAGGGGCTGTTATGGAGAAATGAGGGGTAGTTTTGGCTTTTAAAGAGGTCGAAATTATTGTAGTGTAATGGCTTAATCGGCATCACTCTTGATAGGAGCTGTTTTGGACATAAATTATGTAAAACTTCCCTATGAAAAGGGCTTAGCCTGCTGTACAGGCGTTATATTAGTGTGAGCTAACGTTATAGGCTCGCGATCGTTTAATCGACCGGCCGTGTTTGATTTGGAGTTAGAGTGGACTGTGGGGGAAGGGGGCGGGGAAAGGGCGAGAAGACACCTACCCGAAGAGGTTGTTGAAAAGCAAAACACCCCCTGAGTAGTTGCGCGTCACTGCATTCCCGAAATGAGTAGGCAACCAATCAAAATGATTTAAATTAAAAACCGGAAGCATTGTCATCCTACAAAAACAAACACACATAGAGCCGATGAGTGAAAAGGTGAAACAGTTTTTTATTTTCAGGCAGAAAAGAATTGGCCTCGACAATACCTCCTCTGCGGTCACAAATATGAGCTGATATTTGCTGCACTCCATATTTTCTAAACGAAAATCTTTGAGTATAGCCGCTGTTAATCTATTAGACGATTTTTCTTTTTTTCTTCCATTTGGTCGTAAACGATACTTTGAAGCAACAAAGAAGTGCACTCGAAGGTTTACCCGCAATAATATTTGTTTCAAAACGTTCTCTGCTGATGCAAATACGAGTTGGTATTTGTCGCACTCTATATCCTCCAAATGACAATCCGTGAGCGTAGCTACCGTTAATCGATGCTTATTCCATATGATCATAAACAATCCGTTGAAGCCGACAAACGACAACTACGCTCCATGCATTTGGCAACACGGCCAGTAGCTCCTTACCAGACACCAGTACAGAAATTGCTTCTTTTTTTCCGATTTTAATGTGCGAGACAAATTAAATTCCTAAAGACATTTTAGTACAAATGCATATGCGAGTAAACGTTTAATTTCTAAAATCAGTTTCAAAATTGACTCCATACTTTTGTTGCAGACGTATCATTACATCTTTCCCTTTGTTCTACACTGATCTATCAATGCTGTGTTCGAAGTAAACCTTCATTTGAAGGGTTGTCCATACCTAATAACCTTCGTGTTCCCGCCCCTCCGTAGAAAATGGGCATCGCCTTTTTCAAGCTGTAAGATATCAAAATGATTTCCGATAGCAATTGACTCCGAAGGAAAAGAGATCACCTTTGAGCATGTCACCGCGCGAAACAGAGTGCCCTACTAACGCCTCTGGTTTGACTCCAAGGGGATGAACTACTGTGTAGTGATGTCAGCGAGTAAAGTAATGCTTTGTGAGAGCAAAGTTTAATTCATGTGCAACCTTAAAGAATCAGAAAATTTCTATCTATTTTTATCCACCACCTTTCCTGAAGTCTTAAGTGTCTCAGATAAAAGCCAATGGTGCAATAGTAGCCCTTTCCAGCCCGAGAGTGCCATACGGCACAGGATGCCATTACATGCTTAATATTTAATAATTTTTTCTGAAAATTTCACAACCAAAAGGTCATTGAAAGATCTACACAATGAAGGCAAAAAATCATAGCCCCCTCCAATATAATACTTGGTTTACCACCCCTTCAACTTTTGAAACGTTTTGTCTTTGTACTGTTTTGGTTCAGGTGATGTCTCACCACAATCAATGCTCTGATAGCTGCAATTTAGGCTATAGTTTAGTGGTATACCCTACATGTACAAGGCAAACAAAAAAATTTCAACGTGTACTAGTTTTCACTTTGGAAACTTCTCAGTGTTTTCAGTTACCTTCTCTGCACCTGTTGGTGTCATTTATAGCATAACCCAAAAAATACCTTTAAAATGATATATTAAACATGGTCTGGTGGTTCATCATTCTTATTTTAGAACAATTTGGCATTTCCCTCGGGTAGGAAAGGGGTAGAGATGGAATTAAGAAGGAGGGAGAGTCGATGAAAAGAAAATGACATATTTGAATATTTTCATGTGAACTAGGGATCCTGAGTTCACACAACAGTAGTTCCATTCATAAGCAGTAAATTAACATTTAATAGCATCACAATTGACATTTATCTTGGAAAAACAACAGTCAATATTTAAGTTTACTTTCGAGCTTCACATATTAATTGGGTTTCCTGTTCCGTTCAACAAATTCACGTTCGGTTGCGTTTAAACTGTTATTTAATAGCTTTCGAAAGGAAGTCCTCAGTAGTCAAGCGATCACATTATTTTTTATCTTGTTATTTATCCCTTTGCTCTGCGCAGTTCGTGTGATCTCTACAGGCTGCGAAAATGGCGAAGATTCCACGCACCCATTTGTTGCTTAAACGATCACAATCATAAACTGTTCATTTTCCTTAAAGCAAAGCCGAATCGACGGTTATGACTTTCTTCTGATGTAAATTTGTTTCCTCATTCAGTTTCCTGTAGCTCGTTGGAATGATAAATCTAAAACGTTTACACTTTTTGTCACCGCCGACTCCACGCCAACTAAAATTATTGGCGTTGAAAGGAGTGAGGAAAGTAAGTCGAAGATCCGCTGATGCCAAGTTGGCCACGTACCACATCAGAGAAAACTGATTTATTTTTAAGTTACGATAACATGTCACCAAAACTAGCGTGTTACCCACAACTGAGAAGATGAAAACCGACGGTGTTGTAAAATAACGAGAAGATCAGTAGAACAAAGAAGTTGTCGTTGGATGCCATCAGTTATGATGCAAATCACTCTTCTTTAGTTACTTGTCCTAGTCAATCTAATATGAGTGAGTTTCTGTGAAACATCTGCTTTCTCTTTCTAAAAGGCTTTGTTGGTCAAATGTACTGCAGAAACAATAAAATAATATTTTTCTTAAGTTCGCTAGTTTCCTTGAGATGGTTCTTCAAGACTTTATCCTTGAAATGCTCTCGTTTTTTATAATCTGCCGCATGATTCCAAAAAAGTTATAATCCAAATTATGTAATCACTACTCATGTTAATAACTTTGTTTAACTATCAAGAATAAACTGTGATAAAGATATAACCTTACTTCCCTTTTCATTTTCCTTTTCCGCTCAGCAATTTGATGTTCGATTTTGTCGGAACGTAGTTACAACGGTGTGTGTGGCTTTTAGGGGCTTAAGAGAAAGCTAGAAGTTATCGAAGTTTCCGAATGAATTAAGGAAGTTCTTTTACTTGCATTTAAAAATAATTAAGCTCGATCGCCTCAATCATATTGATGAGACCATAAACATCCCCTCCATACAGAAATTTCCAGTGCGACACGTACTGCACTGACTTTTGTCAGTGGCGTCAGAATTCGAGATTTAAAAACTGGAGACTCAGAGAAGGTGGGAAAAGATGAGGTGCAATTAAATTGCCATAAATTTTGAAATACTCCATCACTCAAATAGTGCACTTAAACTTGTCAACGTTTTGTAATGGGCAAATTATCTTTCCGTGGACCTTTTGCAAGCCGATTTTCATAAAATGCAAATGAACGTTTAATTTCTTGAAATTAATTTCAAAGCTGAATCCATATTTTTTGTTGCAGTGGTTTTAATACACCCATCCCTTTGCTGTACACTGGTTTATCAATGTTGTGCTCTAAGTAAACCTTCATTTGCAGTTTTGTCTATACTAAATTACCCTCGTGTTGCCGCGTTTCCGTGGAAAATGACCATGGCCTTTTTTGAGCTGAAAGATATCAGAACGGTTCGCGATAACAATTATGATTAACGAACTGCCAGTCCGAAAGGTACCATTTAGACCCCTTTAAACTCTGAACTGGTCTCGGCGAATTGTACTTGAAAACTTTCTCTTTGCTTGGCTCCTCCGAGAGGAATTACTGATTTGACCCCAACAAGATATTACTAACATGCACACACAATAAAAAAACTCCGTCGGTTTTCTTTCAACTCTTCAGTGAAAGCCTATACGTTACATGTCTTTATACGTAATTTCATTTAATGTTCTAGATTACACAGTCAATTACCAACATATAAGCTCCATATACTTTTTCCAGGGGTTTTGCAGATATATGTACAATACAACTTGTCAAAAATGATATGTACAATCCACCTTTCCAAACTTACATTCACTTGCAAATATATCTGCAAGATACGTATCCAAAATTGAAGCGGCAATGTAGAAGTATGTACATTTGTATGTGCATATGAATATACATTACGATTTTATCTGAAAGTTGTTATAATACAACAAGATGCGTGAACAGACACATTTGTTACATTGTTGCTGAATCATAAGACCTAGAAGGAAAAAGTGTCATTGTCAGAGAGAATCACAGGTATGAAAAGTTAAGGGGTCAAAGCAAAGTTTTGCCGCAAATTTTTTTCTGCTAACCTGCTTCAAAAAATGGTAGATTGTTGAACCTTTATTGTGGATTGATGGTGAATTGTTACTCTAAACTTTCAATAAAAGGGATCTCAATGACTTAATCGTCAGTCGAACCCTAATTTTTGCTGCACCATTCTGTCGATAATGAGAAATTTCCCAAGAAGGCTTTTCACACTTATACGATCATTATCCAAAAACTTATTTTCCTAAAAGCAAAGCCGAATCGATCGTAATGGTGTTCTTCCGATGTAACTAATGTCTCGGTTAGTTTTACGAGAATGTGGCAGGTGTTACCCGTACACCTCTTTAGAAGCCTGAGATTATTTTACAGGGATGGAGTCGGAGTTTAACCATTTCTGTTAATTACATCGAAGGAATCGTCGAACCTTAGACTTCAAGTTTTCTCCATAATAGCCATATAATAAAGGATCGAGTGCCACATTTAGTAATATCATCAGTTGAGCCGCTCTCCAGACTAGACCGGGGGACACTAAGTTATAATACATCAGCAGTCTAAGAATCATAAACGGAGACTGACAAGAAAAAAAGGCAAGAGAAAGAGCTGCAAGTGTCTTTGCAACTTTCTTATGTCTTTGATTTGTTTTGATGATGTGCGAGTTGCACATTGGAATAACGTTCGCCCGGAGAGAGCGGAATATCTTTCCTTGCGTTGCAATCATATAGATCAATGGAATTGTGAAGAAAAGTATTGCGTGTACGGTGTAGTATATTTCCCTGCCAGTACTTCCCCAAGAGGTGTTGGTGCAAATCAGTTTTCCGTGCTCATCGCTTTCGACCTTGTTAATACTTGCTGTGGGCGCGGAAATTACCAAGCACACACACCAGATTAAAACGATTTTGATGTATTCCTTGTTGGAAAAGTTGTCGCCTCTAGAATTGAAAGGATCTGTGATAGCTTTGAGTCTTAGGTAAGCTATAACCATAAGGGTTGTGATTGAAGTATTGTAGCTCGTGTCGACGAGAAATGCGTGAAGTTTGCAAATTACGTCACCGCCGACCCAACGCCAACTAAAATTAATGGCGTGGAAAGGAGTGAGAAAAGTGAAAAGGAGATCGGCAGATGCTAAATTTGCCACGTACCACATCGGAGAAAACCGATTTCGGTTCAAGTTCCGATAACATGTCACCAAAACCCATATGTTACCCACAAGTGAGGTGATGAGAATAAAGCCATAAAATATCAAAAATCCGATCACCATTAGAGAAAAATTGTCGTCGGATGCCATCTCTGATGATGTAAATCACTGTTTTCTTATTTGCTTTTTTTGATCAATGCAATTTGCTTGATTTTCTGTCTAACCTCTGCTGTCTATTGGCCAGCGAAGTATACTGCAAAAATAACAAAGTGACATTTTTCTTAAGTTTGCTTATCTAGTCGCTGTGTCAGTTTATCCTTGCAAATTACTCAGTGTATGTGGTTTAATATCAAGGTTAAGGTTAAATATCATGGATTAACCACAATCAAGAACACAGCTTAACCTCTAGTTTCTCAAATTAATTAATTTTCCTGCTCTGTTCAACAATTTAACGTTTGGTTTTGTTGGAAATAAGCCGTGTTAGTTTATAGCTTCCGAAACGGAATCCCTAGCAGTCAAACATTCACGTTATTGATTAGCTTGTTAGTTAACGTCTTGCCCAAGCGCGGGTCATGTGGTGTTCAAGGCTGAGAAGATAACGATAGTCTCCAAATAATTTGAAGAAACTCTCTACTTATAATTTAGGTAAAACGAAATCATACGTCTCATTCACATTAATGAGACTATTAACACCACCATCAAGCAGGAAATGCTGCCATTAATCTTAGTTATTTTCCTTTGTAAAACAAATACACGTTTAAAGCCGTTTAGGAAACAATGTAATTTCAATGTAGCACAGGAGCGCGTATACATGTACATTGCTACAAAAACTGGCTACTAAATTCGCTTGATTATGTGACTGTAGTTGATGTCGCCAAATGTCTTCTGTTACACTTTCTTCCCTAGTTATTACTGAAAGGTTTTGTGTTCTGGTTCTCCCTTGTATACTTTCGTGCCAATTTTTTGCTTTTTTCATCTTTATATATCATTGAAATATATATTACAATCGTACCATTTGTCATTTTCCTTTTGACAACGATAGTAAGATGTCAGTTGGCCAAAAAAGATTAGAGAATTTCAAAGGACCTTAAACAGAGAGGCCCCTATTTGGAGTCAGGTCGTGTATTTTTTGTTTATTTCAAGTTTACAACAGCCAGTTTGTCCCGTTTTACATAGCCTCAGTCCCATTTATTCTGAACTTTTTCTGCGGTGGTACCTTGGCGCTTTTATTTTGCTAATATATTTCACTATCGTTTGGTAATAATCGTTTCCTTTCTTTCTGCGATCTTTTTCGATGATTGATCGTTTTAATTGAAATCGCACGGTCTTTTATTCTCGTTAATGTTGTAAAAAATGGTATTGGCATATATCCGGCAGTCACCAATACCATAATAGAGAGAACTCAAGCGTATTATTCTCAGGTTCTATGCAAACCATTCAATGCTTAACAAAAAGCCCTATAGAGTTCGAGGTTTGAATCAGAGACTCTTGACCATTTGAAAAGAGAAGGTGTATGTAAACTGTCATGAATGTGATGTAGTTCCATAATTCATATTGCGTACTCAAACTCGACAACATTTAAACATATTAGACCACTGATTTTTCAGTGGATTTTTTCCCAATACTATTTTGTTCGCAAATATGAGTCGCAGTGGAGAGTTTGTGCATGGATGCTTCTTCTTCTTCTTGAATGTTTAAAGAGGGAGAGGCTCTTTTTCCTGCCAAGTTTCTGTGCTCATTTCTCATAAGGCGAGAAAAGCAAAGCGAATAGAGAAACGTAGCGCGCTTAGCCGACTGGTCAAACAGGGTTTTTTTACAGTAGAAAATAACCAACTGTCCAAATAACCAACTTTCCAAATAGCCGTACAATATCGGAGGATGGCTGTACTCTAGTCGCGCATTATTGTACTCTACTTTTTGCAGTTGAATAATAAATACTACTATCACACCTATCGGTCAATGAGAGAACGCGTTGCGGTTCAAACTGACGATATAAGAAGCCATGAAAAGATAGATTTCATAAAAGTTTGTGACACGCATTCTGCATGGAACTAAAAATTACTTTTAAATGTCATTTTGGCTTGAAAGAGTAGTTATGCGGAGTCTCATAACCATCGCCTGCATGCATGCATGTCGAACACAGGCTGACTCTAAATGTAATTTCGTATTTTAACATGTCCTTCACAAGATATTTGAATTTACGAAATTCATAATGGAGCAAAGAGAAAAACACTAAAAATCGCCACACAAAAAGCAAACACAACCCTAACTAACTCCCTAAGGGGAAAAAATTCCATTTACTTTTATTTCATTTAGTTGCGTTCTGCTTGTTCTTAAAAATAACTCTTTACTTCTAACTAACGAACGAGAAATCTGTCAGGGAAGCATGATTTCCTTGATTATGACCATTTTAGTCCTATGATTTTCAAGAGTGACTTGCAAAAGATGTCTTATTCAATATCACCTTGGAATCAAACTTTAAGCTCTCGGGAGTAAAGGAAATGATCACCAACCAAAGAAGCTCATGATTGTAAAACAAATTCTTCTTGTTGATACCTCAGGAGATGAATGGAGAACAGTTTGAACAATATGCATTCTGATGTTAGAACGAACTTTTAGGTCTCATTCACATTAATGAGTCTGTTGTACATTGCGCTTCCATTTTGCTAATATATCTCACTATTGTTTGGTAATAATCGTTTCCTTTCTTGCTGTGATCTTTTTCGATAATTGGTTTATTAGAGAGAATTCTATCGTATAAGTTGTAGGTTCTGTGCAAACCATAGAATGCTTAACAAAAAAGTCCCCAGAATCGTTTCTTTATATGAGTGGTGCCAAATCTGAAATGCATGATGTAGTAGCATAATCGCTATTCATTCTTCTAACATAATTATAAGCTATTCCGCACTTTGTGAAAGTAATTGTGTGTAAGCTTATTCAAAAAGCCGTTGATTTCATTGTAAGCCCTCGGTGAGTTCTAATCTCTAATTTTAAACGGCTTTATAGAATAGCTGAAGCACTTTTTGAAATGTTTATCGCTCTGTTTATCAAGATTGCAGCACCTCGTCATGCTATGTGCTCCTTTACAAAAGATCAGTTTAAAAATGATGAATAAGCAAACATTGGAGCACAAGTTGCCTAGCTAACCAAGTGAAATATAATATGTAACTAATATTACTGACATTTCTTCTTTTCATTATGAAAACTTCAAAATAATATTTAACAGGACTTGATAGGAACTCTGCGATTTTAGTGGTTGCGATTGCAATTTTGTGCCTACTATTTAAGAACTCCTGAACTCCTGATGTCAGCTTTCACACAACCCACCAATTTGATCACAGCTGGCGATATACAGCACATTTATGGGGGATGTATGCACTTTCTCGACCCGCACCAGTAAATGTATCTATATGCGGATCATTAAACTGTATTTTCATTTGTTTGTGCTGAATTTACTGCTGAAGCCAGAGGGGAATTATTTTCAAATACCTCAGCTTTGAATTAGAAGGATCAAAATACAGTTGATCAAAGTTTTCAACGTCTGCTCGTAATTTTCAGTGTTTTCCCTCTTCTAGATATTTCAGTTTTCCAGTGACATGTGTTGGATTGTATGATTTATATCAATGTCACGATAATCGTGCAGTTGAAATGTTTTGAATATTCACCAAATCCTTAACGACAATACTTGCATTTTTCAATGCAGTTTCAATTAGCGAAATCTTTAGCCAATCACGGTCAGTGTTGGATTTGTTTTTACACTTATCCGATTTTGTCGACCTCTCGGCGATAAGGAAACTACTTTATTATGAATCGATTAAATGAATGGGTTATTCAATATGCCCCAGATTAGATAAGATGCAGTCATCAGGTGCTATTGGTTAACTTCTTGATCCTTACTCTATAATAACTTGATTTAAGGTCCTAGAGCAAAAATCTCTTTTCATTATATCCTTAGTATAGCGCAAGCCTTTCCAATTTTTCCTATTCACTTTGTGAGAAGATATTTTATCTTTAACTAGTGTAATAACTCTCATTTTACCGGTTAATCAAGAAATTCGATGGTACAACTTCGTAAGGGTATATACTATTTACTGATATTCACTTGAAACATGGGATATAATGTAATTACCATAAGTTCTGTGACTTTCGCTACCTTTTATATAACATTTGGTTTTTACTATCGTAACTAATTTGTATTCAGTTACGGTACAATATTGGATTTTCGTGGGAGAAAAACACATATTATTAATTTTTTTTTCAAACCGCTGAGATACCTTAGGACAAGACACTTCTCCATCTTATTCTGTTTTGTTTATCTGTTTTTGTTAATTTATCCTTCGCATATAAAATATACTACATCAGTAGTATATTTGGGTTGCAAGCCAAATGCGGTGTTTCTCCTTCCTTTTTTCAATATTGAACAAAAAATAGGGCAAATATCGGAATAGTCTAATTAAGAAACACATTTCTAACAAAATGATAGTTTTCGCAAATATTTGAGAGGTAACAACCATGGCAATTTGATCGAAGTATCTTAAAGAACTTTTCACTCATCACCGGTTGCCTTTCTTTCCTTTTCCTCTCTTAATGATGTTGTGTCTTGTTAACTTTTTATTCCCACAAGTAGAAGGAATCAAATGGACTTGCAGAGGTTCCTTGCACAAAATTTATCCCTGAAAACGTTGGTGTGTACTTTACGGATTACAAATGCGACGGTGTGAATTTAATATTTATACTAGCAAGAAAATTATTTCATATTTCTTTGTTCCTTTCTTTTTGTGTCTGGCTTTAAAGAAACACACTCGCTAAGATTCGTGTAGATCATGGAACACTCCTTCGTGACTGCCACGGGCTCATGCCTTGTGTCTAACAGATTAAGTTCTCAAGTATACCTTTCATTCTATTGTATTTTTATAGAGAGATATCACTTACCGCCATTTTGGCTTGGGTAAAATATTCCTTCTATCAATATCCCGAACAATTGAAAGCTGACTTTTCACACCTCTCTGTCCTTGTTTACCAAGGTAGTTTCTATTAAGGCGCCATAGAACTAATCAAAGTACAACGGTGATATGCCAAGACTGCTTTTGGTTTCTCTATTTTCCTTCCCCCGCTTTAAATGCTTTTGTTTGTACTTTTCTTTGTTTACGACCTGTTTCAAGTTTGGTTCTCCATCGACAATTGGACTATATGAAGAGCGTAAGAATATATCATAGCATACTGAAAGTTTTGCTTGAAAGCACAGTACAAATTGTTGGAAGTTATTGTATTACTATACAAACCAAGATACCGCTTATAAATTATTAACCTTCTAGTTTCCAGAAGATGTCATCGGAAATGCCTTAAGAAATACTTAAATCTTCAACAGTATTTTTGAAGTTTCCTAATGAACTAAGGAAGTTCTCTTACTTGCATTTAAAAATAATTCAGCTCGATCGCATCGATCATATTGATGAGATCATCCCCTCCATACAGAACTTTCCAGTGCGACACGTACTGCGCTGACTTTTCTCAGTGGCGTCAGAACTCGAGATTTAAAAACTAGAGACAATTAGACTATTTGAAGAGCCTAAGAATACATCATAGCATACTGAAAGTTTTGTTTGAAAGCACAGTACAAATTGTTGGAAGTCATTGTATTACTATCCAAACCAAGATACCGCTTATAAATTATTAACCTTCTTGTTTCCTGAAGATGTCATCGGAAACGCCTTAAGAAATACTTAAATGTTCAACAGTATTATTGATGTCAAAAGCGTTACTTTAATCCCCAAAAGTCAATTTTAGATTAACATAAAATCTGTTAGATACCAATGAAAAGTTGACATCAATTCTTTGAGAAAATTAAAAATGTGTTTTGTATCAATTTTTCTATTTACATATCTTGGCTGCCAGATACTTAAATATAAATAGAATGATGCACCTGTCATTTTGTTGTTACTGAAAAAGGAATGAAAATCAACTTTCATGTGCGTTTTACGCCCGAATATTCACCGATGCATAAATAATTATTTACAACTTTTCTTTAATTACTTGTTTTGAAAGTAAAAGCATTACAAATTCAACTTGGTGATCTCAAGAAGATTCCATTTGATACTGGATGTTTCCATTAGGCTGTAGTTCCTGACTAAATCTATACCAAATTGTTAAGGGTTTTCATAAAATAATACATCTATTGTATCAAAAAGAAACGGGTATTTCTTCATTTTGGGCTCAATGATTAATGGACTGTTATAGCTTGTATGTGAAGTAAGGCCCATGTGGTTCAGTTCTAACTGTTCACCTTTTGATAATTACTTTGAAAGGCGTTTGCAGGGGGTGGCTCATAACGCGGTGTTTTTAAGTAATAATTCCGCTAAAGTTTAATGTGTTGTAACCCTTCGTCACCTGTGAAAAGCGAAACAATCTGTGGATCAATTATCGTGGACAAATTACGAAGGACGATGCTTGAATTAAGGTCAAATTAAGGATTGGAATATAAAGAAGCCAACGTACTTCGCTCTCGATATGAAATCCGTTCAGAATGGAGATCTGACACGAGAAATTAGAAATTCTTCTTGAGGATAAAACCGTAGGGCAATAAGAAAGTGGGCCAGTGAAAGCTCCACCATTCAGAAATCTTTCTAGAAAATACTTATTGTGCCCTCGTAAAGTAGCACAAGTGGCAATACTGTCTAAGTTTATGTGTAGTTCTGTATATAGTTCAGTTCAAATACAGTTCTATTTTTTGGGCTAATTGGGTCGTTCTGAAAAGGAGTTGTTTTGGCTCAGGAGAAGTTGTTTTTAAGCCCGCCATCGTTTAATCAACCGGCCATGTTTGATTGGAGTTAGAGTGGACGGTAGGGGAAGGGCGAGAAGACGCCTACCCGAAGAGGCTGTTGAAAAGCAAAACACCCCGAGTAGTTCCATGTGCGTCACTGCATTTCCGGAAATGAGTAGGCAACCAATCAAATGTGATAAATTAAAAACCGGAAGCACTATCATCCGACAAAAACAAACACATGCAGAGCCGATGAGTGAAACGGTGAAACAGTTATTTTTTCAGGCAGAAAAGAATTGGCTTCGACAACACCTCCTCCGCGGTCACAAATGTGAGCTGATATTTGCTGCACTTCATATTCTCTAAACGAAAATCTTTGAGTATAGCTACCGTTAATCTATTTGATAATTTTTCTTTTTTTCTTCCATTTGGTCGTAAAAGAAACTTTGAAGCAACAAAGAACTGCACTCGAAGGTTTACTCGCAATAATACTTTTTTCAACGAGTTGGTATTTGCCGCACTCTATATCCTCCAAATGATAATCCGTGAGCGTTGCTATCGTTTATTCGATGCTTATTCCATTTGATCATAAACAATCCGTTTAAGCGACAACTACACCCGAAGGTTTGCCGTCATAATTTCTTTCATAAGAATCAACACCTGAAATATCAGGCTTTTCCAAAGGCCAGTTGCATTGCATTTGGTAACACGGCCAGTAGCTCCTTACTAGACACCAGTATAGAAATTACTTCTTTTTGTTCCGATTTTAACATGCGAGACAAATTAAATTCCCAAATACACTTTAGTGCAAGTGCAAATGCGAGTAAACGTTTAATTTCTTAAATCAGTTTTAAAATTGGCTTCATACTTTTGTTGCAGACGTATCATTACATCTTTCCCTTTGTTCTACACTGATCTATCAATGCTGTGTTCGAAGTAAACCTTCATTTGTAGGGTTTTCCATACCTAATAACCTTCGTGTTCCCGCCCCTCCGTAGAAAATGGGCATCGCCTTTTTCAAGCTGAAAGATATCAAAATGATTTCCGATAGCAATTGACTCCGAAGGAAAAGAGATCACCTTTGAGCATGTCACCGCGCGAAACAGTGCCCTGCTAACGCCTCTTGTTTGATTCCAAGGGGATGAACTACTGTGTAGTGATGTCGGCGAGTAAAGTAATGCTTTGTGAGAGCAAAGTTTAATTCATGTGCGACCTTTAAGAATCAGAAAATTTCTATCTATTTTCATCTGCCACTTTTCCTGAAGTCTTAAGTGTCTCAGATAAAAGCCAATCTAAGGTTGATTAAGGCCTGGGTCAAAAATGATTTTCGCCTCCAGTGTTCCCCTAGCAAGGTTCGCGGAATTCGCGTGGACTGCGCGAGTAACCATAGTTACTTGGAATCAAGATCGCGTAGTTCGTGAACGGCATCCGCCATTTAGAAGTGTCGGCTTTGCATTGGTTTTTCCCATCTTCGCTGGTGAAGCCGACAATTTAGAGGAAGACATCAAAAGAAAGTAAAAACATTTTCTTTGCTATCTTAATTTCCTCAAAAAATGGCATGATATCGAATGATATCACATGAGAGAACCCTTTTGAACCTACGAAGACACCGCTCTCAACATGTTCGTTGACTTCACTGCAAATACAATGCGACATGAATTTATAATATAGCGCTCATTTCTAGAGCTCAATAGCGTTTTACAATGTTTGTAACTTATGCATAGAAAAAGTACTATGTTTTGTAACAAATGCATAGAAAAAAGTTTCATTGTGGATATACCATTCAATTTTGAAATTAAATTTAGCTTGATAAATTCTCTATCATATCATGATGTGTATACTTATGGTGTCTATCAAAATTTAGGCTTTTGAATGCTTTGAAAACAATTTCTCTAAGAAGCAAATGAATTTACTTACAAAAGTAATCCCCCAAAGCAGTTGTTAGGTAAGTTTAATTGCTTCTGAACACTCGCGTGTCAAAATGGCGGACACTAAGTTGAATACGTGACTGCGACTTTTCAAAATTCCCACCTCTTAAACATTTTTAATTTGTCTTTTTTCCAAATAAATAGGAACCTGTAGGATTACTTTCATTGACAGCGGTTGGAGCCAGGTAAAGGCTAAGATGTTTTCGGGCGAAAACCATGAAAGAGGAAGCAGCTTCGCAGAGACAAAACTTAATTTAATCTGCCTAGCACATCTCCTCTTTTTTTTGGCAGCCATTCCAAGTGGGAAAACAATGAAAAACTTCTCAAATATTCATAGCGATAACTGCATTTTGATTTGCCTTGTGTTTGGTGGTGGGAATTTGCTCAAGAAAGCAACCGACGAATTTGGCGCCTAAATTAACTGTTTTTGGCTGTTGAGAGTATCATATTACCTGCCATGTTCAGTCCGAGAGAGTTGGTAGTGATACACAAACAAGTAAAAAAATTTCAAATTTATCATTTTTTCTCAATTTTGTGAAAAATGTCAGTCTTTTCAATTTGACCTTCTAATTAACCTGAGATGGTGCAGTTTACCCTTTCCAACTCGAAAAATACCATTTAAAAGGATGCCATATATGCTTAATATTTATTAATTTTTTTTGACATTTTCACAACCAAAAGGTCATTGAAAGATCTGCACATCGAAGGTGTAAAATCATAGCCCCCTCCAATATATTACTTGGTTTACCACCCCTGCAACTTTTGAAACGTTTTTTCTTCGTACTGTTTTGGTTCAGGTGATGTCTCACCACAATCGATGCTCTGAGAGCTGCAATTTAGGCTATAGTTTAGTGGTATACCCTACATGTACAAGGCAAACAAAAAAATTTCAACGTTTATCATTTTTTACTTTAAAAAACTTCTCAGTCTTTTCAATTACCTTCTATGCACCTGTTGGTGTGATTTATAGCATGTTCGGTTCAACAAATTAACGTTCGGTTTCTTTCAAACTGTTATTTAATAGCTTTCGAAAGGAAATCCTCAGTAGTCAAACGTTCACATTATTTTTTGTCTTGTTATTTATCCCTTTTCGTAAAGTCGTTGAGTTTGCTCCTTTAAATATAATGCAGCGACATTTCTCCGTGATCAATATGTGATTATTAATATACGGTGTATATTAATAATCAGAAAGAATTCCACGCACCCATTTGTTACTTAAACGATCATAATCATAAAATGTTTATTTTCCTTTAAGCAAAGCCAAATAGACGGTTATGACTTTCTTCTGATGTTAATTTGTTTCCTCATTCAGTTTCCTGTAGCTCGTTGTGATGATAAATCTAAAAAGTTTGCACTTTTTGTCACCGCCGACTCCACGCCAACTAAAATTATTGGCGTTGAAAGGAGTGAGAAAAGTAAATCGAACATCCACTGATGCCAAGTTGGCCACGTACCACATCAGAGAAAACTGATTTATTTTTAAGTTACGATAACATGTAACCAAAACTAGCGTGTTACCCACAACTGAGAAGATGAAAACCGACGGTGTCGTAAAATAACGAGATCAGTACCACAGAGAAATTGTCGTTAGATGCCATCAGTTATGATGCAAATCACTTTTCTTTAGTTACTTGTCCTAGTCAATCTAATTTGAGTGAGTTTCTGTGAAATATCTGCTGTCTCTTTCTAAAAGGCTTTATTGGTCAAATGTACTGCAGAAACAATAAAATAATATTTTTCTTAAGTTCGCTAGTTTCCTTGAGGTGGTTCTTTAAGACTTTATCCTTGAAATGCTCTCCTTTTTAACTCGTGAATTGCGCGCATGCGCAAGAGCGAGTTACAGATACGATGTGGGGAATGGCATTCGCTCGCTCGCTCGATTGGTCGATTCCTGTAAACTTTTTTTAGATTTTAGGCTTTTGAGTGCATTTGATAGTTTTTGGCGAGCAATAAACAGACGAAATGGCGACCTTTGTTGCTAAGAATAGTGGTGGGGTGAAAAAGAAGCAATTAATCTTAAAAGAGTTTTTTTTTTAGTTTCAACAAGCGGCGCCAGCGACTGGCAGGCGTAATTCACACTGAAATAACAGAACAACCTTCGTTTTTCATAAAATTGTAATTTACATCCTTGAACTTGAAAACAATCCGAAGATTCATTGAAAATATCACTTACTGCGAAGCGCTCGGAGTTTACAGATGTTCAAAAGCTTTTTCTGTTATAGCTTGAGACTGAGGACAAAATTGATCATTACGTTTCGTCGCGTGTGTTTTTTCCTGTGTGAAGCAGAAAAAGATGCCGGCGACTGACGAAATAACAAGTTAACACGAAAATCAAATAACACCTAAACAAAAACATTTTTAGCTTTTTCAGTGAATTTTTAAAGAACAATTTTCTTTTAAGTTTCAAGACAATTTGAAGATTCAACATACATACAACGTACTAAAATGCGAAAGTTACACACCACAAAATTGGTAAATAGGTCTGAAATGAAATTCTATCTTGTTATTGATTATACGTTGCCTAGCAGGTGACTTAAATCTACCCAGGCGGAGATCCAAAATGACGGTAGCAGGCTTGGCTTAGTTATATCACTCAAAACTCGTCCCCGTTTGCCTCATTTGATAAAGAGGGAATCGTTAATGTTTCCATTAAGACAGTATTGCCTTGATTTTCTAATATTTACAACGAAAGACAGTAAATTTCACTTTTCACCCACATTTACTTCCAACCTTTTCTTTTGAGCCAGAAACAAAAATGATAGACGTTTAAAACACATGACATCATCCACCTTGTCAAATTTAATAGCATGATCATTTCAATTGTAATGCCTTCTTATCCCAACGTTACTTTGTTTCTTTGCTACATTAGCGAACACTGAACTACTGCTCGTACTCTAGATATGACAATCAACCACAAAATTCCCTAAACCAGATAACATTAAACATAATCTAAAAAATCATGTGTCAATTCACGAGTTTGCTCACAGAGTACTTTGATTTATAATCTGCCGCATGATTCCAAAAAAGTTATAATCCAAATTATATAATCACTAATCATGTTAATAACTTTGTTTAACTATCATGGATAAACTGTGATAAAGATCAAACCTTACTTTCCTTTTCATTTCCTTTTCCGCTCAGCAATTTGATGTTCGATTTTGTCGGAACGTAGTTACTACGGTGTGTGTGGCTTTTAGGGGCTTAAGAGAAAGCTAGAAGTTCTTGAAGTTTCCTAATGAATTAAGGAAGATCTCGTACTTGCATTTAAAAATAATTAAGCCTGATCACCTCAATCATATCGATGAGACCATAAACGTCCCCTACATACAGAACTTTCCAGTGCGACACATACTGCGCTGACTTCTGTCAGTGGCGTCAGAATTCGAGATTTAAAAACTACAGTCTCAGAGAACGTGGGAAAAGATCAGGTGCATTTAAGTTGCCATAAATTTTGAAATACTCCATCATTCAAATAGTGCACTTAAACTTGTCAACATTTTGTAATGGACAAATCATCTTTCCGTGGACCTTTTTCAAGCCGATTTTCATAAAATGCAAATGAACGTTTAATTTCTTGAAATTAATTTCAAAGCTGAATCCATACTTTTTGTTTCAGTGGTTTTTTACACCCGTCCCTTTGCTGTACACTGGTTTATCAATCTTGTGCTCGAAGCAAACCTTCATTTGCAGCTTTGTCTATACTAAATTACCCTCGTGTTTCCGCGCTTCCGTGGAAAATGGCCATCGCCTTTTTTGAGCTGAAAGATATCAGAACGGTTCGCGATAACAATTATGATTTACGAACTGCCAGTCTGAAAGGTACCATTTAGACCCCTTTAAACTCTGAACTGGTCTCGGCGAATTGTGCTTGGAAACTTTCTCTTTGCTTGGCTCCTCCAAGACGAATTGTTGATTTGACCCCAACAAGATATTACTAACTCTCCTCCCCCTCCCCATTAATAAAAGCCGCGTCAGTTTTCTTTCAACTCTTTAATGAAAGCCTATATGTTACATGTCTTTGTAATTAATTTCATTTAATGTTCTAGATTACAAAGTTAATTGCTAACATATAAGCTCCATATACTTTTTCCAGGGGTTTTGCAGATATATGTACAATACACCTTGTCGAAAATGATATGTACAATCCACCTTTCCAAACTAACATTCACTTGCAAATATATCTGCAAGATACGTATCCAAAATTGAAGCGGCAATGTAGAAGTATGTACATTTGTATGTGTATATGAATATACATTACGATTTTATCTGAAAGTTGTTATAATACAACAAGATGCGTGAACAGACACATTTGTTACATTGTTGCTGAATCATAAGACCTAGAAGGAAAAAGTGTCATTGTCAGAGAGAATCACAAGTATGAAAAGTTAAGGGGGAAATTACCAAGCACATACACCAGATTAAAACGATTTTGATGTATTCCTTGTTGGAAAAGTTGTCGCCTCTAGAATTGAAAGGATCTGTGATAGCTTTGAGTCTTAGGTAAGCTATAACCATAAGGGTTGTGATTGAAGTATTGTGGCTCGTGTCGACGAGAAATGCGTGAAGTTTGCAAATTACGTCACCGCCGACCCAACGCCAACTAAAATTAATGGCGTGGAAAGGAGTGAGAAAAGTGAAAAGGAGATCGGCAGATGCTAAATTTGCCACGTACCACATCGGAGAAAACCGATTTCGGTTCAAGTTCCGATAACATGTCACCAAAACCCATATGTTACCCACAAGTGAGGTGATGAGAATAAAGCCATAAAATATAAAAAATCCGATCACCATTAGAGAGAAATTGTCGTTGGATGCTATCTCTGATGATGTAAATCGCTGTTTTCTTATTTGCTTTTCTTGATTAATGCAATTTGCTTGATTTTCTGTCTAACCTCTGCTGTCTATTTCAAACTAGGTAGGGCCAGTGAAGTATACTGCAAAAATAACAAAGTGGCATTTTTGTTGAGTTTGCTCATCTTATCGCTGTGTCAGTTTATCCTTGCAAATTACTCACTGTATATTGTTGAATATCAGGGTTAAGGTTAAATATCATGGATTAACCGCAATCAAGAACACAGCTTACCCTCTAGTTTCTCAAATTAATTAATTTTCCTGCTCTCCTCAACAATGGCTTTGTTGGAAAATAAGCCGTGTTAGTTTAAAGCTTCCGAAACGGAATCCCCAGCAGTCAAACATTCACATTATCGATTAGCTTGTTAGCTACCGTCTTGCCTAAGCGCGGGTCATGTGGTGTTCAAGGCTGAGAAGATAACGATAGTTCGTGGTCTCCAAATAATTTAAGGAAACTCTCTACTTATATTGTAGGTGAAACGAACTTTTATGTCTCATTCACATTAATGAGACTATTAACACCACCATCAAGCAGTAAATGCTGCCATTAATCTTAGTTATTTTCCTTTGTAAAATAAATACACTTTTAAAGCCGTTTAGGAAACAATGTAATTTCAAGGTAGCACAGGAGCGCGTATACACGTACATAGCTGCAAAAACTGGCTACTAAATTGGCTTGATTATGTGACTGTAGTTGATGTCGCGAAATGTCTTCTGCTACACTTTCTTTAGGTTTTTTGTTCTGATTCTCCCTTGTATACTTTCGCGTTAATTTTTTGCTTTTTTCATTTTCGTATATTATTAAAATTATATATTACAATCGTACCATTTGTCATTTTCCTTTTGACAAAGATAGTAAGATGTCAGTTGGCCAAAAAAGATTACAGAATTTCAAATGACCTTAAACAGAGAGGCCCCTATTTGGAGTCAGGTCGTGTATTTTTTGTTTATTTCAAGTTTACAACAGCCAGTTTGTCCCGTTTTACATAGCCTCAGTCCCATATATTCTGGACTTTTTCCGCGGTGGTACCTGGCGCTTTTATTTTGCTAATATATTTCACTATTGTTTGGTAATAATCATTTCCTTTCTTTCAGCAATCTTTTTCGATGATTGATGGTTTTGGTAAAAATCGCACGGTCTTTTATTCTCGTTAACGTTGTAAAAAATGGTATTGGCATATATCCGGCAGTCATCAATACCATAATAGCGACAACTCAAGCGTATTATTCGCAGGTTCTGTGCAAACCAATAAATGCTTAACAAAAAGCCCCATAGAGTTCGAGTTTGAATCAGAGACTCTTGACCATTGGAAAGGAGAAGGTACATGTAAACTGTCATGAATGTGATGTAGTTCCATAATTCATATTGCGTACTTAAACTCGACAACATTTAAACATATTAGACCATTTATTTCTTGTGTTGGACGGTATGATTTATATCAACGCTACGATAATTGTGCAGTTAAAATATATATCTTTACTTCAGACAAGTCACTTCTCCATCTTTTTCTGTTTTGTTTGCCTGTGTTTGTTACGTTGTCTTTCGCATACAAAATATACTACATCAGTAGTATATTTGGGTTGCAAGCCAAATGCGGTGCTTCTCCTTCATTTATTCAATATTAAACAAAAAATAGAGTAAATATTGAAATAGAAGTTAACTTGGCTAAATTAAGAAACACACATTTCCAACAAAATGAAAGTCTTCGCAAATATTTTAGAGGTAGCATGGCAATTCGATCGAAATATCTTGAATTTTCATTCAATGCCAATTGCCTTTCTTTCCTTTTCCTCTCTTAATGATGTTGTGTTTCGTTAACTTTTTATTCCCACAAGTAGAAGGAATCAAATGGACTTGCAGAGGCTCCTTGCACAAAATTAATCCCTGAAAATGTTGGTGTGTACTTTACGGATTACAAATGCGAAAGTGTAAATTAAATCAGGAAAATTATTTCATATTTTTTTGTTCCTTTGTTCTTGTGTCTGGCTTTAAAGAAACACACTCGCTACGATTCGTGTAGATCATGGAACACCCCTCCGTGGCTGCCAAGGGCTCATGCCTTGTGTCTAACATATTAAGTTCTCAAGTATACATTTCATTCTCTTGTATTTTGATAGAGAGATATCACTTACCGCTATTTTGGCTTGGGTAAAATATTCCTTTTATCAATATCCCGAACAATTCAAAAGCTGACTTTTCACACCTCTCTGTTTTGTTTACTAAGGCAGTTTCTATCAAGGCGCCACAGAACTAATCAAAGTACAATTGTTTTATGCCAAGACTGCTTTTGCTTTATCTATTTTCTTTCCCCCGCTTCAAATGCATTTTATTCGTTGTTTTACCACTTTTTATTAAAGTTCTCCATCGACAGCTGCATATTTAGGGTACAATAGGACTATATGAAGGGCGTTATATTGTAAATTGGTGGTGGATTGTTGCTCTAAGCTTTCAATTAAAGGGATCTCAATGACTTAATCGTTAAGTTAATCCCTAATTTTTGCCGCACCATTCTGTTGGTAATGAAAAATTTTCTAAGGAGGTGTTTCACACTTATACAATCATTATTCAAAAAAATATCTTCCTGAAAGCAAAGCGGAATCGATGGTAATGGTTTCTCTTCCGATGTAACTTTTGTCTCCTCGTTAAGTTTTACGTCAGTCAGAGCGATTTCAACTCAGTTGATAAAACCAAAATTGACTTGAATGTTTAGGTGGGGCTATGTAAACCACGGAATTTGTTCTCTTTTACTCTCATAAACTATTTGTGAAGTTGAATGATAAATACTCCTATCTCGTCTATCGGTCAATGAGAGAGCACGTTGTGGTTCCAACTGACATATAAGAAGCCATGAAAATATAGATTTCATGAAAGTGTGTGACACGCATTCTTCTTTGAAAAAAGCTAGGAAAAAAGAGCTATCATAGCCTTTCTTGACAGTGTGGTTATGCGGGGTCTCACGAGCATCGCTTGCGGAAATGCACCAAAGCATGCACCCAAACATAGGTTGACTCTAGATATATCTTATATTTTAACACTAGATGTCAAAATTATATCTACGTCATCAGTGTTGACGAAATCTTCATTTTGGTGGTGTTACACCACCTTAACCTAGTTTTAGCATGCCATAATTCTTTTTTTTCCTCTGAGCTAAACTTGGCATACTTCGAATTTACGAAATTCATAATGGAGCAAAGTGCTAAACGCTAAAATAGTCACACAAATTGCAAATAACTCCCTGGGGGGAAAAGTTCCGATGGCTTTTATTTCATTCAGTTCCGTTCTGCTGGTTCTTAAAAATAACTATTTACTTCTAATAAACGAAAAAAAATCTCGCAGCAAAGTATTGTTTAGTGATTTCCTAGGTTATGACCAATTCAAGAGTGACTAGCATCCAATTTCTCACTCAGTATCACCTTCGAATCAAACTTTAAGATCCCGCGAGTAAATAAAATGATCACCAACTGAAGAAGCTCAAATTCTTCTTGTCGGCATCTCAGTCAGGAGATGAACGGAGAAAAGTTTGGAGAACAAAACATCAGGTTGAAAATGATAAATAAGCAAACTGCCAAGCTGACCAAGTGAAATGTAATGTGTAACTATCATTACTAACCTTTCTTCTTTTCTTTAAAAAAACTTTAAAATGATGTTAAACAGAACTTGATAGAAAACGTTGTTTGCGAGGTTATTTTAGCTTTCACACAACCCACCAATTTGATCGAAACTGGTGATATATGATTTATATCAACGTTTGATCTACATCTATGTAATGACATATCAGTATGATTTTTATTAACGTTACAATAAGTGTTAAGTTAAAATGCACTAATATTCACCAAATGCGTAACGACAAGATCCTGATCGATTAAAGGCCATAAACGTTTCACAAAATATTTGTTGACGATCTTGGAAGACCTTTGTGACTTGTGGTAGTGGCATATTTCAATGCACTTATGAATTTACATAAAAATTTGCGAGCCTCTCACAGACTTCAAGTTCACTTTGGATCAAACAGACCCTTGAACAATACTGCCGATTGGATTTTATTTCGGACTCTAAGTAGTTAGAGCTTATAAGTCTTGTCTTAACCTAATGGTTTTGCTATTTAACCTAGCTTTGAATAGAACATTATCAAGTGATCAGAGGAATTACTGAACTATATTTCTAATTATCTTGATTTTAATCCTAAGTCTCCATCAGCGCAATCTTTCCCCAATCACTATCAGTTTTGGATGTTTTTTCACGCTTATCTGATTTTGTCGACCTCTTGGCGATAAGGAAACTACATTATCATGTATTGATTAAATAATTGGTTATTCAACATGCCCCAGGTTAGATAAGATTCATTAGGTGCTATTGGTTAACTCCTTGATCCTTACTCTAAAGTAACTTTATTTAATGTCACACAACAAAAATCTTTTTTCATAATATCCATAGTATAACGCATGCCTTTCCAATTTTTTTTCCTTTTCACAGTGTGAGAAGGCGTTTTGTCTTTAACTAGTGACATAACTCTCCTTCCACTTGTAAATCAATAAATTCGATGGTACAACTTCGTAAGGGTATATATCAATTACTGATATTCACTTGAAACCTGTGATTTAATGAAATTACCATAACTTTTGTGACTTTCGCTAACTTTTGAATAAATTTGGTTTTTACCACCTTATTTGTCTTCAATTACGGTACAATATCATGATTTTCGTGGGAGAAAAACACCGTTTTTTTTTTTTTTTTTTTTTTTACAAACCGCTGAGGTACCTTTTCTTAACACAAAATTTACATATATATATTGTAGACAAGTCACTCTTCCGGCTGAACTTGATCCATCTTATTCTGTTTTGTTTATCTGTGTTAAGTAATTAGGTATGGACAACCCTAAAAATGAAGGTTTACTTCGAACAAAATGAAAGTTTTCGCAAGCATGGCAATTCGATCGAAATATATCAAAGGACTTTTCATTCAACGCCAGTTGATTTTCTCTCCTTTTCCTCTCTTATTGATGGTGTGTCTCGTTAACTGTTTATTCCCGCAAGTGGAAGGAATGAAGTGGACTTCCAGAAGTTTCTTCAGTAGAAAATTAATCACTGAAAATGTTGGTGTGTACTTTACGTATTACAAATGCAACAGTGGGAATTAAATCTTCATACTATTCGGAAAATTCTTTCTTATTTCTTTGTTCTTATCTTCTTGTGTCTGGCTTTAAAGAAACATACTCGCTACGATTCGTGTAGATCATGGAACACTCCTTCGTGGCTGCCACGAGCTCATGCCTTGTGTCCAACAGATTAAGTTCTTATGTATACCTTTCACCCTATTGTATTTTGATAAAGAGATGTCACTGTGTTATCCCTGTTCTTGCAAAGAACTCTTCGCAGTAAAGACTTTAAGTGTCCGTCGATAAAACCGTACAACAAAGGATCCAATCCGGTATTAAGAAAGATTAAAAGTTGAGATGCCCTCCAAATGAGTCCTTTTGGTGTTAAACGAAAGTAGATTAGCGTCCGATTGTCCATAAAAGGGGACCAACAGATCACAAATGCTATAGTTAGTGCAGCAAGTGTCTTTGTAGCCTTTTTGTGCCGTCTCTGTGCTCGCGAAGTGATTAATTTGCTTGTTGGTGTAACGCTTGTGCGAAGAGCGAGATGAATTCGGATTTGGGTAAAAATCATGTAAAACAACGGGACCGCAAAGAGTAGTGCTGTATGTAAACTGTAGTAAATCTGCGGGACAGTGAACCCATCTCTCGTAGTTATACAAGCAACGTTGCCGCCCACCGTTTTTACGCCGTAGATTTGCAGCAGAGGAGTGCAGACCAGTAAGCTTAATCCCCAAATTATTACTGGTTTAAGGTATTCCCTGTTGAACCCGCGTCCTTCTCTGGTACTAAATGGATCTGTGGTAGTTTTTAATCTTTGGTAACTAATAGTTACAAGTGTCATGATGGAAGTCGTATAGCTCGCCTCCACAAAGAATCCTTGAAGCTTACAAGTGTTGTTTCCACCTACCCAGTACCACAAATATCCGATCATGTTAAATACGGAAAGAAGAGTAAACAGGAGATCCGCCGTTGCTAAATTCACCAATAACCACATAAACGGGGAATGCCTTCTTTTTAAAGTCTTGTAGCAAGTTAGCAAAACCCATGTGTTACCAACCGTTGATAAAATGAAAACTGAGATGTAAATAGCGATAAACAATACCCAAGCAGGCGCAGCGATATTGTCACTTACCGCCATTTTGGCTTGCGGGTAAAATATTTCTACCTTTTTTTTGAAATAATCCTTTTTATCAATATCCCGAACAATTTAAAGCTGACTTTTCACACCTCTCTGTCCTCGTTTACCGAGGGAGTTTATAAGAGTCCACAGAATTAATCAAAGTACAACAGTGTTATGGCAAAACTGCGGTTTGGTTTTTCTTTTTCTTTACCCCGCTTCAAATGCATTTATTTTTACTATTCGTTGTTTACCAGCTTTTTTTTTAAGTTCTCCATCGACAGCTGCATACTTATGGTACAATAGGGCTATTTTTTATCTATTTTTACTATTCGTTGTTTACTAGCTTTTTTTTAAGTTCTCCATCGACAGCTGCATACTCATGGTACAATAGGACTAAATGAAGAGCGTAAGAATATATCATAGCATAGTAAATGTTATGTTTGAAAACACTGCACAAATTGTTGGAAGCCAGTTTATTACTATCCCAACCCAAGATACCGCTTATAAATTATCAACGTTCTAGTTTCCAGAAAAAAATTGATTTTGATGTCATTCAAACAGTGCCTTAAGAAATATACAAATTTTCAACAGTATTTTTGTTTCTGATGTAAAAAGCGTTTCTTTAATCCCCAAAAGCTAATTTAAGATTGAAATAAAATATATCAGATACCACTGAAAAGTTGACATCAACTCTTTAAGAAAACTAAAAATGTGTTATGTGCCAATTTTTCTATCTACATATCTTGGCTGCTTGATGCTAAAATTTAAAATGAATGATGCACCTGTCATTTTTGTTGTTGTTGAAAAAGGAATTAAAATCAACTTTCATTAACGAGTATTCATCAATGCATAAATAAATGGTATAACTTTTCTTTAATTTCTTTGTATAGGTAATCACATGATTTCGAATGCAATTTGGAATGAGTAAGCGACAAATAAATTTTTTCAAAGATGACAAAATTGCACGAGTCCGAAGGGCTCGTGCAATTCGTGGTCTTATTTATTCCAGACTGCACGAGAAAGATCATGTGATTACGTATTAAGTAAACGGCGAGGAAAGTAATTGTAAGTAAATTCAATTTTTTTTTATTTTGAAGTTGTGAGAATTTGCTCTTTTCAGTGTGTGCTGCAATGGCGTGTGTAAATCTGGTCTTTCCTCCACAAAAACTAAGTTCGAGTGATGCACTCCAACAAGTCACAAGGGGATTTAATGCGGCCTTTTCTCATTGAATTCCTTCAGTTTCTGTTGTACAATTTACGGTACAGATGTCCAAATTGAACGGACTGGGAAAGACCCGCCGAGAGCGTATATTTGTTGTAGAACTGAAATTAAAACTTCGCTCGCCTTTTCACTACGAAAAATTGTTTGATAAAATTCAGATATTAAATGAATGAAAGTTCCATGATTTAGTTCAACTGTAACCAAGTACCTCAAGTTTTAACTTTCTTGGTACTTTTTGTGAACGATTAAAATTAATTGCGGACGGTTTTTAGGCCGCTTGTCAATCAACGTAATGACACTATTGCTTCTACAAATTCATTCTGAAACCAATATTTTTCTGTCAACCATAGTGATTTGAGAGAGAGAAAAGGGAGGATTAATAAGTTATTTATCGGCCTGAGGTAGTGATCGATATATTTGCTTAAAAATACCGCACGGCCGGAAAAACGAGATATATTTATGAAAAATGGCAACGAAAGTAGGGATGTATTCGGCGACTCACGAAAACGTTCTGTTGCCCGTAGGCAGAGATAGGAAAATACGGACCGCGTAAACAGATTGCAGGATTGGTTACTGTGCCCTATGAAAAAAAAAACAAAAAAAACCATGTTACCCACAAGTGAGATGATGAGAATAAAGCCGTAAATAATCAAAAATCCGATCACCAGTGGAGAGCAATTGTCGTTGGATGCCATCTTTGATGATGTAAATCATTGTTTTCTTAATTCCTTTTCTTGATCAATCTAATTTGCTTGATTTTCTGTCTAACCTCTGCTGTCTATTTCAAATTGGGTGTGGCCGGTGAGCTATACTGCAGAAATAACAAAGTGGCATTTTTCTTGAGTTTGCTAATCTGATCACTGTGTCAATTTATCCTTGCAAATTATTCACTTTATATGGGTAAATATCATGGTTATGGTTAAATTTCATGGATAAGCGGCGATCAAGATTGAAGCTTAACCTCATGTTTCTCAAATTAATTAATTTTTCTACTCTGTTCAACAAGCTAACGTTTTGTTTTTGGGAAATAAGCCGTGTTAGTTCAGAGCTTCCGAAAGGAAATCCCCAGCAGTCAAACATTCACATTATAATCAATATTGAAGTTTCGAGCGTTAGCCCTTCACCATCGCTCTGACTGAGGGCTAACGCTCGAAACGTCAGCTTTAAAACTCCTTACGGTGGCCAATTTACATTATCAACTCAGTTGATAAAACCAAAATTACCTTGATTGTGTACATGAGGCCATGTAAACCACGGAAATTTTTTTCTATTACTCTCATAAACTATTTCAGAAAGATTCGCGCGAACCTTACAAGCTATAACCCTGATAGCAGGATAATATATATATTATTAGACGTTTTGGTTTGAAGTATCACTCAATATTTTGCCGTATTTTGACGAACCCGTAGAGTGAGTCAAAATACCTAAGGGTTATTTATTATCCAAATGCTTCTTTTTCTGCTAATTCTCTCTACTTATTTCTCATAAGGCGAGAAAAACAAAGCGATTAGAGGAACGTAGTGCACGCAGCCGACTGGTTAAACACGGTTTTTTTACAGTACAAGATAACTAACCAACTATCCAAATAACCGTACAATATCGTAAGATATCTGTACTATATTTGCTTGTTATTATACTCTACTTTGTGCAGTTGAATAATAAATACTCCTATCACGCCTATCGGTCAATGAGAGAGCGCGTTGTGGTTCCAACTGACGATATAAGAAGCCTTGAAAAGATAGATTTCATAAAAGTTTGTGACACGCATTCTGCTTGGAACTAAAAAATTACTTTTAAGTGTCATTTTAGCTTGAAAGAGTAATTATGCGGAATATCGCAACCATCGCTTGCGGAATCCCCCGCTGCATGCATGCAGTCGAACACAGGCTGACTCTAGATATAATTTCGTATTTTAACATGTCCTTCACAAGATGTCAAAATTATACGTCATCAGTGTCGACAGAAACTTTATTTTGGTGATGTTACACCATGTCAAATTAAGTTTTCCCATGCTGTTATTATTCTTTTTTTTTTTCCCAGCAAAACTAGGCATACTTCGAATTTACGAAATTCATTATGTAACAAAGTGCTTAACAGTGAAAATCGTCACACAAATAACAAACACAACCCTAATTAACTCCTTAAGGGAAAAAAATTCCATAGACTTTTATTTAATTTAGTGGCGTTCTGCTCGTTCTTAAAAATAACTCTTTACTTCAAACTAACGAACGAGAAATCTGGCAGCAAAGCATGGTTCATGATTTCCTGGATTATGACCATTTTATCCCTATGATCTTTAAGAGTGACTTGCATCCGATGTCTCATTCAATATCACCTTCGAATCAAGCTTCAAGGTCTTGGGAGTAAAGGAAATGATCACCAACCAAAGAAGCTCATGATTGTTGAACAAATTCTCCTTGTCAGCACCCCAGGAGATGAATGGAGAACAGTTTGTAGAATATGCACACTGATGTTAGTGAGTAAGGGATTAAACAGCCAACTAAGTTATTCGGTTCATTTTACTCCATAAAAGAAAGTTCAATGGCTTGTGAATCCGTTACCTGCAAGCTTTCTTGTCTGTCGCGGAGAGGGTCCACACGAGGAAACGGGGCCCTTCCTGTTTTCTTGAATAAACTTCGAGCATACTGCCTCATAGCTTTCCCGTAGACTCCGTATAATATTGGATCTAAGACCGTATTGAAAAAAATCAATAATTGAGACACTCGCCATACATAAGCGCCATTAGTGAGATGGAAGTACATCATCGTGCGTGTGACCATGAAAGGTGACCAACATATTACAAACGCTATTGTAAGTGCTGCCAAGACCTTGGCCACTTTGTAATGCCGCTTATAGTGTATAGAAGCTGTGGTATTTGACATATTTGAAGCAACGCCTGAGCGTAAGGATAGAAAAATTCTCTTCTGAACAACTATCATGTAGACAAGAGGTACAAAGAAAAAACAAAATGCGTGAATAGTATAGTAGATCTGTCGCGCTAAATCCCCGAACATGATATTCGTGCAGGAAACGGTTCCTGTTCCATCTGTTTGGGTTTGATAAGCATAAAGCAAAGGCGAACTGACGGCTACGCTAACTGACCAAACGGCGGTTAACTTTCGTAGCGTGTCTTTCCTTGTGATGAGTCTGACACTTAAAGGGTCTACCACAGCCTTCAGACGCTCAAAACTGATAAGAACAAGAGTCATTATGGAGGTGGAGTAACATGCTTCAATGAAAAAGCCTTGTAGTTTACAGGTTATCTCGCCTCCTAACCAGGTCCACAAGAATACTATCGAGTCAAAAATGGATAGCACCGTAAATGCTACGTCTGCAATTGCCAAGTTGGCGATACAACACGTCAAAGAAGACTCTCGTTGTCGTTTTAGCTTGTAACAGAGCCAAAGAACAAATGAGTTCCCCACGATAGACAACATGAAGATTAGGAAATAAATACATGTGAATGTGGCAACTATTGCTATGGGAAATCCGTCGCTCGTTGCCATGTGTAGTATTCAGGACCTCTTCAAATGTTGTGTTAAAAAGCGTTTCTTGCCTTGCTCAGAGTCAATGTGTGTTTCTGTGATTGCCAACGACCGTTCTGAATCTTCTCTTATTTCAACGAAACCTATTTGCATTACAAGCTGTCAACTTATTTAAATTCGCTCTGTCTTTTTGTTCCTAAAAAAAAAAAAAAGAGGAAAATAGACTTGGATTTTAAATTCAAATAGGATAAGGAATTATACAGAAAAACAGTATGTGCTTGCCTTAAGTGTGACAGAAATAATCCGCGTCTGGAAAAGGAATTTTATTTTACCACCATGAAATTACGATCAATGCAATCGATACCTAGAAGTCTGTCATGTATCTATCCGATGTATACGTATTTCTACGGTAAGGCAGCTGATACAACAAGAGATTATAGAAAGTTTTTGTGTTTTTCTGACATGTAAATTGGATGTCATCAATTAATTTCGAGGGAAATCTCCCCAGCCCTATCACTTAAAACGATCAGAGCCTTACGATAAGCATTCTTAATCCTTTCTTTACATACGAGGTGCCAAATCTGAATACAATAGATATGCTTAATGTAGTAAAACCGCAAATAATAGTGTTGTATGCAAACTGAAGTAAATCTGCGGGACAATGAACCCATCTCTCGTAGTTATACAAGCAACGTTACCGTCCACCGTTTTTACGTCGTAGTTTTGCCGCAAAGGAGTGCAGACCAGTAAGCTTAATCCCAAAATTATTACTGGTTTAAGGTATTCCCTGTTAAACCAGCCTCTTGCTCTGGTACTAAATGGATCTGTGGTAGCTTTTAATCTTTGGTAATTAATAGTTACAAGTGTCATGATGGAAGTCGTATAGCTCTTCTCGACAAAGAATTCTTGAAGCTTACAAATGTTGTTTCCACATACCCAGCGCCACAAATATCCGAAATAGGAGATCTTCTGTCGCTAAATTCACCAATAACCAAGGAAAAGGGGAATGCCTTCTTCTAAAAGTCTTGTAGCAAGTTAACAAAACCCATGTGTTACCAACCGTTGACAAAATGAAAACTGAGATGTAAATTATGATAAATAATACCGAAGCAGGCGCGGCGATATTGTCACTTACCATCATTTTTACCACTTTTTTTTAAGTTCTCCATCGCAGTTGCATATTTAGGGTACAATAGGACTATATGAAGAGCGTAAGAATATATCATAGCATACTAAATGTTAGAGAAAGATGTTTTCGTCTTGTCACGAGCGTGGGACAAAGAATTCGAACCGAAAAATCGAAATAAGTGTTGTTTTGAAAACACCATACAAATTGTAATAGTAGAGATGGTAGGTTTTGTTGGAAGCCAGATTAATACTATGCAAACCCAAACACTGCTAATAAATTATTAACCTTCTAGTTTCCAGAAGAAATTTTGCTTTTTATGTCATTCCAAATGCCTCGAGAAATACACAAATGTTTAACAGCATTCTTCTGACTGATATAAAAAGCGTTACTTTGATCCACAAAAGTTCATTTTAGATTAAAATAAAATCTGTTAAATACTATTGAAAAGTTGACATCAACTCTTTAAGAAAAATTACAAATGTGTTTTATGCCAGTTTTTATATTTACATATCTTGGCTGCTAGATAGAGTGGTGCACCTGTCATTTTCTTGTTACTGAAAAAGGAATGAAATCAACTTTCATTAACGTTTAACACCCGAATATTCATCCATGCATAAATAAATATTTGTAACATTTCTTTACTTACTATTTTTGAAAGTAAAAGCATTACAAACTTGGGTCAATTCGAGCTCCAGCAAGGGCTACCACTTGAGGGACATTATCTTTAGCGGACTCTAGGCTTGCTTCAGGCACGCCGACGCGGCTTATAGCGAATCCAAGGAGGCACAAAGCGGAGAGCCAAAATTCGTGGCCGACCGCCATCGTGAATTTTGAGAAAATTTCGTCACACAAAAAGCAAACACAACCGTAAATAACTCCCTAAGGGAGAAAAATTCCAATTACTTTTCTTTCATTTAGTTCCGTTTGCTCGTTCCTAAAAATAACTCTTTACTTCTAACTAACGAACGAGAAATCTGGCAGCAAAGCATGGTTCATGATTTCCTGGATTATGACCATTTTAGCCCTATGATTTAGAAGAGTGACTAGCATCCGATGTCTTATTCAATATCACCTTCGAATCAAACTTTAAGGTCTCAGGAGTAAAGTAAATGATCTCCGACTAAACAAGCTCGTGATTGTTGAACAAATTCTCCTCGTCAGCACCTCAGTAGATGAATGGAGACAGTTTGGAGAATATGCATGCTGATGTTAGTGGGTAAGGGGTTAAAAAGTCGACACCTCACTAAATCATTCCTGTTTATTTTACTTCATAAAATAAAGTTCAGTGGCTTGTGAATCCGTTACTTGCATTGTTTCTTGTCTGTCGCGGAGAGGGTCCACCCGAGGAAACGGGGTCCATCCTCTTTTCTTGAATAAACTTCGAGCATACTGCCTTATAGCTCCTCCTTAGACTCCGTACAATAATGGATCTAAGACCGTATTTAACAGAATCAAGAACTGAGACGCTCGTCATACCTAACGGCCATTAGTGAGATGGAAGTACATCATCGTGCGTGCGACCATGAAAGGTGACCAACATTTAAGAAACGCTTTTGTAAGAGCTGCCAAGACCTTGGCCACTCTGAAATGCCGCTTATACCGTACGGAAGCTATGGTGTTTGATGTATTTGATGCAAATCTTGAGCGTAAGGAAAGAAAAATTCTCTTTTCAACAACTATCATGTAGACAAGAGATAAAAGGAAAAAACAAAATGCGTGAATAGTGTGATAAATGATCTGTCGCGCTAAATCCCCGAACATGATGTTCGTGCACGAAACGGTTCCTGTGTCATCTGTTTGGGTTTGATAAGCATAAAGCAAAGGTGAAGCGACGACTGCGCTAACTGACCAAACGGCTATAAACTTTCGCAGTATGTCTTCCCTAGTGACGAGTCTGACACTTGAAGGGTCTACCATAGCCTTCAGACGCTCAAAACTAATAAGAGCAAGAGCCATTAGGGAGGTGGAACAACATGCTTTAATGGAATAGCTTTGTAATTTACAGGATATTTCGCCGCAGACCCAGGTCCATAAGAATGCTATCAAGTCAAAAATATAGTGCCGTAAATGCTACGTCTGCAATTGCTACGTTGGCGATGCAACACGTCAAAGGAGACTCTCGTTGTCGTTTTAGTTTGTAACACAGCCAAAGAACAAATGAGTACCCCACGATAGACGACAGGAAGATTAGGAAATAAACACATGTGAATGTGGCAATTATTGCCATGGGAAATCCTTCGCTTGTTGCTGTGTGTATAGTATTTAAGACCTCTTCAAATGTTGTGTTCAAAAAGCGTTTCTTACCTAGCCCACTGTCAGTGTGTGTTTCTATGAATGCCAGCGGTCTTTCTGAGTCTTCTCCTATTTCAACCAAACCCGTTTGTATTACAATCTGTAAGCTTATAAAAATTCGCTTAGTCTTTTTGTTTTTTTGAGGAAAAAAAAACAAGAAAAGCTAAATAGACTTGAACTTAAGATTCAAAGAGGACAAGGAATTATACAGAAAAACATCATGTGCTGGCCTTAGTTGTAGAAGAGCTATTCTGCAGTGTCTGGAAAAAGGAAAATTTTTCTTTAACTACTAAGAAAATATCATTGATGCAATGAATACCTACAAGTCTGTCATGTTTATATCCGATGTATCCGTATTTCTTACCACCACAATCAGAGTTTTTGTCTCCTTACCAGCCTTTCAGGTATGAAAAGGTGGCTAAGAACAGCTAAGGCAACTGTTACAACAGGATAATTTGGAAAGTTTTATGTGTTTTGCTGACATGTAAATTTGATATCATCAATTAATTTCGAGGGAAATCTCCCCAGCCCTATCTCTTAAACCGATCAGAGCCTGACGACAAGCATTCTTAATCCTTTCTTTACATACGAGATGCCAAATCTGAATACAGCAGTTATGCGTGATGTAGTAGAACCGCAAAGAATAGTGTTATCTGCAAACTGAAGTAAATCTGCGGGGCAGTGAACCCATCTCCCGTAGTTATACGAGCTAATTGCCGTCCTCCGTTTTTACGCCGTAGATTTGCAGCAAAGGAGTGCAGACCAGTAAGCTTAACCCCCAAATTATTACTGGTTTAAGGTATTCCCTGTCGAACCAGCCTCTTGCTCTGGTACTAAATGGGTCTGTGATAGCTTTTAATCTTTGGTAACTAATAGTTACAAGTGTCATGATGGAAGTCGTATAGCTCGCCTCCACAAAGAATCCTTGAAGCTTACAAGTGTTGTTTCCACCTACCCAGCGCCACAAATATCCGGTCATGTTAAATAAAAAAAGAAGAGTAACGAGGAGATCCGCAGGGGGACACTAAGTTAAAATACATCAGCAGTCTAAGAATCATAAACGGGGACTGGCACGAAAAAAGGTAAGAGAAAGAGCTGCAAGTGTCTTTGCAACTTTCTTATGTCTTTGATTTGAGTTGACGATATGCGAGTTGCACATTGGAATTACGTTCGCTCGAAGAGAGCGGAATATCTTTCGTTATCCGATCATGTTAAATACAAAAAGAAGATTAACTAGGAGATCCACCCTCGCTAAATTCACCAACAACCACAAAGAAGGGGAATGCCTTCTTCTTAAAATCTTGTACTAAGTTAACAAAACCCATGTGTTACCAACCGTTGATAAAATGAAAACTGAGATGTAAATTACAATAAACAATACCGAAGCAGGCGCTGCGATATTGTCACTTATCACCATTTTGGCTTGGGTAAATTATCCTTTTTATCAATATCCCGAACAGTTTAAAGCTGAATATTCACACCTCTCTGTCCTTGACAGAGGCAGTTTCTAGTCGTCACAGAACTAATCAAAGTACAACGGTGTTATGCTAAGACTACTTTGGTTTTTATATTTTCTTTCCCCGGCTTCAAATGCATTTATGTCTATTTTTCTTCGTTAATCCCCTTTTTTTTCTCCAACGACAGCTGCATATTTAGGGTACATGAAGGTATACGAAGAGCGTAAGAACATCTCATTGCTTACTAAATGTTACGTTTGAAAACACCGTACAAATTGTTGGAAGCACGGGTACTCTTATGCGGACCCAAATACCGCTTAAAAATTGTTAATCTTCTAGTTTCAAGAAGAAATTTGATTTTGGTGTCATTCGAAATGCCTTAAGAAATACACAAATGTTCAACAGTATTTTCCTGACTGAAATAAAAAGTATTGCTCAAGAAGATTCCATTTGATACCAGAATGATTCCATAAGGCTGTAGTTCCAGACCAAATCTATGTCAAATTGCAAAGGGTTTTCATATTTTCATACCTCTGTTATAGTAAAAAAAACCCTGGTAGTTCTTCATTTCGGGCTTAATGATTAATGGATAAGACTGCCACAGCTTCTATGTGAACTAAGGCCAATGCGGTTCAGTTCTAACTGAGTGTTCCTTTTTTGATAACAATTTTAAAGGGGGGTTGCGATTGAAGAGGGTGGCTTATGACGCAGCTTTTTTTAGTAATAATTCCGCTTAAGTTTAATGTGTTGTAACCCGTCGTCACATCTGAAAAGCGAAACAGTCTGTGGATCAATTACTATGGACAATTACGAAGAAAGATCCTTGAATTAAGGTCAAATTAAGGATCGGAATATTAAGAAGCCAACGTGCTTCGCTCTCGATATGAAATCCGTTCAGAATGGAGATCTGACTCGAGAAATTACATCTTGAGGATAAAAGCGTTAAAGAAATAAGAAGTGGGCCAGTGAAAGCTCTACCATCCAGAAATCTTTCTAGTAAATTCTTACTGTGCCTTCGTAAATAAGCACGAGTGGCAATACCGTCTAAGTTTATGTGTAGTTCTGTATATAGTTCAGTTCAAATACAGTACTATTTTGGGGCTAATTGGGCCGTTCTGAAAAGGAGTTGTTTTGGCCCCGATGAGATGGGCAGAAATAGCTAAAACTATGATATAAGGAGGCTGTTATGGAGAAATGAGGGGTAGTTTTGGCTTTTAAAGAGGTCGAAATTAGTGTAGTGTAAAAGCTTAATCGGCATCATAGGGTCTGAAACGACACTATTGATATGAGCTGTTTTGGACATAAATTATGTAAAACTGCCTTATGAAAAAGACTAAGGAAATAAACTTGATTTGGAGTTAGAGTGGACGGTGGGGGCAGGGGGCAGGGGAAGAGCGAGAAGACGCCTACCCGAAGAGGCTGTTGAAAAGAAAAACACCCCCTGATTAGTTACGCGTCAATGCATAATAATAATTACTCCTATCTCACTTATCAGTATATAAGAGAGAGCATGGTTCCAACTGACGATATAAGAAGCCATGAAAAGATAGATTTCATAAAAGTGTGTGACACGCATTCTGCTTGGTACTAAAAGGTTACTTTAAATTGTCACTTTAGCTTGAAAGAGTAGTTATGCAGAGTCTCACAACCATCGCTTGTGGAAACGCCATGATGTAGCATGCAGTCGAACAGAGGCTGAATGGAAATATAATTTCGTATTGTAACATGTTCTTCACAAGATGTCAAAAATATAGGTCATCGGTGTCGACAGAAACTTTATTTTGATGATGTTACACCATGCTATAATTGTTCTTTTTTTTCCTTGCTAAACTAGGCATACTTTGAATTTACGAAATTCATAATGGAGCAAAGTGCCGAACACTACAAAATCGCCACACAAAAAGCAAACACAACCCTAAATAACTCCTTAAGGGAAAAAATTCTATAGACTTTTATTTCATTTAGTTACGTTCTGCTCGTTCTTAAAAAATAATTCTTTACTTCTAACTAACGAACAAGAAATCTGGCAGCAAAGCATGGTTAATGATTTCCTGGATTATGACCATTTTAACCAATGATCTTCAATAGTGAATTCAAATTCGAATAAACTGTAAGGTCTCCCGAGTAAAGGAAATGATTACCAACTAAAGAAGCTCATAATTGTTAAACAAATTCTCCTTGTCGGCACCTCAGGAGATGAATGGAGAACAGTTTGGAGAATATGCACACTGATGTAAGTGGGTAAGTGGTTAAGCAGCTAACACCTCCATGGATTGTGAATCCGTTACTTGCATTGTTTCTTGTCGGTCGCGGAGAGGGTCCACACGAGGAAACGGAGTCCATCCTGTTTTCTTGAATAAACTTCGAGCATACCGCCTCATAGATTCTCCGTAGACTCCGTATAATATTGGATCTAAGACTGTATTTAACAGAATCAATAACTGAGACACTCGCCATACGTAACCACCATTAGTGAGATGGAAGTACATCATCGTGCGTGTGACCATGAAAGGTGACCAACACGTTACAAACGCTATTGTAAGAGCTGCTAAGACCTTGGCCACTTTGTAATGCCGCTTATAGCGCATGGAAGCTATGGTGTTTGATGTATTTGATGCAACGCTTGAGCTTAAGGAAAGAAAAATTCTCTTCTGAACAACTATCATGTAGGCAAGAGGTACAAGGAAAAAACAAAATGCGTGAATAGTGTAATAGATCTGTCGCGCTATATCCCCGAACATGCTATTCGTGCAGGAAACGGTTCCTGTGTCATCTGTTTGGGTTTGATAAGCATAAAACAAAGGCGAAGCGACGACTGCGCTAACTGACCAAACGGCTATTAACTTTCGTAGCATGTATTCCTTTGTGATGAGTCTGACACTTAAAGGGTCTACCACAGCCTTCAAACGCTCAAAACTGATAAGAACAAGAGTCAGTATGGAGGTGGAGTAGCATGCTTCAATGGAAAAGCTTTGTAATTTACAGGATATCTCGCCGCCTACCCAGGTCCATAAGAATGTTACCAAGTCAAAAATGGACAGTACCGTAAATGCTACGTCTGCAATTGCCAAGTTGGCGATACAACACGTCAAAGAAGACTCTCGTTGTCGTTTTAGTTTGTAACACAGCCAAAGAACGAATGAGTTCCCCACGATAGACGACAGGAAGATTAGGAAATAAACACATATGAATGTGACAACTATTACTATGGGAAATCCGTCGCTTGTTGCCATGTGTAGTATTCAGGACCTCCTCAAATGTTGTCTTAAAAAGCGTTTCTTGCCCTGCTCAGATTCAATGTGTGTTTTTGTGATTGCCAACGACCGTTCTGAATCTTCTCTTATGTCAACCAAACCTGTTTGTATTACAAGCTGTCAACTTCTTAAGATTCGTTTAGTCTTGTTCCTGAAAAAAAAGAGAGAGGAAAATAGACTTGGATTTAAGATTCAAAGAGAGATAAGACATGTGCTGGCCTTAGTTGTGGCCGAACTATTCTGCCGTGTCTGGAAAAGGAAATTTTTTTTTTAACTACTAAGAAAATATCGTCAATGCAATGAGTACCTGCAAGTCTGTCATGTATATATCCGATGTATCCGTATTTCTTACAACCACAATTGTCTCCTTACCAGCCTTTCAAGTGTAAAAAGGTGGATGAGAACAATTGTGAAAAAGGCGGTAACATATTCTGGCCGAAAAAAGAATGATCAAATCGACGCTTTATGCAAACACAACTGAGAGGGAAATTAACTTGGAAGGAAATTTTGCATAATTTATGCGGGTATCTCTAACCAAACAAGGTTTAAAGTTATTAACAAAGGAGCTTCTAAAATTTGCCTGGGTTGGATCTCTTTTTAAAAAGTCCGTAACCTCCTTTGTTTGTTGGTTTTTTTTCTTGTGTGTGGTTTACGTGGAATGGAACATATCTAGCTTGATTTATGAGATCAACAGGAAGCATTAGGAAAGTTTCTTTACTTTACGAAGCAGCTGTTACAACAGGAGAATTTAGAAAGTTTATGTGTTTTGCGGACATGTAAATTGGACGTCATCAATTAATTTCAAGGGAAATCTTCCCAGCTTATCTCTTAAACCGATCAGAGCCTGACGATAAGCATTCTTAGTCCTTTCTTAACATACGAGGTACCAAATCTGAATACAACAGATATGCATGATTTAGTAGAACCGCAAAGAATAGTGTTGTATGCAAACTGTAGTAAATCTGCGAGGCAAAGACTCCATCTCCCTAAAACCTAACCCTAAGCAATTACACCGTAGATTTGCAGCAAAGAATTGCAGACCAGTAAGCTTAATCCCCAAATTATTACTGGTTTAAGGTATTCCTTGTTGAACCGCGTCTTGCTCTGGTACTAAATGGATCTGTGGTAGCTTTTAATCTTTGGTAACTTATAGTTTCAAGTGTCATGATGGAAGTCGTATAGCTCGTCTCAACACAGAATCCTTGAAGCTTACAGGTGTATTTTCCACCTACCCAGCGCCATAAATATCCGATCATGTTAAATACGGAAAGAAGAGTAAACAGGAGATCCGCCGTCGCTAAATTCAAGATACCGCGTATAAATTATTATCCTTCTAGTTTCCAGGAAAAATTTGATTTTAATGTTGTTTGAAATGCCTTAAGACATACACAAATGTTCAAATGTTTGACTGATGTCAAAAGCGTCAATTTAATCCCCAAAATTAAACTTTAGATTAGAATAAAATCTGTCAGATACCAATGAAAAGTTGACATCAACTCTTTAAGAAAATTAAAAATGCGTTTTGTGCCAATTTTTATATTTACATATCTTGGCTGCTAGATGCTAAGATTTAAATAAAATGATGCACCTGTCGTTTTCTTTTTACTAAATAAGAAATGAAAATAAACTTTCATTAAAGTTAACGCCCGAGTATTGATCGATGCAGAGATAAATATTTATAAATTTTCTTCAATCACTTTATTTGAAAGTAAAAGCATTGCAAATTCAATTTGGTGAAAATTGTTTTCTTTCAGCTTCTTCAGCGGTTTTAAAATCTGATCTCAAGAAGATTCCATTTGATACCAGAATGATTCCATAAGGCTGTAGTTCCTGACCAAATCTATGTCAAATTGCTAAGGGTTAAAATAGTTCTCCATTTTGGGCCTAATGATTAATGGATAAGACTGCTATAGCCTCAAGGTGAATGTAGGCCCATGCAGTTGAGTTCTAACTGTTTCTCTTTTAATAATAATTTTGAAGGGCGTTTGCAATTTCAGGGGGTGGCTTATAACGCAGCGTTTTTTAGTAATAATTCCTCTTATTAAATTAAGGATTGGAATATAAAGAAGCTAACGTGCTTCTCCGTCGGTACAATTTTACTATCTTTGAAAGGAGTAGCATGACTGTTGTGATCGATAAACACTTTAAAATGGCGCGACTTCATTTTCTTTACCCGTCAGGAAGGACCACACACAGCGTTATCATTATCCTATAATCCACTCATATTTAGCTTCCCACGTTGGGTAGGTAGACTCTGAAGATGGTTTTGCTTTTTGAAATGTTTATCGCACTGTTTATCAAAATTGTAGCATCTCGTCATGCTATGTACTCCCTTACAAAACATCAGTTTAAAAATGACGAATAAGCAAACATTGGAGCACAAGTTTCCAAGCTGACCAAGTGAAATATAATATGTAACTATTATTACCAACATTTCTTCTCCTCTTTAAGAAAACTTAAAAATGATACTTAACAGAACTTGATAGGAACTCTGCGATTTTAGCGGTTGGGATTACAGTTTCGTGCGTACAGTTTAAGAACTCCTGACCTCCTGATGTCAGCTTTCAGACCACCCACCAATTTGATCACAGCTGGCGATACTGACAGCACATTTATGGGGGATGCATGCGCTTCCCGTCGACCCGTACCAGTAAATGTATTTATATGCGGATCATCTAACTTATTTTCAGCAAAAATCTCTTTTCATTATATCCTTTGTATAACGCTTGCCTTTCCAACTTTTTTCTATTCACTGTGTGAGAAGGCGTTTTATCTTTAACTGGTGTAATAACTCTTCATTTACTAGGAAATCAATAAATTCGATGGTACAACTTTGTAAGGGTATATATTATTTACTGATATTCACTTGATATTACCATAACTTCTGTGACTTTCGCAAACTTTTGCATTACATTTGGTTTTTACCATCTTAACTCATTTGTATTCAATTACGGTATAATATTGGATTTTCGTAGGAAAAAAACACGTTTTTTTTTTTTACGAACCGCTAAGGTACCTTTTCTTATCACAAAATTTATATATATATAAATCTATACTTCAGACAAGTCACTTATCCATCTTAGTCTGTTTTGTTTATCTGTTTTTGTTAATTTATCCTTCGCATACAAAATATACTACATCAGTAGTATATTTGGGTTGCAAGCCAAATGCGGTGCTTCTCTTTCCTTTTTCCAATATGAAACAAAAAATAGGTTGAATATCGGAATAGATGTTAACTTGGCTGGATTAAGAAACACACATTTCTAACAAAATGAAAGTTTGCCCAAATATTTGAGAGGTGGCGAGCATGGTAATTCGATCGAAATATCTTAAAGAACTTTTCATTCAATGCCAATTGCCTTTCTTTCTTTTTCCTCTCTTAATGATGTTGTGTCTTGTCAACTTTTTATTCCCACAAGTAGAAGGAATCAAATGGACTTGCAGAGGTTCCTTGCACAAAATTAATTCCTAAAAATGTTGGTATGTACTTAACGGATTGCAAATGCGACAGTGTAATCTTAATCTTTATACTAACAGGAAAATTCTTTTATAATTCTTTGTTCCTTTCTTCTTGTGTCCGGTCGCTAACGACTCGCTACGATTCGTGTAGATCATGGAACACTCCTTCGTGGCTAACACGGGCTCATGCCTTGTGTCTAACATATTAAGTTCTCAACTATACATTTCACTCTCTTGTATTTTTATAGAGAGATATCACTTACCGCTATTTTGGCTCGGGTAAAATATTCCTTTTATCAATATCCCCAACAGTTTAAAGCTGACTTTTCACACCCCTTTGTCCCTGTTTGCCGAGGCAGTTTCTGTTAAGGCGTCACAGAACTAATCAAAGTACAATGGTGTTATGCCAAAACTGCTTTTGGTTATTCTATCTTCTTTCCTTCGGTTCAAATGTATATATTTTATTTATCGTTGTTTACCACCTTTTTTAGGTTCTCCATCGACAGCTGTATATTTAGGGTACAATAGGTCTCTATGAAGAGCGTAGGAATATATCACGGCATACTAAATGTTATGTTTGAAAGCACATTACAAACTGTTGGAAGTCATTGTATTACTATCCAAACCATGATACCGCTTATAAATTTTTAACCTTCTAGTTTCCAGAAGAAATTTAATTTTGATGTCATACGAAATGCCTTAAGAAATACAAAAATATTCAACAGTATTTCTGTTACTGATGTAAAAAGCGTAACTTTAATCCTCAAACTTTAACTTAAGATTAAAATAAAATTGAAAAGTTGACATCAACTCTTTAAGAAAATTAAAAACGTGTTTTGTGCCAATTTTTATATTTACATATCTTGGCTTCTACATGCTTATATATAGGGGTGGCTTATAACGCGGCGTTTTTAAGTAATAATTCCGCTAAAGTTTAATTTGTTGTTAACCGTGTCATATATGAAAAGCGAGACAGTCTGTGGATAAATTATCGTGGACAATTACGAAGGAAGATGCCAATTGAATTAAGGTCAAGTTAAGGAATATTGAAATATCAAGAAGCCAACGTGCTTCGCTCTCAATATGAAATCCGCTCAGAATGGAGATCTGACACGAGAAATTACATCTTGAGGATAAAAGCGTCAAAGCAATAGGAAAGTGGGCCAGTTCCACCATTTAGAAATCTTTCTGGTAAATACTTATTGTGCCCTCGTAAAGAGGCACGAGTGGCAATACCGTCTAAGTTTATGTGTGGTTCTGTATATAGTTCAGTTCAAATACAGTACTATTTTTTGGGCTAATTCGGCTCTTTTGGAAAGGATTTGTTTTAGCCCCGGTGAGATGGGCAGAAATAACCAAAACTTCGACATAAGGGGGCTGTTATGGAAAAATGAGGAGTAGTGTGGGGTCTTTTCACTTTTAAAGAGGTCGAAATTAGTGTAGTGTAAAGGCTTAATCGGCATCATAGGGTCTGAAACGACACTCTTGATATGAGCTGTTTTGGACATAAATTATGTAAAACTGCCTTATGAAAAGGACTAAGCCTGCTATGCAGGCGTCTTATGAGTGCGAGCTAACGTTATAAGCTCGCGATCGTTTAATCGACCGGCCATGTTTGATTTGGAGTTAGAGTCGACGGTGGGAGTAGGGGGCGGGGGAAGGGCGAGAAGAGGCCCGCTCGAAGAGGCCGTTGGAAAGCACCCCCGTGTAATACCTGAGTATTTGCGCGTCACTGCATTTCCGGAAATGAGTAAGCAACCAATCAAAATGAGTTAAATTAAAAACCGGAACCATTGTCATCCGACAAAAACAAACACACTTAGAGCCGGTGAGTGAAACGGTGAAACAGTTTTTTGTTCAGCCAGAAAAGAATTGGCTTCGACAATACCTCCTCCGCGGTCACAAATATGAGCTGATATTTGCTGCACTCCATATTTTCCAAACGGAATTCTTTGAGTATAGCTGCTGTTAATCTATTTGACAATTTTTCTTTTTTCTTCCATTTGATCGTAAACGACACTTTAAGGTAACAAAAAACTGCACTCGAAGGTTTACCTGCAATAATATTTGTTCCAAAACGTTCTCTGCTGACGCAAATACGAGTTGGTATTTGCCGCACTCTGTATCCTTCAAATGACAATCCGTGAGCGTAGCTACCGTTAATCCGATGCTTATTCCATTTGATCATTAGGAATCTATTGAAGCGGACAAACGACAACTACGCCCGAAAGTTTCACGTCATAATTTCTTTCATATGAACCAACAAAGGCCAGTTGGCAACACGGCCAGTAACTCCTTACCAGACACCAGTATAGAAATTGCTTCTTGTTGTTGCGATTTTAATGCACGAGACAAATTAAATTCCCAGAGACAAATAAGTGCAAATGCAAATGCGAGTGAACATTAAATTTCTTAAATCAGTTTTAAAACTGACCCCATACTTTTGTTTCAGACGTATTATTACATCTTTCCCTTTGTTCTACACTGATCTATTAATCTTATGTTCGAAGTAAACCTTCATTTGTAGGGTTGTCCATAACTAATAACCTTCGTGTTCCCGCCCCTCCGTAGAAAATAGGTATCGCCTTTTTCAAGCTATAAGATATCAAAATGATTCGCGATAGCAATTATGAAATACGAACTATTTACCATACTTTTTCCAGGGCTTTTCCACATTTACGTACAATACACCTTTTTTTGAAAATGACACTCAATTGCAGACATATACAATCCACCTTTCTAAATTGACATTTACTTGCTGATACATATGCAATCTACGTCTCCAAAATTGAAGCGGCAATATACAAGTGTGTATATTTGTATCTACATATGAATATACATTACGATTTTATCTGAAAGTCATTATGGTACAACAGAATGTTTCCAGACACATTTGTTGCATTGTTACTGGATCATAAGAACTAAAAGGAATAAGTGTCATTGTCTGAGAAAATTAACTATAAAAAGTTCACGGGTCAAAGCAAAGTTTTCCCTCACCACATTTTCTGTTCACTTGCTTCAAAAATTGGTAGATTGTTAAACCTATACTGTAAATTGGTGGCGGATTGTTGCTCCAAGCTTTCAATTAAAGGGATCTCAATGACTTAATCGTTAAGCTAAGCCCTAATTTTTGCCGCACCATTCTGTTGGTAAAGAGAAATTTTCTAAGGAGGCGTTTCACACATACGATCATTATTCAAAAAAATATTTTCCTGAAAGCAAAGCCGAATCGATGGTAATGGTTTTTCTTCCGATGTAACTTTTGTCTCCTCGTTAAGTTTTACGAGAATGTGGCAGGTGTTACCCGTACATCTCGTGAGAAGCCTTTCTGTTAATTGCATCAAAGGAATCCATATCAAACTCATGGGGTACAAATAGTCTTAAGATGAATGCGGTGACCACGCCCACTTCAACACCCCACTCAAATCGATTGTAATTTTCGAATGTTTTACCATCGTGCGGATTATCTACGGAAAAAGCACTCAATGTACCTCTGAAATATTAAACTATTATATTGTGGCTTTCTATTTCGCTAATTTTCTAACTTGAAGGTAAAGTTTTTCCTTCGTCATTTTTACCTTTTCACCGAGCGGTTGCGTGAAATTAACAAGGCGTTTTTGATCAAAACACGACCGAGCGAAGGGTCTCGGGCGATATCTCTTTTACGCAGGCGCAAATTAAACATGTACCGCCAGAATCAAAAAGAGGAACGAATTTCCTTTGTTTTGATATGTAAAGTGTCGAACAAAAAGCAGATTTACCCTCGTCAAATGGCGTTTCAAAACAGCTGTATCTTCCTCCTTTTGATTTTTTTCCTGTTTTGTAAGCGTGAAAGCAGTAGGAGAGGGATCGGGAAACTCAGAAAGCGCTTCGGGAATTAATCTGCCATCGTTTATTTACAAGCTAAACAAGTAAGATTTATGAAGTTCGTTGAATTATGAAGTCTGAATAAATGCCTCTTTTAAGCTTGTTTGCTGGATTTTTCGTAAACTTCCCTTATTAATTTTTCGTTTCAGCTTACTAATCTATACTATTTCAAAGCAATGTAAAGACGAAGACGGAGAACCATGAGTCGTTCCTTTCAACAATCGTAAACAAAGTGTTTGAGCAATCAGATATACGAGGTGTAATAATCAATAGCGGCATATCAGAAGTCTTCAGAAAGAAAGTATTCTGTCTTCAGAAAGCTGTCAAGAAAGCTAGTAATCGTGGCGGAAGGTAACTAAATGCACTTCTTAGCAAGTTGGAAACGGGCCCTCGGTATCGATTTAATATTATATCGATCTCAATATCATACAGTTTTGTATCTTTCTTCCGTGGATTCGCCTTTCTAACGAGGGTGTATGTTGAGTATTCATTGCAAAATTGCTTTGTTTTTTTTATTTCCCTCTTTGGCTTGTCCGCCATTTTGAAAATTCGTAACGGGGAGCATGCGCATTACGTGGGGTTAGTGGTTGCGTACACCTGGAACCGAGAAAAACAAATGTTCGTCGCACTAGGGAAAGAGTTTGATATGGTCGCACCATAGACTTCAAATTTTCTCCATAATAGCCGTATAATAAAAAATTTCATCGGTTGAGCCGCTCTTTAGACTAGGCCGTGGGACACTAAGTTAAAATGCATCGGCGATCTAAGAATCATGAACGGAGACGGGCACGAAAAGAAGGCAAGAGATAGAGCTGCAAGTGTCTTTGCAACTTTCTTATGTCTTTGATTTGAGTTGATGATGTGTGAGTTGCACATTGGACTTACGTTCGCTCGAAGGGAGCTGAATATCTTTCGTTGCAATCATATACATAAATGGAATTATGAAAAAATAAAGTGTATTGCCTGTACGGTATAGTATATTTCCCTGCCAGTGCCTCCCCAAGAGGTGTTGGCGCAAATCAGTTTACCATCTTCATTAGTTTCGACCTTGTCAATACTTGCTGTGGGTGAGGAAATTACCAAGCACATACACCAGGTTAAAACAAGTTTCATGTATTCCCTGTTGGAAAAGTTGTCGCTTCTAGAATTAAAAGGATCTGTGATAGCTTTGACTCTTAGTTAATCTATAACTACAAGGGTTGTGATTGAAGTATTGTCGCTTGTGTCGACGAGAAATCCGTGAAGTTTGCAAATTGTGTCACCGCCGACCCAACGCCAACTGAAATCAATGGCGTGGAAAGGAGTGAGAAAAGCGAAAAGGAGATCCGCAGATGCTAAATTTGCCATGTACCACATCGGGTCGGAGAAAACCGATTTCGGTTCAAGTTCCGATTACATGTCACCAAAACCCATATGTTTCCAATAAGTGAGATGATGAGAATAAAGCCGTAGAATATCAAACATCCGATCACCATTAGAGAGAAATTGTCGTTGGATGCCATCTTTAATAATATAAATCACTGTTTCCTTATTTGGAATTTCTTGATCAATCTAATTTGCTTGATTTATTGTCTAACCTCTGCTGTCTATCTCAAATTGGGTGTGGCCGGTGAAGTATACTGGAGAAATAACAAAGTGGCATTTTTTGTTGATTGAGCTAATCTGATCGCTGTGTCAGTTAATCCTTGCAAATTGTTCCTTTTAGATGGTTGAATGTCATGGATAAACCGCGATCAAGATTGAAGCTTCCCCTCTAGTTTCTCAATTAATTAACTTTTCTGCTCTGTTCAACAAGCTAACGTTTGCTTCTGTTGGAAATAAGCCGTGTTAGTTTATAGGAACTTAAACATAGAGGGAATGCTGATGTTAGTGGGTGAGGGGTTAAACAGCCAACACCTCCATGGCTTGTGAATCCGTTACTTGCATTGTTTCTTGTCTGTCGCGGAGAGGGTTCACACGAGGACACGGGGTTCATCCTGTTTTCTTTAATAAACTTCGAGCATATCGCCTCATAGCTTCTCCGTAGACTCCGTATAATATTGGATCTAAGACCGTATTTAATAGAATCAATAACTGAGACGCTCGCCATACATAACCACCATTAGTGAGATGGAAGTACAACATCGTGCGTGTGACTATGAAAGGTGACCAACATATTACAAACGCTATTGTAAGAGCTTCCAAGACCTTGGCCACTTTGTAATGCCGCTTATAGCGCATGGAAGCTATGATGTTTGATGTATTCGATACAACGCTTGAGCGTAAGGATAGAAAAATTCTCTTCTGAACAACTATCATGTAGACAAGAGGTACAAGGAAAGGACGGTTCCTGTGTCATCTGTTTGGGTTTGATAAGCATAAAGCAAAGGCGAAGCAACGACTGCGCTAACTGACCAAACGGCTATTAACTTTCGTAGCATGTTTTTCCTTGTGATGAGTCTGACACTTAAAGGGTCTACCACAGCCTTCAGACGCTCAAAACTGATAAGAACAAGAGTCATTATGGAGGTGTAGTAGCATGCTTCAATGGAAAAGCTTTGTAGTTTACAGGATATCTCGCCGCCTACCCAGGTCCACAAGAATACTATCAAGTCAAAAATAGTCAGTACCGTAAATGCCACGTCTGCAATTGCTAAGTTGGCGATACAACATGTCAAAGAAGACTCTCGTTGTCTTTTTAGTTTGTTACAGAGCCAAAGTACAAATGAGTTCCCCACGATTGACGCCAGGAAGATTAGAAAATAAGCACATGTGAATGTGGCTACTATTGCTATGGGAAATCCGTCGCTTGTTGCCATGTGTAGTATTCTGGCCCTCTTCAAATGTTGTGTCAACAAGCGTTTCTTTCCTAGCTCAGAGTCAATGTGTGTTTCTGTGATTGCCAACGACCGTTCTGAATCTTCACTTATGTCAACCAAACCTGTTTGTATTACAAGCTATCAACTTATTAAAATTCGCATGGTCTTTTTGTTCCTGAAAAAAACAAGACGTAAATAGATGGGCCAGCCATCATACATCCGATGTATTCGAATTTCATACCACCACAATTAGACCGTTTTCTCCTTACCAGCCTTTTAAGTATAAAAAGGTGGCTTAGAAAAATTGCGAAAAAGGGCAGTAACATATTCTGCCAGAAAAAAGAATGATCAAATCGACGCTTTATGCAAACACAACCGAAAGGGAAATTAACTTGGAAGTAAATTTTGTCATAATCTATGCGGGTGTTAGAACGCAATATCTCCAACCAAACAAGGATTAAAGTTATTAACAAAAGAGCAACTAAAATTTGCCTGGGTTGGATCTTTTATTAAAAAGCCTGTAACGTCGCTTGTTTGTTGGGTTTATTTTTTCTAATGTTGTGGTTTTGAGCGGAATATATATAGCTTAATTATGAGATCAACAGGAACCATTAGGAAAGTTTCATTACTTTGCGAAGCAGCTGTTACAACAGGAGAATTAAGAAAGTATATGTGTTTTGCTGACATGTAAATTGGATGTCATCAATTAATTTCCATGGAAATCTCCCCGGCCCTATCTCTTAAAGTGATCAAAGCATGACGATAAGCAACCTTGATCCTTTCTTTACATAAGTGGTGCCAAGTCTGAATACAACAGATGTGTATGACATAGTAGAATAATCGCTATTCTTAATCCAACATAATTATTTATTTATAAGCTATTTCCACACTTTGTGAAAGTCATTGTGTGTAAGCCTATTCAAAAAGCCGTTGAATTCATTGCAAGCCCTCGGCGATTTCTAATTTCTAATTTTGGACAACTTTATAGAATAGTTGAAGCACTATTTGTAATATTTATTGCTCTGTTTATCAAAATTGTAGTATTTGGTCATGCTATGTACTCCTTTACAAAACATCAGTTTAAAAATGATAAATAAGCAAACATTGGGGCACAAGCTACCAAGCTGACCAAGAGAAATATATTATGTAACTATCATTACTACAACTTCTTCTTTTCTTTAATAAAACTTAAAAATGATGTGAAACAGAACTTAATATAAACCATTGCGCGCGATTCGAAAGTCGAGGTGATGTTAGCTTACAAACAACCCACCAATTTGATCGCAACTGGTGATACATGATTTATATCAACGTTTGGTAGAAATCTATATCAGTATGACTTATATCAAAGTACGATAATTTTGCGGTTAAAATGTTTTTAATATTCATCAAATCCTTAACGACTAGATCCTGTTCGATTTAACGCCGTAAACGTTTCACAAAATTAAAATTTGCGATCCTTTCGCAAATTCCAAATTTACGTTAGATCAAAAGGACCCTTAAATAATACTCCGGATTGGATTTCATTTTGAACTCTAATTAGTTAAAACTTTTAGGTTTTATTTTAATTAAATGGTTTTGCTATTCAACTATAGCTTTGAAAAGAACATTATCAAGTGATCAGAGGAATCGATCATTGAGCTATATTTCTAATTACCGTATTTATTCCACAACGATATCTGTCTGACGAGGGCTCAGGCGCGAAACTAAGAGTCACAGAGAATCGATGCGTCCTCTTTAATTCTTTAACGTATGTATACTTAGCTCTGCTACCACAGCATTGAGCACTTTATGCCAAGGTAGACTCTACCCCCACATTTATTTATTTATTTATTATTTATATATGTACATATATATATTGTAGACAAGTCACTCCCTCCGGCGGAACTTGCTCTGTCTTATTCTGCTTTGTTTATCTGTTTTTGTTAATTTATCTTTCGGGTACAAAATATACCACATCCGTAGATGAAATTGTTGAGTTTTGCAAAGGGTTGCAAGCCAAATGTGGTGCTTATCTTTCCTTTTTTCAATATGAAACAAAAAATAGGTTAAATATCGGAATGGACGTTGACTTGGCTGGAGTAAGAAGCACACATTTTTAACAAAATGAAAGTTTGTCCAAATATTTGAGAGGTAGCAAGCATGGCAATTCGATTGAAATATCTTAAAGAACTTTTCACTCAACGCCGGTTGCTTTTCTCTCCTTTTCCTCTCTTATTGATGGTGTGTCTCATTAACTTTTTATTCCCACAATTTGAGGGAATCAAGTGGGCTTCCAGAGGTTCCTTCAGCTGAAAAGTATTCCCTGAGAATGTTGGTGTGTACTTTTCGTATTACAGATACGAAAGTCTGATTGAATCTTTGTTCCCTTCTTCTTTTGTCTGGCTTTAAAGAAAAACACTCGCTACGATATCGTGTAGATCATGGAACACTCCTTCGTGGCTGCCACAGGCTCATGCCTTGTGTCCAACAGATTAAGTTCTCAAGTATACCTTTCACTCTATTCTTTTTTGATAAAGAGATTTCACTTGTTAACCCTGTTCTTGTAAAGAACTCTTCGAAGTAAAGACTTTAAGTCTCCGTCGTACAAACCGTACAACAAAGGATCCAATCCGGTATTAAGAAAGATTAAAAGTTGAGATGCCCTCCAAATGAGTCCTTTTGGTGCTAAACGAAAGTAGATTAGCGTCCGATTGACCATGAAAGGTGACCAACAGATTATAAATGCTATAGTTAGTGCAGCAAGTGTCTTTGAAGCCTTTTTGTGCCGTCTCTGTGCTCGCGAAGTGAACAATTTGCTCGTTGGTGTAACACTTGTGCGAAGAGCGAGATGAATTCGGATTTGGGTAAAAATCATGTAAAACAACGGTACCGCAAAGAATAGTGCTGTATGCAAACTGTAGTAAATCTGCGGGACAATGACTCCATCTTTCGTAGTTACACAAGCAACGTTGCCGTCGACCGTTTTTACGTCGTAGATTTGCAGCAAAGGAGTGCAGACCAGTAAGCTCAATCCCCAAATTATTACTAGTTTAAGGTAGTCCTTGTCGAACCAGCCCCTTGCTCTGGTACTAAATGGATCTGTGGTAGCTTTTAATCTTTGGTAACTAATAGTTACAAGTGTCATGATGGAAGTCGTATAGCTCGCCTCCACAAAGAATCCTTGAAGCTTACAAGTGTTGTTTCCACCTACCCAGCGCCACAAATATCCGATCGCGTTAAATGCGGAAAGAAGAGTAAACAGGAGATCCGCCGTCGCTAAATTCACCAATAACCATATAAACGGGGAATGCCTTCTTTTTAAAGTCTTGTAGCAAGTTAGCAAAACGCATGTGTTACCAACCGTTGATAAAATGAAAACTGAGATGTAAATAACGATAAATAATACCGAAGCAGGCGCAGCAATATTATAACTTACCGCCATTTTGGCTTGCTGATAAAATACTTGAACCTTTTCTTTGAAGTAGTCCTTTTTATCAATACCCCGAACAATTTAAAGCTGATTTTTCACGCCTCTCTGTCCTTGTTTACCGAGGCAGTTTATGAGAGGCCACAGAATTAATCAAAGTACAAAGTTGTTATGCCAAAACTGCTTTTGTTTTTTCTATTTTCTTTCCCACGCTTCAAGTGCATTTATTTTCAAGTGCATTTTTTTTTAAGTTCTCCAACGACAGCTGCATATTTAGGGTACAATAGGACTATATGAAGAGCCTAAGAATATATCATAGCATAGTAAATGTTATGTTTGAAAGCACCGTGCAAATTGTTGAAAGCCAGTTTATTACTATCCCAACGAAGATACCGCTTATAAATTATCAACGTTCTTGTTTCCAGAAAAAAATTGATTTTGATGTCATTCGAAATGCCTTAAGAAATACACAAATGTTCAAAAGTATTTTTCTGACTCTTGTAAAAAGCGTTACTTTAATCCCCAAAAGCTAATTTAAGATTAAAATAAAATCTGTCAGATACCAATGAAAAGTTGACATGAAATCTTTAAGAAAATTGAAAATGTGTTTCGTGCCAATTTTACATATCTTGGCCGCTAGAGGCTAAAATTTAAATAGAATGATTCACCTGTCATTTTTTTTGTTACTGAAAAAGGAATGAAAATAAACTTTCATTAACGTTTTACGCCCGAATATTCATCGGTGCATAAATAAATGTTATAACTTTTCTGTAATTACTTTGTATAGGTAATCACATTATTTCGAGTACAATTTGGAATAAGAAAGTACGAGTAAATTTTTTCAAAGACTAACAAAAAGTGCTTATTTTTTTCCAAACTGCACGAGAAAAATCATGCGATTACGTATTAACAATATACATGGAATAGTCGTTTGCGAGATTTAACCATGTTTGTTTTCAATTTCGGCGTAGAATCGCTCGAGCAGTGTTAAGCTGGATCGGCTCGCAATTTTGATTTCCTTGGCATTTCCCTTCTTTAAATACCAATTTTTCCAAACCGACAACCAAAAACAGTGTTTTCGTTGTTAGAGCTGTTTTTCAGCTGCTGTCAGTTATTGTTGCGGTAGCGAAGAAAACCTACTAAAAACACCGGTCATTGTCTCGCCTGATAGGAGCTGTTTTGGACATAAATTACGGAAAACTGCCCTTTGGAAAGGACTTAGTCCGCAGTGCAGGCGTCTTATTAGTGCGAGCTAACGTTTTAAGTTCGCGATCGTTTATCTAACCGGTCATGTTTGATTTGGAGTTAGAGTGTACGGTGGGGGTAGGGGGTGGAGGAAGAGCGAGAAGATACCTGCCCGAAGAGGCTGTTGAAGAATCAGTGTAGAAATTGCTTCTTTCTCTTCCGATTTTAATGGGGCGAGACAAATTAAATTCCGAGAGAGACTTAAGTGAAAATGCAAATGCAATGAACGTTTAATTTCTTGAAATCAATTTCAAAACTGACTCCATACTTTTGTTGCAGACGTATTATTACATCTGTCCCTTTGTTCTACACTGATCTATCAATCTTTTATTCGAAGTAAACCGACACTTTTAGAGTTGTCCATACCCAATTACCTTCGTGTTCCAGCCCTTCCTTAGAAAATCGGCATCGCCTTTTTCAAGCTGTAAGATATCAAAAGGATTCGCGATAGCAACTATGAAATACGAACCATCAGTCTGAAAGGTACTATACTTTTTTCCAGGGCTTTTGCAGATATACGTACAAGGCACCTTCTTGAAAAAGGCTCTTAATTGCAGACATATATATACAATCTACCTTTCCAAACTGACATTCACTTGCTAATACATATGCAATATACTTCTCCAAAAGTAAAGCGGCAATGTGCAAGTGTGTATATTTGTATTTACATATGAATATGCATTACGATATTATCTGAAAGTTATGATACAACAGGATGCTTCCAAACACATTTGTTGCACTGTTGCTGGATCATAAGAACTGAAAGGAAAGAATGTCATCGTCAGAGAGAATCACAAGTGTAAAAAGTTCACGGGTGTAAAGCAAAGTTTTGCCTCACCATATTTTATTTTCAAATGCTTCAAAAACTGGTAGAATGTTGAACCTATATTGTGGATTGGTGAAGGGTTGTTTCTCTAAACTTTCAATTAAAGGAATCTCAATGACTTAATCGTTAAGTTGAACCCAAATTTTGCAGTACCATTTTGTCGATAATGAGAAATTTCGAAGAAGGCGTTCCACACTTACACGATTATTATCCAAAAACATATTTTCCTGAAAGCAAAGCCAAATCGATGGTAATGGTTTTCTTCCGATGTAACTTTTGTCTCCTCGTTCAGTTTTACAAGAATGTGATAGGTGTTACCCGTACACCTCGTGAGAAGCCTGAGATGTTTTTACTGGGATGGAATCGGAGTTCAACCGTTCTGTTGATTGCATCGAAGGAATCGTCGCACCTTAGACTTCAAATTTTCTCCATAATGGCCGTATTATAAAGGATCGAGTGCCACGTTCAGAAATATCATCAGTTGAGCCGCTCTCCAGACTAGGCCGGGTGACACTAAGTTAAAATACATCAGCAGTCTAGGAATCATAAACGGAGACTGGCTCGAAAAGATGGCAAGAGATAGAGCTGGAAGTGTCTTTGCAACTTTCTTATGTCTTTGATTTGAGTTGATGATACGCGAGATGCACATTGGAGTAACGTTCGCTTGAAGAGAGTGGAATATCTTTCGTTGCGTTACAATCATATAGATCAATGGAATTATTAAGAAAAGTATTGCGTCTACAGTGTAATATATTTCCCTGTCAGTGCTTCCTCATGGCCAAGAGGTGTTAGCGCAAATCAGTTTTCCATCCTCGTTGGTTTCGACCTTGTTAATACTTGCTGTGGGTAAGGAAATTACCAAGCACATACACCAGGTTAAAACAAGTTTCATGTATTCCCTGTTGGAAAAGTTGTCGCTTCTAGAATTGAAAGGATCTGTGATAGCTTTGAGTCTTAGGTAAGCTATAACCACAAGGGTTGTGATTGAAGTATTGTAGCTCGTGTCGACGAGAAATCCGTGAAGTTTGCAAATTACGTCCCCGCTGACCCAACACCAACTAAAATTAATGGCCTAGAAAGGAGTGAGAAAAGTGAAAAGGAGATCCGCAGATGTTAAATTTGCCACGTACCACATCGATCGGAGAAAACCGATTTCGGTTCAAGTTTTATTGTTAAATATCAAGGTTATGGCTAATATCATGGATAAACCGCGATCAAGATTGAAGCTTACCCTCTAGTTTCTCAAATTAATTAATTTTTCTGCTCTGTTCAACAAGGTAACGTTTTGTTTTTTGGGAAATAAGCCGTGTTAGTTCATAGCTTCCGAAAGGAAATCCCTAGCAGTCAAACGTTCACATTATAATCAATAATGTGAACGTTTGACTACTTGTTATTTACCGTCTCGCCCCAGCGCGGATCATGTGGTGTTCAAGGCTGATAAGATAACGATGGTTCGTGGTCTCCAAGTAATTTGAGGCAGCACTCTACTTATATTCGAGGTGAAACGAGCTGTCATGTCTCATTCACATTAATGAGACTATTAACAGCACTATATCAAGCAGGAAATGCTGCCATTAAGCTTAGTTATTATTCCTTTATAAAATAAATACAATATCAAAAGATATTTGTACTCTATTCGCGCGTTATTGTACTCTACTTTGTGAAGTTGAATAATAAATACTCCTATCACACCTATCGGTCAATGAGAGAGCGCGTTGTGGTTCCAACTGACGATATAAGAAGCCGTGAAAAGATAGATTTCATAAAAGTTTGTGACACGCATTCTTCTTGGAACTAAAAAGTTACTTTAAAATGTCATTTTGGCTTGAAAGAGTAGTTATGCGGAGTCTCACAACCATTGCTTGTGGAAATGCCTCGATGCATGCATGCAGTCGAAGAACACATGCTGACTCTTAACATAATTTCGTATTTTGACATGTCCTTCACAAGATGTCAAAATTATACGTCATCAGTGTTGACAGAAACTTTGTTTTGGTAATGTTACACCATGTCAAATTAAGTTTTCACGTGCTATAATTGTTCTTTTTTTCCCAGCAAAAATAGGCATACTTCGAATTTACGAAATTCATTATGGAGCAAAATGCCAAACACTAAAAATCGTCACACAAGAAGCAAACACAACCCTAAATAACTCCCTAAGGGAAAAAAATTCCATAGACTTTTATTTCATTTAGTTGTGTTCCTAAAAAGAACTCTTTACTTCTAACTAACGAACGAAAAATCTGGCAGCAAAGCATGGTTCATGATTTCCTGGATTATGACCATCTTAGTCCTATGATCTTTAAGAGTGACTAGCATCCGATGTCTCATTTAACATCACCTTCGAATCAAACTTTAAGGTCTCAGGAGTAAAGGAAATGATCACCAGCTAAAGAAGCATCTTGAAGAGAAAATGATCTTTTGTTCCTTTTGAAACGCTTCTATGCATTTATAATGCCTTAGTTCAACCTCATTTCGATTACTGTAGTGTCGTATGGGGGAATTGCAATAAATCTCTTTCCATTAAACTACAAAAACTACAGAATCGCACTGCGCGTATTTTGACCTCTTCTACATATGATGCCAATGTGGATGATCTCTCGTTAGACTAGGCTGGAAAAAACTTAATCTTCAACGAGAATTAAAAACAGCCTCTATGGTCTATAAATCTCTTAATGGTCTAGCCCCGATTATCTAAAATCAATGTTTACTGATCGGAGTGCAATATCTACCTATTCTCTTAGGAATTGTGGGGGCAAACTAACTGTCCCACTCTCCCGCACCAATGTTCTTAAAAACAGTTTCAGCTATAATGGTGCGGTGATGTGGAACAGTTTACCTACCAATCTGCGGCAAGCACAAACTACTGCTAGTTTTTAATCCGACTGCAGCGGTTTCCTTTTTGATAATAAATAAGTTAATTAATCACACATCATTCATGGAAAGCAGGCACTTCGTTATTGTTTTTATTTTGTTGTTATTAGATTTAATTAGTAGTAGAAAATTAGAAGTAGATTAGTATCTTAACAATGTAATTAATGTAATTTTAGTGATTACTTAAAGTTCTGATGTTTTATCCGTGTTTAAATAAAGTTAAATAAAAATAAGCAAATCAATAAGCTCATGATTGTTAAACAAATTCTCCCCGTCGGCACGCCAGGAGATGAATGGAGAACAGTTTGAAGAATAGGCATATTGATGTTAGTGGGTAAGGGGTTAAGCAGCCGACACCTCACTAAATTATTCCGGTTTATTTTTCTTCATAAAATAACGTTCAGTGGCTTGTGAATCCGTTACTTGCACTCTTTCTTGTCTGCCGCGGAGAGGGTCCACGCGATTAAACAGGGGCCGTCTTGTTTTCTTGAATAAACTTCGAGCATACTGCCTCATAGCTTCTCCGTAGACTCCGTATAATATTGGATCTAAGACCGTATTTAACAGAATCAATAATTGGGACGCTCGCCATACATAACCACCATTAGTGAAATGGAAGTACATCATCGTGCGTGTGACCATGAAAGGTGACCAACATATTACAAACGCTATTGTAAGTGCTGCCAAGACCTTGGCCACTTTGTAATGCCGCTTATAGTGCATGGAAGCCAATATGGTGTTTGATGTATTCGATACAACGCTTGAGCGTAAGGATAGAAAAACTCTCTTCTGAACAACTATCATGTAGACAAGAGGTACAAGGAAGAAACAAAATGCGTGAATAGTATAATAGATCTGTCGCGCTAAGTCCTCGAACATGATATTCGTGCAGGAAACGGTTCCTGTGTTATCTGTTTGGATTTGATAAGCATAAAGCAAAGGCGAAGCGACGAATGCGCTAACTGACCAAACGGCGATTAACTTTCGTAGCATATTTTCCCTTGTGATGAGTCTGACACGAAAAGGGTCTACCACAGCCTTCAGACGCTCAAAACTAATAAGAGCAGGAGTCATTAAGGAGGTGGAATAACACGCTTCAATGGAAAAGCCTTGTAGTTTACAGGATATCTCGCCGCCTACCCAGGTCCACACGAATACTATCAAGTCAAAAATGGTCATTACCGTAAATGTTATGTCTGCAATTGCCAAGTTGGCGATGCAACACGTCAAAGAAGACTCTCGTTGTCGTTTTAGTTTGTAACAGAGCCAAAGAACAAATGAGTTCCCCACGATTGAGGACAAAAAGATTAGGAAATAAACACATGTGAATGTGGCAACTACTGCTATGGAAAATCCATCGCTCGTTGCCATGTGTAGTATTCAGGACCTCTTCAAATGTTGTGTTAAACAAGCGTTTCTTGCCTTGCTCAGAGTCAATGTGTATTTCTGTATGTGATTATTAACGACCGTTCTGAATCTTCTCTTATTTCAACCAGACCTGTTTGTATTACAAGCTGCCAACATATTAAAATTCGCTTGGTCTTCTTATTCCTGAGAAAAAGAGAGGAAAAAATACTTCGATTCAAAATTCAAAGAGGATAAGGAATTATACAGAAAAGCATCATGTGCTGGCCTTAGTTGTAGCAGAAATATTCTACCGCGTCTGGAAAAGAAATTTTTTTAACCACCAAGAAAAATATGGTCAATGCAATTAATACCTCCGAGTCTGTGTTGCGTATATCAAATTTATCCGTATTTCTTACCACCACAATTAGAACTTTTGTCTCCTTACCAGCCTTTCAAGTATAAAAAGGTGACAAAAACAATTGCAGCAGAGACAGTACCTCATTCTGGCCGGAAAAAGAATTTAAATCGCCGCTTTATGTAAACAAATCTGAGGGGGAAATTAACTTTGAAGGAAAATTTGTCATAATTTATGCGGGTGTTAGAATGCACTGTCCCTAACCAAACAAGGGTCATTAGCAAAGGAGCTTCAAAAATTTGCCTGAGTCGGATCTTTTATTAAAAAGTCCGTAACGTCGCTTGTTTGTTAATGTTTTTTTTTTTCTTATTTTTTTTTACGTGTATAGAATATATTAAGCTTAATTATGGGATCAACAGGAAACATTAGGAAAGTTTCTTTACTTTGCGAAGCAGCTGTTACAACAGGAGTATTTAGAAAGTTTATGTGTTTTCCTGACATGTAAATTGTATGTCATCAATTGAATTCAATGGAAATCTCCACGGCCCTATCTCTTAAAGCGATCAGAACCTGACGATAAGCATTCTTAATCCTTTCTTTACATAATTGCTGCCAAATCTGAATACAACAGATGTGCATGATGTAGTAGAACAATTGCTATTCATTAACCCAATATAATTATAAGCTATTCCGCACCTTGTAAAGTGATTGAGTGTAAACTCATTCAAAAAGCCGTTGATTTCATTGTAAGTCCTCGGCGATTTCTAATCTCTAATTCTGGACAACTTTATGGAATAGTTGAAGCACTGTTTGTAATGTTTATTGCTCTATTTATCAAAATTGTAGTATCTGGTCATGCTATGTACTCCTTTACAAAAGATCAGTTTAAAAATGATGAATAAGCAAACATTAGAGCACAAGCTGCCAAGCTTGTCATACCCCCACCGACGCAGCAACACAGTTTCTTAAAAAAAACTTACCCCTTTTAAACATTCAAGGGTTAGAAGCATCCATGCGCAAACTCTCCACTGCGATTCATATGTGCACGCAAAGCAATCGCGCAAAAATCGTATCAGGGAAAAAATCCACCCAAAAAAAATGGAGTTTAAGTACACAATATGAATTATGCAACTGCATCACATTCATGACAGTTTACTATAGCACCTTCTCCTTTTCAATGGTCAACACTCTCTGATTCAAACCTCTAACTCTGGGGCATTTTGTTAAGCACTTTATGGTTTGCACAGAACCTGTGACTAATACTCTAGAATTCTCTCTAGTAAGGTTTAATGACTGGCGAATATATGCTAATACATGCTAGTACCATTTTTTTACAAGGTTAACGAGAGTAAAAGAGTGTGTGATTTTTGTAAAACTCCTGAAATTCAAGGTGATGACAACTTTCAGACAACCCACCAATTTGATTGCAACTGGCGATGTACAGCACAGCACATTTATGGAGGATGCATGCGCTTTCTCGACCCGTACCAGCAATATTGTCTCTTACAGCCATTTTTGTTTGGGTAAAATATTTCTACCTTTTTTTTTTAATCCTTTTTATCAATATCCCGAACAATTTATAGCTGACCTTTCACACCTCTCTGTCCTTGTTTAACGAGACAGTTTCTATTAAGTGTCACAGAACTAATCAAAGTACAACGGTATTATACCAAGACTGCTTTTTGGCCCTTTTTTAAGTTCTCCATCGACAGCTGCATGTTTATGGTACAATAGGACTATATGAAGAGCGTAAGAATATATCATACTAAATGTTATGTTTGAAAACACCGTGAAAATTGTTGGAAGCCAGTCTATTGCTAACCCAACCCAAGATACCGCTTATGAATTATCAACGTTCCATGGCTCGTGAATCCGTTACTTGCACTCTTTCTTGTCTGTCGCGAAGAGGGTCCACGCGATTAAACAAGGGCCGCCTTGTTTTCTTGAATAAACTTCGAGCATATTGTCTCATTATAGCTTCTCCGTAGACTCCGTATAATATTGGATCTAAGACCGTATTTAACAGAATCAATAATTGAGACGCTCGCCATACATAACCACCACTAGTGAGATGGAAGTACAACATCGTGCGTGTGACCATGAAAGGTGACCAACATATTACAAACGCTATTGTAAGTGCTGCCAAAACCTTGGCCACTTTGTAATGCCGCTTATAGCCCATGGAAGCCGAGATGGTGTTAAATGTATTTGATGCAACGCTTGAGCGTAAGGATAGAAAAATTCTCTTCTGAACAGCTATCATGTAAACAAGAGGTACAAGGAAGAAACAAAATGCGTGAATAGTATAATAGATCTGTCGCGCCATATCCCCGAACATGGTATTCGTGCAGGAAACGGCTCCTGTGTTATCTGTTTGGGTTTGATAAGCATAAAGCAAAGGCGAAGCGACAAATGCGCTAACTGACCAAACGGCGATTAACTTTCGTAGTATGTTTTCCCTTGTGATGAGTCTGACACGAAAAGGGTCTACCACAGCCTTCAGACGCTCAAAACTGATAAGAACAAGAGTCAATATGGAGGTGGAGTAACATGCTTCAATTACAAAGCTTACTAGTTTACAGAATATCTCGCCTCCTACCCAGGTCCACACGAATAGTATCAAGACAAAAATAGTCAGTACAGTAAATGTTACGTCTGCAATTGCTAAACTGGCGATGCAACACGTCAAAGAAGACTCTCGTTGTCGTCTTAGTTTGTAACAGAGCCAAATAACAAATGAGTTCCCCACGATTGACGACAGGAAAATTAGGAAATAAACAAATGTGAATGTGACAACTAATGCTATGGAAAATCCATCGCTCGTTGCCATGTGTAGTATTTAATACCTCTTCAAACCTTGTGTTAAACAAGCGTTTCTTGCCTTGCTCAGAGTCAATGTGTGTTTCTGTGATTCCCAACGACCGTTCTGAATCCTTTTTTTTTCATTTTAACCAAACCGGTTTGTATTACAAGCTGTCAACTTACTAAAATTCGCTCAGCATTTTTGTTCCTGAAAAAAAGAAGAGGTAAATAGACTTGGATCTAAATTCAAAGAGGATAACGAATTATACAGAAAAACATCATGTGCTGTCCTTGGGTGTGGCAGAAGTCTGCCGCGTCTAGAAAAAAAATTTCCTCCTTACCACCAAGCAAATACGATCAATGCAATCAATACCTACAAGTCTGTCATGTATATATCCGATGTGTCCGTATTTCGTACCACCACAATTAGAGCTTTGGTCTCCTTACCAGCCTTTCAAGTATAAAAAAGTGGTGAAGAAAAATTTCGAAAAAGGCGGTTACACAATCTGGCTGAAAAAAGAATGATCAAATCGACGCTTTATACAAACACAACTGAGAGGGAAATTAACTTGGTAAGAAATTTTGTCATAATTTATACGGGTGTTAGCACGCAATATCTCTAACCAAACAAGGATTAAAGTTATTAACAAAGGAGCTTCTAAAATTTGCCTGGGTTGGATCTTTTATTAAAAAGTCCGTACCCTCGCTTGATTGTTTTTTTTTTCTCTTTTTGTGGTTTACGTGGAACGGAATATATCTAGGTTAGTTATGGGATCCACAGGAAACATTAGGAAAGTTTGTTTACTTTGCGAAGCAGCTGTTACAACAGGAGTATTAAGAAAGTTTATGTGTTTTCCTGACATGTAAATTGGATGTTATCAATTAATTTCAATGGAAATCTCCTCGGCCCTATCTCTTAAAGCGATCAGAGCCCGAACGATAAGCATTCTTAATCCTTTCTTTAGATAATTGGCACCAAATCTGAAGACAACAGATATGCATGATGTAGTAGAATAATCGCTATTCATTCTTCCAACATAATTATAAGCTATTTCCGCACCTTGTGAAAGTGCCTTGTGTATAAGCTTATTCAAAAAGCCGTGAATTTCATTGTAAGCCCTCGATAAGTTTTAATCTCTAGTTTTGGACAGCTTTATAGAATAGTTCAAGTGAAGCATTGTTTGTAATGTTTATCACTCTGTTTATCAAAATTGTAGCATCTGGTTATACTATGTACTTTTTTTTCAAAACATCAGTTTTTCTGGGCACAAGCTGCCCAGCTGACCATGTGAAATATAATGATATGTTACTATCATAACTAACATTTCTTCTTTTCTTTAAAAAAAAATTTAAAATGATGTGAAACAGAACTTGATTGAAACCGTTGGGTGCAAGGTAATGTTAGCTTTCACACAACCCACCAATTTGATCGAAACCGGTGATATATGATTTATATCAACGTTTGATATAAATCTATATAATGAGACATCAGTATGATTTATATCAACGTTACGATAATTGGGCAGTGAATATTCACCAAATGCTTAGCGAAAAGATCCTGATTGATTTAATGCCCTAAACGTTTCGCAAAATATTTGTTGACGATCTTGGAAGACCTTTGTGACTTATGGTAGTGGCATATTTCAACGCACCTCTGAATTTACATAAAAATTAGCTAGCCTCAAAAAAAAAATAGTCAAATTTACTTTAGATCAAAAGGACCCTTGAACAATCCTGCCGATTGGATTTCATTTTGGACTCTAAGCAGTTACAAATTTTAAGGTTTATTTGAATCAAATGGTTTTACTATTCAACCATAGTTTTCAAAAGAACATTATCAACTGATCAGAGGAATCATTGAACTATATTTCTAATTACGTTGATTTTAATATGAAGTCTCCATCAGCGAAATCTTTACCCAATCACGGTCAGTTTTGGATGTTATTTAACGCTTATCCTATTTTGTCGACCTCTTGGGCATAAGGAAACTACATTATTAATATATTATGAATTGATTAAATAGATGGTTTATTCAATATGTCCCAGATTAGATAAGATTCATCAGGTGCTATTGGTTATCTCCCTGATCCTTACTCTATAGCAGCTTGATTTAAGGTTATACTGCAGAAATCCTTTTTCGTTATATACTTAGTATAACGCTCGCCTTTCCAATTTTTTCCCTTTCACAGTATGAGAAGGCGTTTTATCTTTAGTGAAATAACTCTCCTTTTACTTGTAAATCAGTAAATTCGATGGTACAACTTCGTAAGGGTAAATATTATTTACTGATATTCACTTGAAACCTGTGATATAATGTACTTACCATAACTTTTGTGACTTTTGCTAACTTTTGAATACATTTGGTTTTTACCATGTTATCTGAAACCGCTGAGGTATCTTTTCTTAACACAAAATTTACATATATTGTAGACAAGTCACTTCTTCCGGCTGAACTTGCTCCGTCTTATTCTGTCTTGTTTATCTGTTTTTGTTAATTTATCTTTCGCGTACAAAATATACTACATCAGTAGATGAAATTTTTTAGTTTCATTAAGGGTTGCAAGCCAAATGCGGTGCTTTTCTTTCCTTTTTTCAATATGAAACAAAAAATAATTTAAATATCGGAATAGACATTAACTTGGCTGGATTAAGAAGCACACGTTTCTAACTTTCCTCTCTTAACGATGGTGTGTCTCATTAACTTTTTATTCCTACAATTAGAAGGAATCGGGTGAACTTCCAGAGGTTCCTTCAGCAGAAAATTAATCCCTGGGAATGTTGTTGTGTACTTTACGTATTATAGGTAGGACAGTGTTAATTAAATCTTTATACTATCAGGAAAATTCTTTCATATTTCTTTGTTCCCTTCTTTTGTCCTCTTTAAAGAAACGTACTCGCTGCGATTCGTGTAGATCATGGAACACTCCTTCGTGGCTGCCACGGGCTCATGCCTTGTGTCCAACAGATTAAGTTCTCAGGTATACCTTTCATTCTATTGTATTTTGATGGAGAGATATCACTGTGTTATCCCTGTTCCTGTAAAGAACTCTTCGCAGTAAAGACTTAAAGTCCCCGTCGTACAAACCGTACAACAAAGGATCCAATCCGGTATTAAGAAAGATTAAAAGTTGAGACGCCCTCCAAATGAGTCCTTTTGGTGCTAAACGAAAGTAGATTAGCGTTCGATTGACCATGAAAGGTGACCAACAGATTATAAATGCTATAGTTAGTGCAGCAAGTGTCTTTGATGCCTTTTTGTGTCGTCTCTGTGCTCGCGAAGTGAACAATTTGCTCGTTGGTGTAACACTTGTGCGAAGAGCGAGATGAATTCGGATTTGGGTAAAAATCATGTAAAACAACGGGGCCACAAAGAATAATGTCGTATGCAAACTGTAATAAATCTGCGGGACAATGATTCCATTTCTCGTTGTCATACAAGCAACGTTGCTGTCCTCCGTTTTTACGCTGTAGATTTGCAGCAGAGGAGTGCAGACCAGTAAGCTAAATCCCCAAATTATAACTGGTTTAAGGTATTCTCTGCTGTACCAGACTCTTGCTCTGGAACTAAATGGATCTGTGATAGCTTTTAATCTGTGGTAGCTAATAGTTACAAGTGTCATGATGGAAGTCGTATAGCTCGCCTCCACAAAGAATCCTTGAAGCTTACAAGTGTTGTTTCCACCTACCCAGCGCCACAAATATCCAATCATGTTAAATGCGGAAAGTAGAGTAAATAGGAGATCTGCCGTCGCTAAATTCACCAATAACCACGTAAAAGGGGAATGTCTTCTCTTTAAAGTCTTGTAGCAAGTTAGCAAAACCCATGTGTTACCAACCGTTGATAAAATAAAAACTGTAATGTAAATTACGATAAATAGCACCGAAGCAGGCGCTGCGATATTGTCAATTACCGCCATTTTGGTTTGGGTAAAATATTTTACCTTTTTTTTTGAAGTAGTCCTTTTTATCGATATCCCGAACAATTTAAAGCTGACTTTTTACATCTCTCCGTCCTTGTTTACCGCGGCAGTTTCTATGAAGCGTCACAGAGCAGATCTATGTACAACGGTGTCATGCGAAGACTGCTTATGGTTTTTCTATTTTCTTTCCCCCGCTTCAAATGCATTTAGTTCTACTTTTTGTTGTTACCACGTTTTTTTTAAGTTCTTCATCGACAGCTGCACATTTAGGGTACAATATAGGACTATATGAAGAGTGTTAGGATTTATCACAGCAAAGTAAATGTTACGTTTGAAAACAACAAGCTATTTTTTGATTGAAATAAAATTTGTTTAATACCATTGAATAGTTGACATAAACTCTTTCAGAAAATTAAAAATGTGTCTTGTACCAATTTTTTTCATTTAGATATCTTGGCTGTTAGATGCTATTATTTAAATAGAATGACGCACCTGTCGTTTTCTTGTTACTGAAAAAAGAAACGAAAATCAACTTCCATCAGTTAATGTTTTACCGCTGAGTATTCATCGATGCATGAATAAATATTTATAACTTATCTTTAATTACTTTATTTGAAAATCATGAAAAACATTACAAATTCAATTTGGTGGAAATTATTTCCTTTCAGCTACTTCAGCTGTTTTAAAATTTGATCTCATGAAGCTTCCATTCGATAGTAGAGTGATTCCATAACGCTGTAGTTACTGACCAAATCTATATCAAATTGCTAAGGGTTAAAATTGTTCACAAAACAATATATTTATTACAACAAAAAGACCCAAAAAACGCGTGTATTTCTTCATTTTGGGCTTAATTATTAATGGGTAAGACTGTTATAGATTCTAAGAGAGCCAAGGCCCATGCGGTTCAGTTCTAACTGCTTTTGATAACAATTTTTAAAGGCGTTTGCAGGAGGTGGCTTATAACGCAGCGTTTTTTGGTGATAATTCCGCTTAAGTTTAATGTGTTGTGACCCGTCGCCACATATAAAAAGCGAAACAGTCTGTGGATCAATTATCGCGAACGATTACGAAAGGAGGATGCTTTAATTAAGATCAAACTAAGCATTGGAATATAACGAAGCCAACGTGCTTCTCCGTTGGTACAATTTTATTATATTTAAAAAGAGTAGCATGACTGCTGTGATCAATAAACACTTAAAAATGGCGCAACTTCATTTTCTTTACCCGCGAGGAAAGACCACGTACAACGTTATTATTATCTTTTAATCCGCTCATATTTAGCTTGCCACGTTGGGTAGTTAGATTCTGAAGTTAGTTTTGCCTCGCTCTCGATATGAAATCTGTTCAGAATGGAGATCTGACACGAGAAATTACATCTTGGGAATAAAAGCGTTAAGGCAATACGAAAGTGGGCCAGTAAAAGCACCACCATTCAGAAATCTTTCTAGTAAATACTTATTGTGCCCTTATAAAGTAGTACGATCGGCAATACCGTCTAAGTTTATGGGTAGTTCTGTTTATAGTTCAGTTCAAATACAATACTATTTTTTGGGCTAATTTAGCCCCTCTGGAAAAGAGTTGTTTTGGCCCCAGTAAGACGGGCAGAAATAGCCAAAACTACGACATAACATTTGTCCCGATCTTAATGCGCAAGACATAATTTTATTAAATTCCAAAAGAATGCAAATTCACGTTCAAATTCAAAATTAAACTGGCCGTGTTTGATTTAGAGTTTGAGTGGACGGTGGGGGTAGGTGGCGGGGGAAGGGCGAGAAGACGCCTGCACGAAGAGGCTGTTGAAAAAAGCAAAACCCCCTGGTTAGTAGCGTATCACTGCATTTCCGGAAATGAGCAGGCAACCGATCAAAATGAGTTAAATTAAAAACCGGAAGCACTGTTATCCAACGAAACAAACACACGTTGAGCCGATGAGTGAAACGGTGAAACAGTTTTTTTTTTTTAGCCAGAAAAGAATAAGCTTCGACAAAACCTCCTCCGCGCTCACAAATATGAGCTGATATTTGCTGCACACTATATTTTCCGAGCGAAAATCTTTGAGTATAGCTGCCTTTAATCTATTTGACAGCTCTTCCTTTTCCTTCCATTTGATCGGATTCTTTAAAGCAACAAATAACTGCACTCGAAGGTTTACCCGCAATAATATTTGTTTCAAAACGTTCTCTGCTGACGCAAATACGAGTTGATATTTGCCGCTGTCTATATCCTCCAAATGACAATTTGTGAGCGTAGCTACCGTCAATCAGATTCAAGATGTTTATTCCATAAACAATCCGTTGAAGCCGGCAAACGACAACTACGCTCGAAGGTTTCCCGTCATAATTTCTTTCATGAGAATCTACACCTGAAATAGCAGGCTTTTCCAAAGGCCAGTTGGCAACACGGCCAGTAACTCCTTACCAGAAACCAGTATAGAAATTGCTTCTTTTTGTTGCGATTTTAATGCGCTAAACATATTAAATACCGAAAGACACTTTAAGTGCAAATGCTAATGCAAATGAACGTTTAATATCTTGAAATCCATTTCAAAACTGACTCCATACTTTTGTTGCAGACGTATTATTACATTTGTCCCTTTGTTCTACATTGATCTATTAATCTTGTGTTCGAAGTAAACCTTCATTTGTAGGGTTCATAGTCTATACCTAATTAACTTCGTGTTCCCGCCCTTTCGTAAAAAACAGGCATCGCCTTTTTCAAGCTGTAAGATATCAAAATGATTCGGGACAGCAATTATGAAATACGAACTACCAGTCTGAGAGGTACCATGTTTTTCCTGGGGCTTTTGCAGATATTCTTAAAATACACCTTTTAGAACATGACACTCAATTATAGACATATATACAATCCACCTTTCCAAACTGAAATTTACTTGTTAATGCATATGCAATTTACGTTCCCCAAAGTGAAACGGAAATGTACAAGTGTGTATATTTGTATCTACATATGAATATACATTACGATTTTATCTGAAAGTTATTATAATACAACAAGATGCTTGCAAACACATTTGCTGCATTGTTGCTGAAAAGAAAAGAATGTAATCGTCAGAGAGAATCACAAGTATGAAAATTTCACGGGTCAAAGCAAAGTTTTGCCTCACCATATTTCTGTTCGCCTGCTTCAAAGATTGGTCGATTGTTAAACCTTTATTGAGAATTGGTGGTAGGGATCTCAATGACTTAATCGTTAAGTTGAACCCTAATATTTCCTGCACCATTCTGTCGATAACGAGAAATTTTCCAAGAAGGCGTTTCACGCTTACACGATCATTATCCAAAAACATATTTTCCTGAAAGCAAAGTCGAATCTATGGTAAAGGTTTTCTTCCGATGTAACTTTTGTCTCCAAATTCAATTTTACGAGAATGTGGCAGGTGTTACCCGTACACTTAGTGTTCTAGTTCTCTCTTGTATACTTTCGTGTTTATTTTTCGCTTTTTCATCTTCGTATAATATATAGATTTAGCCAAGCCCAAAAGCGGAGCTGTTATTAGTTTATTTTACAGCCCTTCATTATACTTAATAAAGATTGTAATAAAACTTGTCCGCACAGGCTGTAGAAGAGCTTCTTCAAAGGGTTAAGAGACCAGACAAGGTCTGGAACCTGGGGACGATGTTCTCAAAAAACGCATGCTAGTCAGCGGTAACTTCACACAGCTTAGGACCTTCATCGGTGTTCCTGATGTTTTGAGCAAATATTCGAAGATTGGGAATGTTATCTTTTTCAGATGAAGTGTGTGATGACAGCATCAGTTGAAATTATATTCTAGTAAGCGTGAATTATAATTTCGGTTTGGGAAAATGGGCCAAAATTGAAAGAAACGACGGAAACAACTTTGCGTGGAGACATCACTGGTAGATTGGGGTGTATACACGTGAGCACAGTGAGTCAGTAAACCGACACGCCAGAATCGTGTGGGCTTCTCTTATATCTTCTCTTGAAGATGCCAGGTATGACTGCTTGCCCCACCGTTTTTCCCTAACGTTTCAACCTCCTCTGTTTAGCGTAGAAAATTAAAAAGAAGAGTAATTTTCAACTCGTGTTTAAACCTGTAATTTTTTAAAACTTTCTTGCTTTCGGCTATTGTTTCATGCTTGTCCTTTGGCTGGAAATACACGACGTCTTTTTCTGATATTGGTAAAATTTCCGCACAATGTAAATGGCAATGTATTGTTTTTGTCATTGTTTTCTCTATCCAAGAACTGAATGCATAATGTAGGATGGGGCTGTACGGAAATTTTACCTAAAAGTTTTTGAGTTGATGTTTTTATTGGCTATGTATATTAAATAGGTTGAAAAGTTTTGGATGGTATTTCATCATCTTTGCCATTAATTGAATTTACTGGAATTTGGAGTTGTTGCAACATGTTAACATGAAACACACTAATAAGTTTTATTGATATATAAAAAGTTTTCAGTCATCTGACTATCTACTGGCAAGTCTTCGTATTATATTTCAACTCAACCATTTTTTCCAACTTGTAAACAACATTACAAAATAATTAATCAGGGGATGGAAAATTTGTGGCATGTATGACATGTTTGAAATGCCTTGTCCATAATAAGCTAACAGGATTGAGGAGGGTGTATTTGGGAATAGCCTCTCTTGTCAGTATCATTAATTTGCTTATTGCTCGTGCTGGCAATGTTTTGATGAGGTTGGGCTGTCAGGGCAAAGGAACTGATGATTTTAGTAGGCAGTGACTTTTTTGAAAGCTGGAAACTATCATTGTGAATTAGCCACACTTGTGCCTGTTAACTCAACTTCTTATTTCTGATAAACTAGTTTTAAGAAGGATACAATATTTTATTATATAAACTTGATGCATAGGCTGTACAGAAAACTTTAATTTGACTGAAATTTTTATGGCCAATACCAATCCCTACACATAATAAAATGTTAGGAAGATCAGAGAAAAAATAATGTGCCATACATCTGCAAGATTTATTTTAATTACATGATATTAACTGATACTAGGAGATCCGTCTAAGAATATTCAAAAGAAAAGAAAATTTGGTTCAAAAATTAGAATTCAGCATAGGCTGGATAACCAAGATTCTTAGAAAAAGAAATGTGTACTAATGAAAAAGCTAATTTAATTTTTTAACTTATTAAGCTAAGGCATTTATATTCTTGCCTTGTGCAATATGTGGATGCCAATTAACTTAACTTAAAATACAAAAAATGTTCTCTTCATCTATGTGCCCTAAACATTACAGGTGAGGGGGAAAGTCAAAGTAAAAACCTGAATTAAAACAGGATGGCCCCCATTAATTTCAGTCCTAATTAAAGGAGGATCCTTGCTTTTCCAGATTCCTACCCTTAAAAATTCACATATCTTGTGACCATTTCCAGATATCAATGTTTAGTTTTGTTATGAATATTGGTAAGAAACACCATGCATTAATGAAAGTTTGAGCTCAAGTATTAAATGCAGTCTGAATAATAATAATATTACATGTTACAATGTGGTAACTTGGACAGCAAAATTATATAATAACACAATTCCAAACAAAGGAAGTCAGGTTACTGACCCACCTTCTTCAACTATTGAGAAATAGCTATGGTAAACAGTTACAATTAATGGAAAGTTTAAAGTTTGAAAGCTCAATGATATACATTAAAATCATCAGAACTTATGCATCCTTGCGAAAAAAAGGTCAATTACCACCATAACTTCTCCCAAACATTCATGCTTACGGGAAAACATTAATTTTTTTTTTTTACTAGGTGGTACTGTATTTAAAATACTTCTACTGACACAAATGCATTTTTCTAGAGTTATCTCATAGTATATGACTGTACAGGTCATGTGGATGGTTCCTGCATGGGGACTGACATTTCAATTACCCCAGCAAACTTTAATCACCAGAATTGCAAGCTGAGGTGTATTTACCATGTGCTCAAGTTTCCAAATCAGTCACCTACCTCAGTTACAGTGGAGTTCACTCCTTTTTGAGCCTATCTTCAGCTTGATCATCCTGTTACATGTGAAAACATCAAATGTTACTCACATATTCAAATAATTAATGAAAGTTATAATTTTTTTAATAACCTACTTCCTTTAACCCTTTAACTCCCATGTATGACCAAGACAGAATTTCTCCTAACAATATCATTACAATATCAAGCAGACAAGTGATGAGAATAAATAAAAATAGTAATCAGGGGATTATTGGTTGATCCAATACCAAATTCTCAAAACTAACATCACAAGAACTATGTGGTAGACAGTAAGGAGAATTACTAATGAGATCTTGGGAGTTAAAGGGTTAGTTGTCTCCAGAAATAGTAAATGGTATATAGTAAAAGAAAGGAAAAAAGTTCTTGAAACATTTTATGTTAAATGAAACTTTATTATGAATGTTAACCCTCTAACTCCCATGAGTGATCAAGAAATAATTTTTCTCTACAATATCAATATAATATCAACCGGGTAAGTGATAAGAATAAAGACAAATATTAATTTGGGGATAATTATCATCTATTCTTAGTATCTATCTTTTACCAGCTGACATCTGAGAAGAATCAAGTCTGCTACACTGGCAATTTGACACATTGCAGGCAAACCCTACTACTGATTAAATCTTATTTGAATCAAAAACATGAAGGACAATAGAGGAAATTACCTAGCACAATCCAAGTTTCCCTTCTTAAGTACTCTGTGGTGTTTCTTCTATCATATGGTAAACTGAGTTTACAGTTTACCTCATTTTTCTGATGGAGGGTGCCTTGTGTACATAAAAATTAAAGTTCAGTGCCTTTAGTGGCTTTTTTGGGTACAAAGATCAACAAAGAACAACAGCCACACCAAAACATTCAAAGACATCTCTACAATGGTAGGTACACACAACTGACATTATTTCTATCAGCTTTGAAAACTTCTGTATCATTGCTTTCAAAGAAAAGCATTTCCCATGAACACTTAAACATTACAGACATAAGCTACCAGCAACAGGTTTTTCCATTGTTTCATAACATTAGCTTTTACATTTGAAAGAATAAGAAAATTTTATCATTACAATATAATGAAATCCCCCATTTTAACCCTTTTAGACCCTTTTAGAATTTCTCCTTACACTATCAGTATGATAGCAAGCAGACAAGTAATGAGAATACAGAAAAATATCAGTTAGGGAATTAATGGTTGATCCAATTTTAAATTCTACAAACTAACATCACATAAATTGTATGGCAGACAGTAAGGAGAATTACGTGTACTAATGAAATCTAGAGGGTTAAAGGGGTACGACACATATGGTAATCATATGTACCAGAAAAGTGTTCTTATGTACAATGAAGTTTCAAACTCACTGAAATTAAGTTGACTTCATGATTCAGATTGTAGTGTAAGAAATGTGTAATATCTCTTTACATGGATGAAAAGAGAATGCCATTTATGAATTTTAAAATAGAAAATGTCAAAAACTTTAAGATGGAATTTAAAAAAACTACTAAGATATAGCATATCTATTCACTGAGATTTAATCATTAGCTAGCACACAGAGATATAAAAGAGGCTTTGTGAAAAAAACACCAGGGCTATAAAATAAAAGATTCGGGAGAAGCACATGACATCAACTAGTTTACTGATTTTCTCACTGAATTCATTCTGGAAGGAGAGCTCTGCAAAACTTCTGTTTTATCTTCTCAGTCACTTCAATTAAAACATAAAATTTAAATATTTGCAAGCAGGTTAAGAAGGAAATTAAAGGAATGGGGTAATTTTTTTAAAGAAACTGTGTTGCTGAGTCGGTGGGGGTATAACAAAATAATTTGGTTTTATCAACTGAGTTAATAATGTAATATGGCCTCCGTAAAGAGATTCAAAGGTGCCGTTTCGAGCGTTAGCGCTCAGTCAGTGCGATGATGAAGGGCTAACTCTGGAAATGTCAGCTTTGGAACTCTTTACGGTGGCTAATTGACATTATTAACTGAGTTGATAAAACCAAAATTATCTTGATTGTGTAGATGAGGCCATGTAAACCACGGAATTTGTTTTCTATCACTCTCATAAACTACTTCTGAAAGATTCGCGCGAACGTTACAAGTTATAACCGTGATAGCAGGGTAAATATATCTTATTAGACGTTTTGGTGTGTTGTATCGCTCAGTATTTTGCCATATTTTGTAGGGTGAGTCAAAATACTTATAGGTTATTTATTCTCCAACAGCTTTTATTTCTGCTAAGTCTCTCTGCTTATTTCTCATAAGGCGAGAATAGCAAAGCGACCAGAGAAACGTAGCGCGCGCAGCCGACTGGTTAAACAGACTTTTTTCAGTACAAAGTAACCAACCGTCTAAATTTTTCTGCATATCATAAAGTTCTATGGCTTGTGAATCCGTTACTTGCACTCTTTCTTGTCTGTCGCGGAGAGGGTCCACATGAGACCCGTCTTGTTTTCTTGAATAAACTTCGAGCATACTGCCTCATAGCTTCTCCGTAGACTCCGTATAATATTGGATCTAAGGCCGTATTTAACAGAATCAATAACTGAGACGCTCGCCATACGTAACCACCATTTGTGAAATGGAAGTACGACAACGTGCGTGTGACCATGAAAGGTGACCAACATATTACAAACGCTATTGTGAGTGCTGCCAAGACCTTGGCCACTTTGTAATGCCGCTTATAGCGCATGGAAGCTATGGTGTTTGATGTATTTGATGCAACGCTTGAGCGTAAGGATAGAAAAATTCTCATCTGAACAACTATCGTGTAGACAAGAGTTACAAGGAAAAAACAAAATGCGTGCAGGAAATGGTTCCTGTGTCATCTGTTTGGGTTTGATAAGCATAAAGCAAAGGCGAAGCGACGACTGCGCCAACTGACCAAACGGCGATTAACTTTCGTAGCATGTTTTCCCTTGTGATGAGTCTGACTCTTAAAGGGTCTACCACAGCCTTAAGACGCTCAAAGCTGATAAGAACAAGAGTCAATATGGAGGTGGAGTAACATGCTTCAATGACAAAGCTTTGTAGTTTACAGGATATCTCGCCGCCTGTCCAGGTCCACATCAAGTCAAAAATAGTCAGTACCGTAAATGCTACGTCTGCAATTGCTAAGTTGGTGATGTAACACATCAAAGAAGATTCTCGTTGTCGTTTTAGTTTGTAACAGAGCCAAAGAACAAATGAGTTGCCCACGATTGACGACAGGAAAATTAGGAAATAAACACATGTGAATGTGGCAACTAATGCTATGGGAAATCCGCCGCTCGTTGCCATGTGTAGTATTCGGGTCCTCTTCAAGTTCTGTGTTAAACAAGCGTTTCTTACCTTGCTCAGAGCCAATGTGTGTTTCTGTGATTGATTGCCGACGACCATTCTGAATCTTGTCTTTTTTTAACCAAACCTGTTTGTATAACAAGCTGTCAACTTATTAAAACTCGCTTAGCATTTTTGTTCCCGAAAAAAAAAGAAGAGGTAAATAGAACTAAAATTTGCCTGGGTTGGATCTTCTATTAGAAAGTCCATACCCTCGCTTGTTTGTTATTGTTTTTTTTTTTCTTTTTTTGTGGTTCAAGTAGAATGGAATATATCTTGCTTGATTATGCCGGGATCAACAGGAAACATTAAGAAAGCTTCTTTACTTTGCGAAGCAGCTGTTACAACAGGAGTATTAAGAAAGTTTATGTGTTTTCCTGACAAGAAATTGGATGTCATCAATTAATTTCAATGGAAATCTCCTCAGCCTATCTCTTAAAGCGATCAGAGCCTGACGATAAGCATTCTTAATCCTTTCTTTACATAAGTGGTGCCAAATCTGAAGACAACAGATATGCATGATGTAGTAGAATAATCGCTATTTATTCTTCCAACATAATTATAAGCTATTCCGCATCTTGTGAAAGTGCTTATGTATAAGCTTATTCAAAAAGCCGTGAATTTCATCGTAAGCCCTCGGCAAGTTTTAATCTCTAGTTTTGGACAGCTTTATAGAATGGGTGAAGCACTGTTTGTAATATTTATCGCTCTGTTTATCAAAATTGTAGTAATGTTCTTTCTTACAAAACATCACTTTAAAAATGATAAATAAGCAAACCTTGGGACACACAAGCTGCCAAGATGATCAAGTGAAATATAATGATATGTAACTGTCATAACTAACATTTCTTCTTTGCTTTAACAAAACTTAATAGTGATGTTAAACAGAACTTGATTGAAACCGTTGTGTGCAAGCTGGTGTTAGCTTCCACACAACCCACCAATTTGATCGAAACCGGTGACATATGATTTATATCAGCGTTTGATATAAATCTATATAATGACATATCAGTATGATTATATCAACGTTACGATAATTGTGCAGTTCAAATGTTTTGAATATTCATCAAATGCTTAACGACAAGATCCTGATCGATTTAATGCCGTGAACGTTTCACAAAATATTTCTTGGCGATCTTGGAAGACCTTTGAGACTTATGGTAATGGCATATTTCAATGCCCTTATGAATTTACATAAAAACTTGCTATCATCTCACAGATGTCAAATTTACTTTAGATCAAAAGGACCCTGGAACAATACTGCCTATTTGAATTTATTTTGAACTCTAAGAACTTTACAACTTTTGACGTTTATTTTAATCAAATGGTTTAGCTATTCAACCATAGCTTTAAAAAGAACGTTATCAACTGATCAGAGGAATCATTGAACTATACTTCGAATTATGTTGATCTTAATTTGAACTCCCCTCTAACGAAATCCTTACCCAATCACGGTCAGTTTTGAATGTTTTTTATGCTTATCCGATGTTGTCGACCTCTTGGCAATAAGGAAACTACATTATTATGAATTGATTAAATACATGGTTTATTCAATATGCCCCAGTTTAGATAAGATTCACCAGGTGATATTGGTTATCTCCCTGATCCTTACTCTATAGCGACTTAATTTTAGGTTACACAGCAAAAATCCTTTTTTCGTTACATCCTCAGTATAATGCACATCTTTCCAATTTTTCCTATTCACAATGGAAGTCTCCCTGTAAATCAATAAATTCGATGGTACAACTTCGTAAGGGTATATGTTATTTACTGATATTCACTCGAAACCTGTGATATAATGAAATTACCATGGCTTTTATGACTTTCGCTAACTACTATAATACATTTCGTTTTTACCATCTTAACTTATTTTTATTCAATTACAGTAAAATATAAGATTTTCGTGGGAGAAAAACACCTGTTTTTTTTCTTTTATTTTTACAAACCGCTGAGGTACCTTTCCTTAACACAAAATTTACATACATATATATTTTAGACAAGTCACTTCTTCTGGCTGAACTTTCTCCGTCTTATTCTGTTTTGTTTATCTGTTTTTGTTAATTTATATTTCAAATATAAAATCTATAACTTGGCTGAATTCAGAAGGGAACGTTTCTAACAAAATGAAAGTTTGTGCATATATTTGAGAGGTAGCAAGCATGCCAAATTGATCGAAATATCCAAAAGAACTTTTCATTCAACGCCGGTTGCTTTTCTCACCTTTTCCTCTCTTACTGATGGTGTGTCTTGTCAACTTTTTGTTCCTACAAGTAAAAGGAATCAAGTGGATTTCCAGAGGTTTCTTTAGCAGAAAATTAATCCCTGAGAATGTTGGTGTGTACTTTACGTATTATAGATATGACAGTATGAATTAAATATTTATACTGTCAGGAAAATTATTTCATATTTCTTTGTTCCCTTCTCTTGTCTAGCTTTAAAGAATACCCGCTTTAAAGAATACCCGCTGCGAATCGTGTAGATTATGGAACACTCCTTCGTGGCTGCTACGGGCTCATGCCCTGTGTCCAACAGATTAAGTTCTCAAGTATACCTTTCACTCTAATGTATTTTGATAGAGAGATGTCACTGTGTTATCCCTGTTCTTGTGGAGAACTCTTCGTAGTAAAGACTTTAAGTCTCCGTCGTACAAACCGTACAACAAAGGATCCAATCCGGTATTGAGAAAGATTAAAAGTTGAGATGCCCTCCAAATGAGTCCTTTTGGTGCTAAACGAAAGTATATTAGCGTCCGATTGACCATGAAAGGAGACCAACAGATCACAAATGCTATAGTTAGTGCAGCAAGTGTCTTTGTAGCCTTTTTGTGTCGTCTCTGTGCTCGCGAAGTGAACAATTTGCTTGTTGGTCTAACGCTTGTGCGAAGAGCGAGATGAATTCGGATTTGGGTAAAAATCATGTAAAACAACGGGGCCGCAAAGAATAATGTCGTGTGCAAACTGTAATAAATCTGCGGGACAATGACTCCATTTCTCGTAGTCATACAAGCAACGTTGCTGTCCACCGTTTTTATGCCGTAGATATGCAGCAGAGGAGTGCAGACCAGTAAGCTAAATCCCCAAATTATAACTGGTTTAAGGTATTCTCTGCTGCACCAGTTTCTTGCTCTGGAACTAAATGGATCTGTGGTAGCTTTTAATCTTTGGTAACTAATAGTTACAAGTGTCATGATGGAAGTCGTATAGCTCGCCTCCACAAAGAATCCTTGAAGCTTACAAGTGTTGTTTCCACCTATCCAGCGCCACAAATATCCGATCATGTTAAATACGGAAAGAAGAGTAAACAGGAGATCCGCCATCGCTAAATTCACCAATAACCACTTAAACGGGGAATATCTTCTTTTTAAAGTCTTGTAGCAAGTCAGCAAAACCCATGTGTTACCAACCGTTGATAAAATGAAAACTGAGGTGTAAATTACGATAAACAATACCAAAGCAGGCGCAGCGACATTGTCACTTACCGTCATTTTGGTTTGGGTAAAATACTCTTTTTAGCAATATTCCGAATAATTTAAAGCTGAATTTTTACACCTCTCTGTCCTTGTTCGACTAAGTCAACTTTAGTCGCTACAGAACTAATCAAAGTACAACGGTAAATGCCAAGACTGCTTTTGGTTTTTCCATTTTCTTTCCCCCGCTTCAAATGCATTTATTTCTACTTTTCGTTGTTTACCACCCTTTTTAAGTTCTCCATCGACAGCTGCATATTTAGGGTACAATAGGACTATATGAAGAGCGTAAGAATATATCATAGCAAACTAAATGTTATGTTTGAAAACACCGTGCAAATTGTTGGAAGCCAGTTTATTACTATCCAAACCCAAGATACCGCTTATAAATTATTAACCTTTTGGTTTCCAGGAGAAATTTTATTTTGATGTCATTGGAAATGCCGTAAGAAATACACAAATGTTCAATAGTATTTTTCTGACCGATGTAAAAAGCATTACTTTAACCCCCAAAAGTCAATTTTTAGATTAAAATAAAATCTGTCAGATACCATTGAAAAGTTGACATTAACTCTTTGAGAAAATTTAAAATGTGTTTTGTGCCAATTTTTCTATTTACATATCTTGGCTGCTAGATGCCAAAATTTAAATAGACTTATGCACCTGTCATTTTCTTGTTTCTGAAAAAAGAATGAAAATCGACTTTCATAAGCGTTTTACGCCCGAGTATTCATCGATACATAAATAAATATTTACATTTTTTTTTAAATTACTTTATTTGAAAGTAAAAGCATTACAAATTCAATTTGGTGAAAATTGTTTTCTTTCAGCTACTTCAGCGGTTTTAAAATCTGATCTCAAGAAGATTGCATTTGATAGCAGTATGATTCCATAAGGCTGTAGTTCCTGTCCAAATCTATGTCAAATCAAGGATTAGAATTGTTCGTGAAATAATACATCTAATGTAACAAAAAAAGCGGTTAGTTCTTCATTTTGGGCTTAATGATTAATTGATAAGACAGCTATGGCCTCAAGGTGAACTTAGGCCCGTGCAGTCCAGCTCTAACTGTTATAATTTTCCAACCTTTTTTACCTTATTTACAAACAGTTTTGAAAGGTGTTTGCAGGGAGTGGCTTATAACGCAGCATTTGTTGCTTATAAGTTCAATGTGTTGTAATCCTTCGTCACTTATAAAAAGCGAAACAGTCCGTGGATCAGTTATTTTGGCGCTTGAATGAAGGTCAAATAAAAGATTGGACTATAAAGAGGCCAACGTGCTTCTCCCTCGGTACAATTAATTAATTACAATACGGGCCAGAATCAGAAATTCGATTTAGTTTTTCTCCCGCAGGAAAATACACAAAAAAGGCGCTACGTGGGAGTTTTCAATTGCGCGTCACTGAATTTCCGGAAATGATCAGGCAACCAATCAAAATGAGTTAAATAAAAAACCGGAAGTTCTGTCATCCGACAAAAACAAACACACGAAGAGCCGATAAGTGAAACGGTGAAACAGGTTTTTTTTAGCCAGAAAAGAATTGGCTTCGACAAAACCTCCTCCGCGGTCACAAATATGAGCTGATATTTGCTGCACTATTTATTTTCCAAACAAAAATCCTTGAGTATAGCTGCCGTTAATCTATTTGACAATTCCATTTGATCGTAAACGATACTTTGAAGCAACAAACAACTGCACTCGAAGGTTTACCCGCAATAATATTTGTTTGATGCAAACCGTCATACTCTGGTGAAACGGTGTGGCTGTTTTTTCATCAAAGAAAAAATGGCCACACCAAAACGTTCCCTGCTGACGCAAATACGAGTTGATATTTGCCGCACTCTATATCCTCCAAATGACAGTCCGTGAGCGTAGCTGCCGTTAATCAGATCGAAGATGCTTATTCCATTTGATCATAAACAATACGTTAAAGCGGACAAACGAGAACTACGTTCGAAGGTTTCCCGTCATAATTTCTCTCATAAGAACCAACACCTGAAATATCAGACTTTTCCAAAAGCCAGATGGCAACACGGTTAGTAACTCCTTACCAGAAAACAGTGTAGGAATTGCTTCTTTTTGCTCCGATTTTAATGCGCGAGACATATTAAATTCCGAAGGATACCTAAGTGATTCCTCGAGAGCGGAATCGAAACTAATAACTTCACATTCAGAGTTCGCCGTCTTTCAGTCTTTCTCCCGCACGGGCAAAGTGTCAGAATGACGCTCAAATGACACATTTGGCTAGTGATTGATAGCTGAAGCCTAACCACACCAATCAGGAACTCCGTTCGTGGGCAAACGGAGTTTTGCAACTAACAGTGACTTCGGATAGGCGTAATCTTCACTTCCCCGCCTCCAACACTCTCCATATTTTTGACCGTCGACCGCCCCCTTGTTACAAACTTCTTTCTCTCACCAGCCTTACGCTTCCATTAAAATCAAAGATGGCGGCCATAATTTTCGTTAAGAAAATACTGAGCACTTGCTCGTCAAAATGACGCCTGCTCTGCAGGCTACAAAGGACTAAAATTAGTGGTGTGATATAATATAGTCACACTTGCGCTATTTCGTATCTGTAGATTAGGTTAACAAAAGGTGACTGATTTAGCCCGCATATAGTGTCAAAGGAGAGCACCTCTTAGGGCCGAAACAATGCAAACATAATCCTGGATGGTTCCAATTGCTTATTTGATATACACTCACTATACAGCCCTTAACAGCTGACATAATTACAAACAAAGCTCCCTTCATTAAACTAGGAACCACAAGAGGTATGAGAGATAAATAGTTATGTGTACAAGAGAAGTAATTTTTCAACAAAATAAAAATATTATTTTCTTCAACTAACCTTTTCGACAAACACAGATCACCTGTGAATAAAACAGCTGTCAAAGGAGTATAATCCCTGCCAGCATGTCAAATTTTGTACATTTCTTGATACGAATTGTATCTGCTCATATTCTAGTGATACTTATGGTGACGACAAATCAAATGATCATATGCTGATGATAATATTTCGGAAATTTCATCGAAAAAAGGTGCTAACACTAGGTAAAGTATTACCCCAGGCAACAGGGCCTACAACGGGTCTAGAAAATATTGCTTTGCTGTATTCATCCCATATTTCTGGTAAATATAGCTTTTGCCGCCTCAAAAGAGGAGGCGATACTGCAGAGGCTTGTTAGCTCAGTTGGTAGAGCTCTGCACTGGTATCGCAGAGGTTATGGGTTCAAATCCCGTACTTACCTGAATTTTCTTCAGGCCTTATTTCTAGTACTAGTTCAGTAGTGTTCATAACTGCGAGGATCGATTCTAAATTCGTTTCTTCAACCGCAGCGCTCAGATACATGATTTTCATATGTTTACAGCCATTATGAACAACAAGGTTTTTTGGGAAAGGTGTCTTTTTCATAGATCAATCAGTGTTTGAGACCCTAAGACAGCATACCCGTGTCTTTGTTTGTCTGCCAAAGGGCATCCATTCACCAGATAAACAACTCACTATCATTTGCAATTAGTGGTTTTTTTTCTTTCTTTTTCTTTTTTTTTTTTACCTTGCTGGTAAGCCGGCAAAGATGCGTGATAACACTGGCAGCAAATCGAAGGTACACGTATATGTAATCTGTTCAATTTTGTGTTTTTTATAAGCTGGAGTCAGAAAAAACCACATATTTAACGCAAATGACATTTAAAAGATGTACTATCGGATCTGAAATAGTGAATAACTAACAGGTAAAAACAGTTTTAAGGTCCCTCAGCAATGACGCAAATGTTGGTCACTTACATTTGTCCCTACAGCTCAGACCTACGGTAACTTCCCAATTCGATCTTATTTAGAAGTCATAGCAGTTGAACTAGCCATAAAACCAAAGCTGTCATTATCTGAGGTCGGTGCAAGGACATATTGACCATTAACAAGTCTAACTCTTTTGCCAACAGGTATTTCTTTTATGCTTTATTTAGTCTATAATTTTGGGCTGCCACCAAGTTGTGGTTATTATCAGGAATCTATCTCTTAACGGACAACAACAGCCTTTGAAACGTTTGGTAAAATTCGCTACAATTCTGTAACAGGGTAACAGCGCCAAAGTAACAACTTTTTAACATAAAGTGTGGCGTTATACAAGGATTTCCAGCCCTGAGAAAGCCGCAACGACACACGTAAAAAATACGATAATTTTTCACGTGCGTTGGATATTACTAATTAGCTGCTGACGCGTCACTAGCTTTTCGCGCCACTCTGTCATGTTAATGAATGAATAGCAAAACCTTCACCAATCTCAATCCAAGGTTTTCCTCGGATGATGGCTGCCAAAACACTGAAAACTTCATATCGCTTACAGTCAGTGACGTTCAAAAGTTTTTTAGAAGGGAAGAAAACCAAAATACGAAAAGAAAAACCGAAAGTTACGTATTCTGTGGCGTTGGTCATGGTATTACTCGCTGCTGAGAACGAAAATTGACGGTTGGAAGACTTATCACAGGTCGATTTCGGCCGTGCTACCTGAAAACAACATTTCCTTGTGCTATTTATCACCAATACCACTCTTCACCACATCAAAATAAAAGAATTGGCAACGTGTTGCCAAAATTGAGATTGCGGTCTCAGTATTTTACAGTTTTTGTGTCCTCACGGTACTCGTGCAGTAGTCTAAATATTTGCACAGGAGAATAAGAGTTTGAAAACTGCTTTAACATTCTCGCGCTCTCTGTAGATACCATAAATTATTGGATCTAATAACGTGTTCAAAAATATCAAAAATTGCGTTGCTCTCCACATGTACTCGTCGTTTGTTACGTGAAAGTATCTCAACGCTCGAACAAAGAAAAAGGGCGACCAGCAAGCTGCAAACGCTAATGTAAGAGCTGCTAGAGGTTTGGCGACCTTTAGATGCTGTCTGGAACGCATAGCTGTAAAAGTATTTTTTCTGGGAGAAACCTTTGCGCTAGAGCGCAGAGTTGAGAAGATTTTAGCCTGGGCATAAATCATGAAGATAAGAGGACCCAGGAAAAAACCAATGGCATGAATACTGTAGTAGATTTGTCTTCCCAAATCTCCAAGCGTGTCGTTGGTGCAGAGAATTGTTCCTTCGTCGTTAGCTTGTGTCTGGTAGGCATAAAGTAAGGGTGAGGCAACAAGCAAGCTAACAATCCACGAGATAATCAATTTTCTGTATACACTCTTCGTAGTAATCGCTATTCGTCGAAATGGTTCAACAACAGCCTTGAGTCGCTCAAAGCTTATAAGAGAAAGGGTTGTTATGGATAATGTATAACAGGCTTCTATGAAGAAACTTTGCAGCTTACAAGTGATCTGTCCTCCAACCCAGCTCCAATGATCGGCTATCGCGTCTAGTATAGACAACAACGCAAACGTGAGATCAGCGACGGCTAGATTGGCTATGAACCATTTTAGTAAACACCCTTGCCTCTTTATTGAACGGTAGCAAACAGAAAGAACGAGGGAATTTCCCACCACTGATAGCACCAGCGACAGTGAGTAAATAATGTAACCGAATGCAATATACATTTCGTCTTCTTTGGCCATGAGTGTTTTTTCTCTAGTGGAAGATCCTCGATTTCTTGCGAAGGTCGGGTTATCCTTAGGTTTATTCAGTAATAGCTTAAAAGAGGTCTTTTATGTTCTTATGCTCTCCACAGAGAGAAGCCAGAAAAAAGTTATGGAAATTAAAAAGGGAGACAGGTGTTATAGTGTTTGATGACGAGACAGTTTTTTGGCTTGAACGTTGAAACAACTGGGTTTGTAAACTCTTTGAAGCTACTTTGTATGAAAAAAGAACCAGATTAGCAAGTCAAATATCATAAGAAAATGTAAAAGACACTTAACGAATGACCAAGACCAATATCACGAAATTAGCAGAATGGGAGTAAGCTGAATATAAAGATTTCATTGGAGAGTACTGAATGAAATAAATACGAGATTTCAACTCTCTCTATAGTTACATTAGCTAGGTTTTTTCCTTCTTAGGACATTAACTAGTTTGCTCCAAGATAAATCATAGTACATCGTGACAAGATTTAGAATGATCGACAATCTGTTTTTAAATTACTTTGGCAGTAAAGATAAAATTACAATGAAGATGGTAATTTAAATTTCGAAGGATGCACGGTATGAGAGAGTTAATTAACCTATAACCAACAGTAAAAGGAGTATACAAACTGCAGACCTGATGGGCAGGGTGTGTGATATTAGAGTATGGTCTCTTAAAATGGCGCCCCACGCAAAACGAAGTGAAATTACAACCCATTAAGTGAGATTGGGCTGGTGGTCGGTGTAACGGTAGAAGAAACACAAGAATTTTGAAAGGTGCAGTCTAACTTTAACACAGATTAATTGGATGCCTGGTTCTTATTTTGCTTAACAATACATGCACTTAGCATATCCAATTGATGCTAGCAAATTTTAAGGGCATTTCGCATGAAATCTACCGGTCAGCATAACTTTGTTGTTAGGACTTCATTTCAAGCTGTTGCAAATTAGTTGCGTTCTCGATCTTCTTGGCCTTTAGTTGAGATATCACGAAAGGATCCCTAACTATTGTCAGTTCTTAAATATCGGTTTTTGACAAACATGAAGATGAATTTGCACCTTTTTTCCAATTTTGCTACCCGACAACTTTGCACTAATGTATAGGATTATGTTTTCAAAGCACTTTTCTGATCATCAAATCATCCATAATTTCAGATTACAAAACTTGTGTAGTCTTTGGCTTAAAAGGAAGAGAACCCTCCTGTTCTCAAAAAACTGTGCCCCTTAAAAAAAGGCCTTTTTGCTTCTTGCTTTTCCAAAATACAATTACAAGTATTAAGGATAAGATTTTAGCAGAATATAATTTCCTACCTAGGCTATCTAGCTTTTGGATCTCAAAGGAACATTCACGCCTGATACAACAATGATTGAAAATGAAAAAGGTCGAAAACCACATGTGTCAAAATCATTTTCAGTTTAATCTAGCTTGAATTGCTTTATCATCATCAAGCTGATTTATTATTGATGTTCTGTCACAAACAAATAATTGACCGACAGCGTAGTAGCTCTGCTCTCCAACAGTACATGAAATCAGCCCCCGCAAAAAAAAAAAAAGGAGCGACAAGGTTAACTGAACTTGTTGTTCGATTATATGGCAACCGTAAAGGCAATGCCTTCTCTTGCAAATGGAAAACAGACATAGTTTGATGCTACTCTGGTTTACAGATTTAATGAATGTAACCAAAGAAGTTACAATTCATAGACCCAACGTTTCGACACTCCTGTCTAGTGCCTTCATCAGGGGTGATCTAAACACTGCAACAAGAGATCCTTTTATATGATCACTAATTAGCGGCCTTTTTTCTGACGAGGTGTAAATAGGCGTCAGGAGGCAAACCGCCATCGTCACGATTTAAAGGAGCGTGGGCGGAGTTAATATGCCAAGCCTCCAAACAAAGGCGCTGGTGGTAACGCCGATTAGTGGTGATAATTTTAGAATTATCCCACCCAATTGTATGGTTAGTTAGACAATTGGTGAAACATTGAAGTGCTCTCGAACTTATACGTTCCATTATTTTATGTCTCAGAAAACGTTGCACTGATGTATAAAATCAGCGCTATCATGTTCATTCATCTGCGATTTCATTGCACAAAGATGTAAGCGTCTGGCTGAAAAAAAAAAATCAGACGCCACGCTTCGCGAAAATCAGGAAAAAGAGGGCCTTTACTGTTTTCCGTAGCGCCTATTTCAAAAAGCCTTTTTTATTGCTTTTCAAAGCTTTAATTTCAAATGTGAAGGACAAAGAGTTTATTTTGTACATAATTTTCTACCTCAGCTGTGTCGCTTTGGCCCTCAAAAGATCGCCCATGGCTGATACAACGGTGATAAATAATGTACGACGAAGAATATCCGCATGTCCTCAAAATCATTTTGCCTTTTCGTGAACGTTTTTGTGGTAGTTTATATTGCCATATTCAAAACAAAATTCGTGGCAGGCACTCGTCATTCGGACAGCAGCACAATATTATATTTTAGGAGGGTTGATTCACTTTGGATTTTACCGTCAAAAGAAAATTATTGGTCAACAACATGCGAGCTTTGCTCTCTACTGCTTATAGAATCGGCCTCTTCCAACCCGAATCGAATAGCTAGTTTTATGGCAAATTTCAAGTTTCATTTCTACAGCTACAATTGAGACAGTTACTGAAACTTTCAGGTGCTCTAATTTAAATTCGGTTTGCTACCTAAGTCGTAGCTGTTTCTCTTCTTATGCATGCTAATGACTTATATTGCCTTTTGTTCTAGCCGTATCACCGCAACTTAAAACAAACTTCAGGATAATTTTTTTGGTAACGACAATGGAAAGTTATTAACTCATATTGGACAGAATCTTAATTGTTAGCCGTGAAAGCCAATACCTCTTTGAGACTCTGTACACATAAACATAAGCCCTGTATAAAGGTTGAGGTCTTTGGTATATTTACATTTAAAATATAACAGACGGCAATGGATGAATAATTTATAATCTTTAACATTCAAGGGATTAATGATTTAATGTCTGAAAAACTGTTCGACTACTGTTCAATGCATTACTTAAGTGATCTCTGATGCAGGTTGCTGGCTAAGGGTGCAAATTATTTTACACCAGCTTTTTTCCGAGAAAGGTGGATCAAACTGTCAGTTGCTGCGTCCTGGTTCTTGCTTCGAGGAAACGAGGAAATAGGGGCCATTTCAGTGACAACCGCAAACGTCCTTTGTCTCCCCTGCTATTTCTCCCGCTTCTAAGGTGGTAAGTTACCGTCTGGAACAGGCTCCTTAAATGACATCTACGGTGGAATATACGATGGTGTCACAGTTTCTCCAGACAATCATTTAATCTTTACCAATTGATGCAATTTAAAATCCTCCTCCCAATGAAAGTTTTAATCAGACAGTTCCGGTGTCGTTCTTCTCGGTGCTCCTAACTTTACATTGGCTAAAAACATCCTGGAATATATCCAATGTACGACCTGACCGAAATATTTGGTCATGACTCGAGGGCATGTTGGCCAGGAACTCTGGAACATATCAGTTGCCTGCCACAAGGAAAATTAAGGGAATCCGTCGATGAAAATTGACCTTTTTATCAAATGGTATTGACATGCGCCATCATTACTATTAGCGACATAGAACTCTCCTCAAGGAAGACTTCATATTTCCTCCATAATAACCATACAACAGAGGATCTAACCCAGCATTGAAAAAGATTAAAAGCTGAGACATCCTCCAAGCTAAACCAGGGGACGCCAAGTGGAATTGAAGCAGCGTTCGTATGACCATGAACGGGGACCAACATATCACAAACGCTGTACTAAGAGCAACAAGTGTCTTGGCAGCCTTCCTGTGGCGTTTATTCAATTGCAAAATAAAACACGAGGAGTTTCTGATTATAGGCACAACTCGCAGAGACCGATAAATGCGGCTCTGTGTAATTATCATATACAACATCGGTATAACAAAGAATATTGTTGTGTGAACGCTGTAAAAAATTTGCGGAATTCTATTTCCCCTTGTCGTCGTAACACAAACAACGTCGCTGTTTTCATTTGTTTCAACGCGATAGATATATACCAAAGGAGAGCATACAAGCAAGCTAGAAGTCCACATTAAAATGAGTTTTATGCGTTGAATTTTGCTCCAACTGCTGATTCGAACGCTGAATGGGTCGACAAGAGCCCGAAGTCTTTGGTGGCTTATGGCCACAAGTGTAGTTACTGAAGTTGTGTAGCTCGCCTCGAGCAAGAATCCTTGGAGTTTGCAGGTAATGTTCCCACCGATCCACTGTTCCAAGAATCCGATACCATTAAAAATCGTTAGGAAAGTAAAGAGAAGATCTGCCGATGCTAAATTTGTCAACAGCAACATGAATGGATAGTATCTTTGTTTCAAATTCTTGTAGCAGCGTAACAACACCCAAGTATTGCCAATGGTCGATAGCATGAAACACGTACTGTAAAATACCGAGAATGACACCAAAATGGCTATAGGAAAGTCGTCACTTGTCGTCATAGTTTAAGTAGGCAGAGAGGCCTTGACGAAGAATATTCTAGAATCACACAAGACCTGTCGACCACAATCGAGTTCAGTCAAAGTTCTGACTGCCTTGGCAGATATAAATGTCCGAGTGTTATGTCGCTCAGAGAACCCAGCACAGTACAAATGTATATATTCACACTAGTTGTTTTCTTCCCATTCACAGATTAATATAAAATTTAACATTTGACGGCTAGCTGTTTCCCTTAGTAATTATACTTTTTCTGCTCAGTTTGCTCAGCCCTTACAATTCTGTAACAATCCAAATTAAATACTGTCTTAAAATTTGCATGCTCATTAGAATTTTTTCTTTTTTATTTTATCTTTGAAGATCGGGCGGGCCTTTAGAACTCGCAAATTCACTTTACAATTTGAAATTTTAAGATTTCGGTTTTTTGATCAAATATTCAAATAAGCAGATACAGAAGTGCACTAGAGAACTGAAAATAAACTGAGTTGTGGGTAGATTATAGAGGAAATGAAATGCTAAAATGTTTATTCAGCTTCACACCTACGTGCAACTGTTGAGCTAAAGCGCCAACCATTTATTGGGATAAATCTTAAAAAAAGCTTGTCTGTTCTTGAGATTGTCCAGCGACTGACAGTAAAACTTCATTTTCAAGGTTACGGGGAATTGTGAAAAGGCCATCTGCTGGTGGATTGCGCTTAGAAGGGCGCAAAAATAAAAAGGAAACTTTCAGAACGGAGTCAAAACAATAGCCTTCGTCGCTATGATGTTACGTATTGTATCATTGCTTTTCCAATTTAAACAAACCCGGAAAACTATGGATGGTGAATCTATCGAAAGCAATAAAAAAGCGATATGTGAATCGAAAAGAAATTTCATTTGCTTCAATGGTAGATTGTAGTTTTCAATTTTGGCCGGATTAGATCAATTTGTTCAGACTCTACACCTAGTTGTAATCATCACTGAAAAACATTTCTGGGTTTAAGCTCCAAGCTTTCGTAAAGAAATGTGATCGATATCGCGGATGTGAAGCGACAAAATGGAGATATTTTTCCATTTCATTTTTTTTTTAATTCCTGCCTCCTTCGATTGTCTCAAAAGTACTCGCACTGCACATTTGAAAATTAGAATGCGAACTTTAAAATATTTTCAGGACACTGACCTCTACAAATTGCAAGTGTTGAATTGAAGGACAGATTAATTTACCGTTGGATGGAATATAAAGATTCATTAACCCAAGTTTTTCTTTTCATTTTTCGGTCACTGCATTAAAAAAAATTTAGATTTCGTTGAAATTTATGCCATAGAAAAACAATATTTTAGTCGTTGGTGCTATCAACATTTTTCGACACAATTTAGAAGAGGATACTGAATATTGTTAATATCGATATGGTAGCCACTTGAACTTTGGCTTTACCAAGCATACCAATTAATATGCTGTCTTATGGCTTATTATAAAAGTGAAGATCGTCTTTAACACAAAAACAGTGAAAAAAAGGAGTAATGAGGAGGAGAAGTGAAAGGTTACCAAGATTATCGTGGCTTTACATCTCTGAGTAACATATCGTTTTGATTGTTCCAAGATTACCTTTTATACTCTGATTGAGAATATCATGAGAGCATTCGTTTACCTTGTAACATTAAGAACAACAAGTTAAAAAAACTTAAAATGTTATTATTTAGGTTGAATGTACATTGTAATTATGATAAATTGTTTTGTTTTAAAATAATTTTTGGTCGGTGTCAAGGTAACGAGGAAGCTGTCCACCTGCAGGTAATTGCTTCGTTAAAACGAAAAAAAAAAATTTAGTGGTCTTAACACGTATTACTTTCCCTTATTGAAAATGTAATTAAAGCGTGTTTTTTTTTTTTTTTTACTGGCCTCTTTGAGTTTTGGGAAAACACAGGAAAACTTTGTAAATTACGAAGCGAGGGCGAGTGACTTACAGAGTTAGCGAGTCACAAAAAAAAACACTAATTCTGCGAGTGACTTGTCAGTCTGGTAAACAAATAACGAGAAGCGTATTCTTTTTTAAACAAAAAACAAAGGGTTATCTCTCAAATAAACAATAGGCTTATAGCGCGTATGATATTTCGGTTCTAAATTATTAAGAATTTTTTCCCAAAAAAATCACTTAGCATGGACTAAACATGTAACAAAGACTCTATCATTGTTCTACGGCAGTTTATTCCCATCTCTACTGAAATATGACTAACTTGAGGTGTTTATTTTTATTAGTTACTTGGTGCGGTCTATACTTCAAAGCGTTTTTAAAGAAGGAACAATATCTGTAGTGCAGCCTAGGCTCTGATTCAGAGAAGTTCTTAAAACGTGACCTGGTGGACTTTGTTGTGAATCCAGTGTGTTAAACAAATACCTCAAAACACCGGGTAGGTGGCGAGCCTGCAGCATTCACGAGGAAGAAACATATGGATGAATAGGCGAACTTGGAGAAACTCAATAGACATCGTTTTCGACGGGTTCAAACTAGATAGATGATCTCACTGGGCACTTTCGGTAACGACGCAGACGCCTGCCTGATCTCGAACTCAGGTGTGGGAGAGAAGATCATGTGCCTCCAACCAGAAACTATCTCAAATTGCCAGCTTATGCATACGAACACAAACAAACACAGTTTTTGGGAAGTCGTTTTAATAGAGTACCACAACTGAGCGCGGTGATCAGCTTATGTCTATGACGGGATGATTCCTATTACTCTCTTTGGTGGATAATTCATATCTGTCTTTGTCTCCCTTTGCATCGGCTCATCTTTGTCTATTGAACTAAAATACATTTTCATCTTTTATTCGTAGTTGCTTTGACCAATAAATAACTAGTGATCCCAGTTAAGTTTAGCATCTTTAATATCTATAAAATCAATAATCAAAATTACAGTATGAGAACATTTTATCGCGCAAACATTTTACACCAGCCTGAATCGAAAAATTGAATGAAGTCTTCATTAAGAATATTAAACAACTAAAATAACAAAATGAGCACGACAATTTAATGAGTAATAAAAGTAAATGTACATGTATTCTGTTAGTATATTATAAACAAGAGATTTTAAACTGAGCTCAGTTTATATTCTCTTGATTCTGTTAGTTTGATGATTGCCCTTTCCAGACCATTACAAATACTTTTTACTATGAGATGAATTAAAGGCAATAGCTGGTTTGTCGATAAAATCATTTGGTCTTACTTGATAGTTTCCCTAGCTCCATTCTTAATTGGGAGGGTGGTAGTTTATGGTAAATTGAACCAGGGAGTTAAATTTCGTGACAATGTGTCGATAATTGCGCGGCTTCTACACAAGCACAGTAGCTACTGACACGAGCATGTAAGTCTCGGCCGCAAGCAAGACGTCAGATGTCCTCCATAATAGCCGTAAAGTAAAGGATCTAATCCAGAATTGAGGAAAATTAAAAGCTGAGACATTTTCCATGCAAAGTCAGGCGACGCTAAGCTAAAGTATATAAGTGTTCGAATAACCATAAACGGAGACCAGCAGAGTAAAAACGCTATCGTTAGCGCGGAAAGTGTCTTTGCAATCTTCCGCTGCCTTTGCTTTGAGTGCGTAATGAAGGCCGTGGTTGGAATGGACGCTACTCGTAGGGTTCGAAAAATGCAGCTTTGTGTGTAAATCATATACACCAGTGGAGCTACAAAGAAAATTGTTGTATGCACACTGTAGAAGATTTGTGGGAAAAAATTCGTCCTCTTTCTAGCAAGGCACATAACACTATTTTGTTGCGTTTCCACCCGGTAAATGAACAACAAAGGTAAACAAACGAGTAGGCTGCAACCCCAAATTATGATAAGTTTAAAGTACTGTTTCTCTGGCCATCTTTTTACTAGAGCGTTGATTGGATTCGAAGTAACCTTCAGTCTTTCGTAGCTTATAGTCAAAAGCGTGATGATTGTACTTGTGTAACTTGCTTCAATTAAGAATCCTTGTAGTTTGCAAGTGATGTTACCACCAACCCATTGCCACAGAAATGCGATACTGTTGAATATGGTTAAGATTGTGAAGCAGAGATCGGCAGAAGCTAGATTTGCCAATAGCCACATAAAAGGGGAGTGTCTTTGTTTCAAAGTCTTGTAGCAGGTTACCAGGACCCAGATGTTTCCAACTGTTGATAAAATAAAAACAAAACTGTAGAAACCACTGAACAGAACCATAAGGATTGAAGAAAAAGAATCACTACTCTCCATGTATGGTAGTTTGGTCGGCTGATTTCAGTGAAACCGTAGGTTTCATGTAACGTTTAAGGACAAATCTCACTTTGTGGTCTATATAAATTTTGTTCGAATATTCGAGGATCAAAGAGATAAATTCAATCTTGTTTTACTCGGAGTTCTGTGTCCTGTTTTCAGTGTCTTCAAAAGCAACCTGAGGCGATGAGACTTTCCTATTTATCCTGATCAATCAGCTTGATAAAAATTAAAAGCCCTCGATCATTTTCCAATAAAGTTGTTTTTTTGAGCAAATAACTACTTTAGAGCTGACGTTTTGAGAGGATTTTCGTGCTGCTGTTTTAAAATTAAATTGACAGTCCCTCTCGAATTTGCATTTTTATTAATATACCGTGCCAAACTGACAATAGTGACATTATTGTTCACTAAGAAACATATCCCGTACTGGTCCTGCTGGCGACTAAGCTTCCGTTGAATGTGGCTTTAGGGAGAACCCTTTTAGAGATTGTTTCAAACAGAGTAATCTTTCACTGACGCGATTTTAGAACATCCGTGCGTCTATAATTGACGCTTTGAAAACTATGTCAGAGTGGGTTGCCCTTTGTTAATTTAAATGATAAGGTTTTGCTTCCACCAGGGCATAAAATTCTACGCCATATTGGATCAGATAATCACAAAATAATTACTTCGACCGAACGTGCTGAAACTCTTTTGATTCCACGGGAATAATTTTGTTTTTTTCTCATATTTCATCAAATCTTTACCTCCTATGACGAGGAACAAATTACCCAAATCACCCATTATTTCAGTGGGCGATAGCCTTTTTATCCTTAAAATTGATTTCCATAAACCCCTTTTTCATGAAATATGCAAGAACGATACTAAGTCTACTGCAATTTTTTTTCCTAAAAGATCAATGAACGTTTCAAGAGGTATGGTAAATCATTGTTTTCTTATTTCCCTTTGGTGCATGATCAATCTAATCAAGTTTGGGCGGTATTCGGAGGAAAATCTGATGTTTCTTTCGAGATAATTAATAGGTGTACTGCAGAAATAACAAAATAACAGTAATGTTTATCCCAGCAATTCTCTAGTACATCACCTGCCACAAGATTCAACGGAAGATTTCATTCAAATCACGAAAAAATCATCAAGTAAATAACTTTGCTTAAATATCATGGATAGATAGCAGTCAATATCGAAACCTAATTAGTTTCGCTTACATAGTTTATTCTACTAATTTTCCTTTAACGTGCAACAATTAAAATGTGATTTTGTTGAACTTTCGCCGTTACTTAATAACTTTCGAAATGAAATGCTCAATATTCAAACGAGCTATGTACTTATTGATTCAATCGGCGAGCCGGAAGGGAAAATATTTGGCTCGAGGCCATGACATACGGACTGAGCGCAGCGAGAAGTATTATTTTCCTGTTCAATCCAGCCAAATTCAGTAATTAAGCAGTTTATCACATCACCAAATTATGTTTCAACTTTGATAGGATGCAAAAGAGGGGCACACGCAGGACAATCACAAAAAAGATTCTCTTCCCTAATTTTTTTCGAGGCAGGATAACTCCGAGAAACTTGTTTTCGCAGTTTCTGTTTTCCTTTGGTTTCAAATCCACAATTATAACACACGTTTTCACAAAAAATTTGAAAAATAAAGACAGCTATACGAGTGCGGAGCCAGATGGCTTTTTCCAGAACGACTCAGGTTACACCCCACGCATATAAGCCCTTATTCTGGTTTTCATGCCGGCACTGGGTAAGCGGGGCGCGGGGCCGGACAGGTATTTATTATCTCATTATTTACCGTTTGTGAGGTAGCGACAAGTTCATGGAATTTCTAAATCAGCCGAGGTAGATCTTCTTCTTACATAGTGGGTGAAATTAACTCCGCCAACTCACTCATTTTCATGGATTGATAAACACCGCCTTCAAACACAACTCTCTTGTGCAACAAGAAACGGTGCGGTTGACTTATACTGTAAAAGCCCCCCTAACAGGAACAGTGTATTGTCTGTAAGGGTTTGTACATACACTAGCTAACAGCCTCAAACTGCGCCGCCTAATTCCTCGAGATGTTACGAATGAAATTGGTTCCGAGAAATTGTAATATCTTTTGCTTCTATGTTCACGATTTAAGCCTTGCAACTAACTTATTCAGGCTCTCTCTCATTACTGAGTAAGTGTGTTTTACTTCTTCCTTTTCGTGAAAAATTATTGAAACTGTTCGTGTCGATAAATTCTCTTTATTATTCAATGTTCTAACACTAGACATAAGCTAATAATCCCTTGATTAAAGGCGTCAGTTATTTTAAATTTATAAGGGAAAATCGGTGAGTATTGAATTTTACTCTCTGGCTCTGTATTCATAAATGCGAGTGATATACTTACTATGAAGTTCAATAACCCATTGACCCCCAGAAATGTTTAAAACGTAATCACTCCTTGAAATGTCATTATTTTATCCAGCTTGCAGGTGTTGAGAATATTCGAAATTATCAGGTCTTGCGCATAATTTTCGTAACTAATTTACAAGGAAATGTGTCGTAGCTAAGAGGGAGAATTAACAATCAGACCTTGGAGGTTAAAGGGTCAATGGAGTAATTTTGGGCTCTTGGACACTCTGAAAGTTAAAATCTCACCATGAACTGGGTTTTCAGTCAAATACTTTATCGTGAAAATTACGAAAAAATAAATCTTAACTTAACCTTAAGATTTTAATTATGCCTTGCAACGGGTTAAGCGGTGTCAAGCCATTACCACTCTATTGAAATTGCTCAATCATTCTCATTTGACAGTTTCCTTCCTTTGAGAAGCTCTCGATTTGGATAATAGTTTAAGCCAATAAGTTTAATGTTTTGATATTGTTGTGATAATTGTGCACCTTCCAATTTTAAGTAACTAATTACGTAAAAGTCTCGCTTGTAAGGAAGACTTCAGATGCCCTCCATAATAACCGTACAATAAAGGATCTAATATTATTGAGGAAGATTAAAAGCTGGGACATTTTCCAAGCGTAGCCAGACAATGTTAAGCTAAAGTACATTTGTGTTCGTATGACCATAAAAAGAGACCAATAGAGTACAAACGCTATCGTCAGAGTAAAGAGTGGCATGTCTTTGCAATCTTCCGTTGCCTTTGCATTGAGTGCAAAATAAAGGCAGAGTTAAGAATGGGCGCTACCCGCAGGACACGAAAAATGTGGCTATGTGTGCAAATCATGTACAGCAGTGGAGCCACAAAGAATATTGTTGCTTGTACACTACAGAAGATTTGTGGGAAAACAGGAAAAAAAACACTTCATGTATTTCCTTAGCCATTAGATATTAGCCTTTTCGTTAAGTGTCATTTTAAGAGCGGCTTCCTTAAGATGTCACTCATCATATGGTTCCTCCTTCCTACAAGTTAAGCCTTACCATCAAAGTTACTAGAAATAAATGACGTTACTTTTCTCAAAATGCAACAAAGCAAAAAATTAAACACTTTATGTACTTCCTTGTTCATTGAATGTTGGCTTTCCCATTAAGTATAATTTTAGAACTGACATCCTAGTGATGTGACAAGTCATATAGTTCCCCTTATACTATACTTGACTAAAGATAAATTAAGTTTTTGTTTAACGAGCAAATACGCAGAGGCCATACTGTTTCCCTTAGATTTGAGAATTTCCCTTCCATCGAGTGTCATTCAAACGAGTGGCCTCTTGATGAGGTCCTCAAACGTGAGCAACATAAATTTTTTGTTCAACATCTTCAAGAACACTTGTACATTTAGATTTTGCAATATACCGACAATTAACAATTAGAAATAATGAGTTTTAGTAGGTACCACGCAGATAAATGGTGCTTTTGCGCCCGCTGAATGGCTAATTCGGAGATGATTAGAAAGTAGTTTACCCCCGGGTAGCCAAAGAGACAATGATTCGAAACCGTGGTCGAAGGTGAAGAATTAGAAGACCAGGCGTCGACACAGGAAAACAGAAGAGTTTAATGTTTACACTTTACATTGACAAAAAGTCAAAATTCTGGTGCGCCCCTTTTCTGGTAATGTTCCCGTTGATTACACAATGATCCCTAGTTACGCACTAAAGGGCGTATATTAATGTGTCTGAATCCTCTCGGGATTAGTCCCAGTCCTCGCATAAATAAATTGTTAATTGGGCAAATCAGACAAATTCGAGTCAAGAGTTGCATTTCCAACCATTTTTCACTGCATTGACATAAACAGCTTTTTTTTTTTGGCGGCTTAGTAAATATAAGCCATTTCCCCGACGCTGAGGTGAATAATTTCAAATATTTGGAATTCAAATACTAATTTGACACCAAATTTAACACGTGGATGGTTTTATTTTTCATGATTAAACGTCTTCAAATGGGTAAACTATCTGTCGTCAGGTTCACTAATGAACTTTTTCCTCATCGAGAGTAATCAGAATTTTTCTTAATTTGTAAAAGAAAGGATTTAAAGCAAAATTGTCCTTTAACTTTCTTTAGGGATATTCGAAGCTCAGAAAGTTAAAATCTTGCTTGAAACTGGCTTTTGATTGAATTTTTTCAAATACATGGAAAAATCTATAGACTAAGTCATGAGATCGTGAATGGTGGTAATGATGTCTTGAAAAACCATTGGAAATCCCAAAGAGAAAAGAGATACACTTTGTTATTATATGAGCCTTTTTCCTTTTTTTTTTCCTTTCTTTTATTTCTTGGGGGAAAATTTAGCCTTGATTCAAAAGCGATAATCGATGAAATTTCCCATGTCAGTCAAATGCTTGACGTCCTCCGAACGTGTTTCAATGGGGGTCCACTTTCCTCCTAATCAATTATGTGTTTTCGTAAGGTTTGCTCCCTGAGCTTTAAGAAAATCTACAGTGTTCTAAATGACCTCCCGAAAGCGTAAGGGCATAAGGCTGGTTTTCACTTACGAAGAAGTCGGAGTCGTAATCAGATGTACTGCGTGATACGATCTAATGGAAATCAAACCTGACGGTATCGAAAGAAAACTACTGATGCCACTTACCACTCCATCAGATATACAATCCAGTGAAAACTACATGGTCATAGTCACAAGTGAAAGGCCAAGAATAAATTGATCAAAATATCTCAATGATTGGTTCGTTCTTCCACTCCTGACTGCGACTCTAACAGTCTAGTTTTTACTGGATCATAAAAGTCGCAGTCTTCAGCGAAATCGGAAGAAAATGAGAATGATTCTTCTGATTCCGATTCTGTTTCGTTAAGCTTATGACTCCACTTACGCACCTGGTCGGATGCGCGCTCTTACGACTCCGACTCCGTTGCGGGTGAAAAACTGCAGTCTTAGGATGGTGCACTCGGGTGACGTTTTCGGGGATATATTTCTGAACGATTCATTATATAATAACTTAGAGAAAATTCCGATTTGTCTGAAATTGCTTTGTTTTTGTTTTACTTAAAAATTAAATTCTCGTCTTTGTTGGTTTAAGATACTCTCACCGCATTCAAAGCGAACATTTTCAAAACGGAAACCAATTGCAACTCGATTAAACACGTTTTCCATCGCTTAAATTAGCCGGTTTGATGTTATTACTTTCAATTCCGTTTGGCAGGTGTCAAAGTTATGTATATGTCGATGTTATCGTATTGAAAAGAAAATTGCGGCCGGGCAAAAAGACTCTCCTTATTATCCTGACCAATTACCTTAGTAAAATTTCCATTCGACTCAATTGCCGTTCTACAATTTAACTGATCAGGAGTTTTTTTTCGGAATATACATTTTGATTATACTATACCCAACTGATCTGTATGGCTGACATATGCTATACAAATCCTTTCATCGAATGGCGTTTCCACTGAGTGTCACTTCATTTGGCCCCTTTTTATGTAGTGCATTAACTAGATGGCTTTTTGTGCTTTGAAGAGACTTGTAGCATGTAGACGTTAAATTTTCTGTCTGAAGTGATCAGATAATCATGAAATAGCGACTGCCACCGACCGTGCTGGAATATCTTTTATTATAAATACATATTTATATCTGTATTTTATTTTATTTTTTTTTTTGTTGATGAAATTTTTCACCTCGTGAGAGGGCAGACAAGCTGCTCATGTCATCTTCTATTTTAGACTGTGGAAGACTTAATGAAATATCCCGGCAGAAAGAGGATTCAACTCATGTGAATGTCTGTCTCTCTCTCTCTTTTTAGTTTTTTTTTTTCTGGTTGGTTTGCCTCGTAAACATTTTTTCTTCCTTTCCTAGTTTTATTCCACTTAAAGTTATTCTCCATGACGTCGACGCTAAAATTTGTTCAGAATATCGCGACGTACCAGTTCTAAAACCACCTAAACCTGTCTCCAGCTGAGTGCGCTTATTTGAAAAGGAAAAAGCTAGACAACAAGGAAACTGACCAGTTAGTTCAATACTGTGCCAGCTGAAAAAGAATCATTCACATACTCACATCAGTTATGCCGGCTTCGCATCTAAGTTGAAACATGCACATTGCGGTGATGAAACACACGCATCAAAAGAGACTTATTATTTAGGTTCTATTAATTTGTTTAATCAGCTGATTCTGCAGTGGAAATAATGCTAATCGTTATTTTGTGACGATGACTTCAATTCTATCGATCTCAGTTTAAGAATGATGTTGTAAAGTTACTGTAAGAGTCACCCTTCAAAAAAAGAAGGCGAGAATTTTCATTTGTAGTTCAAAATTGTATATCAGTTGTGAAAAGGGCTTGGCAAATGATTGAAGAGTCATAGAGACTGTGGTGTTTTCTCGAGGTTTACTGATACTTATTAGCCCAAAAATCCAGGAAACAGTGAAGACAAGATCAAGATGGCGGCTTTACATTCTAAAAACTTCAACCTCGTGTAAAATCAAAATTGATTGTTCATACTAAGACTTGATTTAGATACTACGCGGTCTGTAATTGCTCCTTCCTAAAATTTATTAAAGAACAAGCCTAGTACTTACGTCATCTAAAAATGGTTATCTCTCTTTGGTTCAAAATGGTGTACAATTTCGAAAATGGTCGTGTTTTATTCAGGATCGCCCATGTAAAGGTGCCGATAATGTAAGTGAGCCTGCAGCCATTTTTGAGCTAAAAAAAAAGGCAGTTCTAAGGCCAGAACTTAAACAATGTTTCTGAAGAAGTTTAAATACTTTTGGTAACTTTCATTGTAACTCTGTGTTCAATGTCTAAAATGCTCGTTTCCTAAGGTTACTCCTAAAATATTTTGGAGGCCCGCAAATAACCTCTCTACAAAATTAGCTAAAAAACATGTCTTTTAAATAGTTTCCGTGATTCCTGTTTCCATAGATTTATGTAGTAACAAATCGTAGAAAACGCCAAAATTTGGAAAGAACACCAATGATGCACACGCCTGCGGCTCATGTGCCACTGTTTGGTTTAATTCGGCGTAGGACTGACTTCTATTCATATAATTCTATTACCAGACCTGGCCATGGGTAACAGTTTTTCTCATTGTTAGTTGCCGTTTGGCTTTGAGTGGACCGACTGAGTTCTTCCAGAGCACGGGTTTGACATTTGGCACATGGAATAAAACGTTTTAAAATTGCCTTGAAGTTCTCACGTTCCCCATAGATACCGTAAAGAATTGGATCTAACATCGTGTTCAAGAAAATTAAAAGCTGGGATGCTCTCCAGATATAACCTTCTTCTGCGAGATGAATGTAAATGAGCCCTCGAACACAGATGAAGGGCGACCAGCAGGCAGCAAATGCCATAGTTAGAACAAGTAGTGGCTTCGCCGCCTTGAGATGCCGTTTAGAGCGCACTGTTGTAAAACTGTTTTGCTTTGGGAACACCTTGGTGCTCGAGCGTAAAGATATGAAGATTTTTCTTTGGACATAAATCATGTAGACTAGAGGGACGACGAAAAAGAAAATCGTATGAATGCCATAATAGACTTGTCTTCCCAAATCTCCAAATTTATTGTTGGTACAGGAAACCTTCCCGTTGGCATCGGTTTGGGTTTGGTAGGCATAAAGTAATGGCGAAGCTATAACCACACTCATGCTCCAGGTGGCGATAAGCTTTCCATAAATACGCGCTGGAGTAATCGTTATTGTATGAAGTGGCTCGACCACTGCCTTGAGTCGTTCAAAGCTTATAATAGACAGAGTTGTTATGGATACTGTGTAGCAAGCCTCGATGAAAAAACTTTGCAGTTTGCAAGAGATCTGACCTCCAACCCATGTACGTGATAAATAACTAACGAGGTCCAGTATAGACAGGAACACAAACGTCAGGTCAGCAACAGCTAAATTAGCGATAAACCATTTTAGTGAACCCAACTTTCTTTTTATTGATCGGTAACAAACTGAGAGGACAATAAAATTTCCCAAAACTGACAGCAAGAAAACTATAGAGTAAAAGGTTACACCGAATGGAACAAGTATTGCATGTAACTCTCCACTTGTCATTATTCGTGTTAATTCGTGTCGTGCCCACAATAGCGTACGCTTCAACCAACCACTGTTCACTTGCTTTGTCAGCTCTTATCGCTTGAATATTTAAATGCATATACCCAATGTTCCTTTCTTATCAATCATACTTCGAGGTGAACCTGGCAATGAAACGACGATGATTAAAGCAGATTCTTTCCAAGACATCATTTTTTTAAAGTGTCATAATTGACATATAAATTCTGACGCAGCAGCCACCTTTTTGTTGTGATTAATATCATTATTCTTAAAATATAAAAAGTAAAAACCCCGACTTCCTTTAATCTCCCATAGGAAAGATCCCCTCAACATTTTAGGGAAGAAGAAGGGAGGAACAAAAAGCAATTTCTGAATTTGTAGATTTTGATAACAACTTGTGATGAAATAAATTTGAATGATTGATCAAGTACAACAAAATCTACAATTCAAGCAAAGAAATGATCCTCCGGAGGTGTAATCCATTTTTAACAACTGCAGAAAGTAAACCTGAAGCAGCTCAGGCCCCTTTCGAAGCCTGATTTTTTTTATTTTCTGCGATTGCTGAAAGTCGCAGTTCATCTGTCTGGATCCTTTCTTTACGCGATTTGTAAATTTTGTTGTTCTAGATATACAAACATTGAGCCTTATTGCTTACAAAATGAATAGTGCCTGGTAAAATAGGTCTCTGTCTTCTGTCGCATACGCAAACTTCATATGCATGGAATCATGGAAAGAAATTTGATAATATGAAACCTCTTCCAGTTTGCAATCACAATCGTCCTTAATGTTTTTGCTCTCGCTGCCATGACTCATTAACACTGTTCAATGAAACGAGTCGCGTGCACACGCGCTTATTTAACAGTGACTGATGAGGGAAGCTGAATTTTGGTTATAGGAGAACATACCTTTGGCTTCGGGGTGAAAACATGACCCTTGGTTCTCAAATTTTTCTTTATAATTTAGCTTTATCCAGGAAAAATCTCTAGCCGGAGGGATTCGTCATTTCGAATGCAGTTTCTTTAATTGTTTCCCTCTCTTTATTTACTTCTAGTTTACGAATGTTTATTTAAAGGGACTTTTCTTGGCAGCATTTCATTGTGAGTCAAGTTAACTGAAAACATTTTTGAATTCAGTCCATGACAATGTCATTCAGTTTCTTTAATTGTTTCCCTCTTTTTATTTACTTTTGATTTACGAACGTTTATTTAAGGGAAATTTCTTGACAGCATTTCATTGTGAGCCAATGAAAACATTTTTTAATTTGGTCCATTACAATGTCTATCTCCAAGTTAGCCAAGCGCCTGACTTTTAATCGGTTCCCATGGTGGAAATACTTCCTTTGATTTGCTCTATCTTAAGGCCAACCTAAGAGGGTACAATCCTAGGGTTTAGGCAATGAGGATACAATCTCAGGCTTTAGGGTAACACATAAGAACCTCCCATGATCCATAATCTAATTTATCAGCAGTAAGAAGTTGAAAATTGCTATTGAGACGCCACGAATTTGCTTTACTTGACATTTTGTGTCAAGCTGGGCTTCCAGCCAAAATAGATCCGGTTCAACTTGTGAACAGTGAGGAAGTTTACCGCTTGAAACTGGTACTATTCACCAGTTATAAACAAGACTGGACAGGTGTCCTATCACTTGAGAGGTCGATAATTTTCGATGATTGTCCCAACCTCTCGAATCATTACATTAGGCTATGAAAACACGGAAAAAACATACTTTGCTTTGACAAAGAACGTCTCAAAAGGAAGCGCGAATTTAAAACGTCACAATCTAGTTGACGTACTCTTTCAGTTCTATGCACACCCAACGACCACGGAGAGAGCAGTTAGTAACTGGGACATTCTAGAATTAGTGACTACTATCTTTACATAAATACAGGATTTCTCTAAACATAAATGAATTGGACTCCATTCAGTCCTATCACCATAAAAAATAAAGATAAGATGATTTAACTCAAAATGTGTTATTCAGAAGTGGAAATGCGAATCTGACATTCAACCTGAAGGAGACCAGCAAAAGTGACCGAAACGTCGTTAAGAGACTTTATTTCTAGCCCAAAAAAAATATGGAAGAACAAAGAAAAATGCTTAAAAGCAAGATATTAGGAATCATGGTAGCAAGTTATGTTAAGATAAACAAATCAAGGAAGACTTTCGCGCACTTTCCTAATTTAATGGCTCTAGCTTTTGTCGATTCCAGAGAAACATACAATGACAGCGACAAGTTCCAGCTAAATTTTGCAGTCCAATAATCGAACTATAAAATTACATAAAATTCAATTTATAACTTGCTATGTAAATAAGGAGCTTCTGGAAATTTTCTAGAGAGCTTAGTCATGCTATGTGGACTCTAAAAAATTCTGATATAATACTCTGGAACTTTCTAGAACATTCTAGTAATTGATGCAAGAACGATTTAATGTTACAAGAGTGTTTATTTTTAAGCTTCTGGAACCTTCTAGAGTGCTTTATATACTAACATAAGCAGTTGGTGACTCAGTAATTTTAGTAGTTGTGGCCGGCAAACCGACTGTTTAAAAAGGCTTTATAGCGCTTTTATGGTTTATTGTAAAAGCTTTCCCACAATATAGAGTTTCGATGACATTCAAAGATAGCGGTGTTTACTGCGAGTTTGTATCGAGATGTTCAGGAGGGCATGGGCCCAGGTTAAATATATTGTAAATGGTGTGGTTAGTTAGGAGACGCTACTTTGTAATTTATATAAAGTACGGTTAAAAAAATTAGTTGGTTCTTTAAAATAGTTCAACTAGGGTTTTTTTTTGTTGTTAAAGCTATACCAAAACAAATTCAGTCTATGACATTAAAGACCGGTCGAACCAGGAGAACGTCAAAAAATTAACAGATAATGAACTCCTCGATCACACGTCGGTTTTCCTTTAAGAATCAGGAGTCTTTTCCTCAATGAGTAAATTACTCATGATGTATCTAAGCTGCTATTTAATCGTTAGGGCGAATAAAAACAGACTATAGAATGATTCAAAGAGAATTTCGTACTGTGTTTCGTCGATCAGTATTGTTATACGGCTTCCTTGACGCTAGATCATAATATCTGTGGTGTCTCTAGAAATGACAACAGGCCTAATCTTTGCTCTAAAACTAATCATTTCACCAAGAAAGTTTTTTCTCTCTGCTGGCAGGTGGCATCTAATTTCTCGTTCGTTTCAGTTTCATAATTAATGCGCGTTATTTTCCGCACACCTAAAGATGAAAATATGAGGATTTCTGGTGCGAAAACCGAAAAAAAAAACTAACTTTACACTTGACGTCGTAAGGATGCAAATTCTATATCCTATTGAAGTTTCTATCGTTAAAATGTTAATTGGTGACGGTACGAGTACAATTCCTTGTCGATTTGAATGAGAATGATGACAAAAAAGTCATTCATTTCTCAGACTTAACGATAATAACACGCCTACATACATACAAAGATTAAAAAATTTTAACATAACATTGTGTCCAGAGATATGTGAATGTCAATCCCGAACTTAAAATCTCGGAAGGAACTTTTCAGAATTCCCGAAATTCATTTAAATTCGTACCATCTATCACTCAAGTAATAATTCATTTTCGCAAAATACATGCGACAATTATCCAATGTTTTTGTACATGAAAATTAATCTATTTGAGACATGGGGCACCTATAGAGTCAGCCCGTAATTATCAATGACTAGTTGAAAGTGCCATAATGAGTGCTAATTGGCTTTGTAAGTCGTTCGCCATTTGTAAACAAATTTATAACCCAAATTCAGCTCATTCAGAGTTTGTGCCCATCTACGGTTTACAGTGCGGCTTCTCAGTCTCGAAACTCCTTCAGAGGACATCATGTCTGACATTGACAAATTCCCCGTAGGTTTAGTGATAGCATTTGTCATCTTTTACTTCGTTGTGTATGTTTTGTCAGTGGTTGGTAACTGTTGGGTTATGGTGACCTGCTACAAAACCCTCAAGAGAAAAGGGTCTTCTTTGATGTGGTTCGTCCTCAACTTAGCAACAGCAGATCTCATTTTCACGTTCCTTACAATCTTCAACGGCATTGGATTTTTGTATCGTTGGGTCGGAGGGGAAATTGTTTGCAAGTTTCACGGGTTTCTGGTCGAGACATGCTACAGTGTTTCCATTAGCACTCTTGTAGTGATCAGTTATGAGAGACTGACAGCCATTACTGACCCCTTAAATGCAAGAGCAAGAAATTTCACAAACAGAGGCTATCGCAGGCTTTTGATAATTTGGGGGGTTTGCCTGATTGGATGTGTTCCCTTAGCAATCCTTTATCAGATGGTTCGCGAAGAAAACGGAGAACTCGTTTGCAATAATACGACGTGGGGAGACGTAGGTCGACAGATTTTCTACAGCCTGCATGCTTTCTTTTTCTTTATCTTTCCACTGTCCTATATGATATTTTCGCAAAGTAAAATATTTCTTGCGCTTCGCTCAAGAAGAACAGTCCCTTCACAGCGAGAGGCGGAGAGATCTAACAGACGACACCAGAAAATTGCCAAGACACTTTTTGCTCTTACGGTTGCCTTTGCGATTTGTTGGTCTCCATTTATGATCACCCGAACTTTGATGTATTTTCACATCGCCGAGCCAGGTGCATTATGGAGGATGTCCCAACTGCTCATCTGTCTCAACGCTGTGTTGGATCCCATAATGTATGGTATTTATGGTGGAAATCTCAAAGCAACTTTGCGACAGAAGTGTTGCTTCAGATCTCCTCGTAATAGACTTGAAAGATCAGTTAGCCTAGAAATGTCCCAGACTGCAGTAATATGTGCAGTGCAACCAAATGCAGTGAAAAAGTTATCTTGCGAGGTCGAAGAAATGAACACAAGTTGATACTGAATTTGCCTTTCCGGCATCAATTAACAAACTCCCACTAAAAGCATACAAAAACTCCGCGAGAAAAATACCCTCGAATCGGCTCTCCAACTTGATCATGTTAATACTTTTCCGAATAAGATTATAATTTTTTATACTCTTTCAATTTTTTTTCCTTTTTTATTTTCCATTTCAAGCAATTTCTTCTTCTTTCTTTTTTTTTCATTTGTAACCTTTTTTCTTTCATAATGATCACGCATTAATTATTCCTACGGGAAATCGGAAGCAATTTCACTTAGCCGACTTAAACTGTGGGGAGCGGTGTAAAAAGTTGCTGATTTTATATTTGTTCTGCTGTCGCCATCGGTGCACTTCTTTAAGTTGACAATTCTAAATCCACTGTGCGAGGGCTTTTTGTCGCAAGTCTCAGAGGGATACCTTCAAACTGATGGTTGCAACGTAAGAAACGAACGTGTTACAATCTTTAAATGGAGTACTGTCGTTAGAAAGAACAATTTCGCGCCATTCTTGGAGAATCCGCCGATTAATTGTAAATGCAATTTGGCACAGTTGTTTCAGAACGACGGCAAATCCTATCATTAGTCCATGATGATGGGTGGTGAGGAGGAGTATCTCTTTACCCCTTACACGCTGACATAAGTATCCATGTTCTCCACACTGCTCTCTTTAAATTTCCTTTCCATATGACAAGGAGAATTTATTGAAATATTTTTATTTTTAATTACGATTTGTACTTGCATTATACACCTCTTACAAGAGCTCAAAAACTGAACTATATCAAATACCTCTGTATATCTCCGGTTACATGATATGAAATGTTGCTGGACTGGCAATAACCGCGTATTTTTTGTTTATATATAGCGTGCAACAAACATACTCTATTCCTCCTTGTTGTTGATTCTTACTTCAGCCTGCATAATTGAATAATAATAAAAGTTACTTGCTCGAGGTACATGCGCGTCTGGGACCAAAACAAAATGCGAAAGCTTGAAGCTGGTTTACATTTATATCTGGCCTTCTCAATGCTGAAACCGGCATAACTATTGGTAAGTTGTTCTCCATTTTAATAGGTAAGCTTACTTTAGTTATCTGAAGACTATATTCTGTTGCTTTATCACGCTAACCCGTTCGAATCGAAAAAGCAAGAAGATGCAACTGTCCGAATGAAATTAGTAGAATTTATGTGCTCTGAGTTTGATCGCCTGTCTAGCCAAGTAATTTTATCAATGAAATAATCGCAAAAATATATTATGAGGGGCTGAGTTTTACTGTGAAACTGAGTTCGGTAGATTTAATCCAGAAGAGAAAAACATTATTGTTGTCATGAACATTGAGATTTACATACTGTAAAAAGTCAACGCGAATGCATATTTTAAAATTAAATTTTAGCGTGATTTTGTCACGCTCAGTCATTATTACTTAGCGCCCTCGCCTTGGAAACACGTTGTCTTGCATGAAGTTGATGACGTTACCTGCAGGACGATATCGACCCACCACAAATGTAAGTCTACCATCACCTGTTTTCGCTCGACCCATTCCTAACTCCTTACTGTCTTTCCACACCACTTGAGTAAAGTGTCCAGTTCCTCCCTGCCATCCGCCACGGCGGAAATCATAATCCTTGTACTCGTCGTACCTATTAGAGGAGTTAATTGAATTTACTATCTGACGTCATTTCCATTGGTCCTTTCGATAAAGTTTTGTGAAGTCAAACCGTCTTGAAAACAGTAATATATCAGAAAAAAGGAATATATCATGTAATTTTTTTGACGACAAAGCAGATTCCTGCAAAAAAGTCTGGATGTCGTAAAACGCTTGCGAGCTTTCACAAAGCAAAGCCAAGCGAAATTATGCAATCTTTAATTACTTTCGACACTTAGTCGAAACATTTTACAGATGTGAGGTTTGTCATTTTTTTTAAAATGATACAGTTTAATTGTCGAAGCAATCAATTGATAAGCCAGGAAGTGTGTTTCTTGTGAAATAAAATTCATTGATGAATGATCTTTTTATTTTTATTTTCAACACCCTCAATGGCCCTTCTGGAATAATTGTTATTAATATCAAAGCCAATATCCTCAGTTAAAAGTCATTGACCGACTTCAATGTGACCAAGGAGCAATTTTTGTCAGTTGAGCAAAACTCGTCCTTTCCCATACAGCTTGTATTTAATTTCATTTCTTCTTTGTTTGCCGTTGCTAGTTTGAAATGATATTTGCTCTTTTCCAAAGTTTTTACTCACCACATAGTGGTAGCTTCTTCTCCTGCAGAATCAAACTTTCCCGTAAACATTGCTAGGTTCTCTCCAGCATTCTTTCTCTCGCTCTTACTCGAATGCTGCAATGTACGGGCACGTGCCAACTTCTCGGCCCAAGCCTGTGCTTCCCTAGCGAGGTCATCCGCCCACTTCATGCCCGGCACACCATGCATAGCTCGGTATTTGTTATGACTGTCGAGGGACTGTTTTGCAAAGGATCCTGAAGGAGATGATGTAGCTGATGCGGAAGGAGTAGGTCTCTCTGCTAAAAGAAATAAAGCTAGCTGAATTTATTATGCGATATGTATTAGTCAGCCAATGTATTGAACAAGTACATGTTGCACCAATTTGTTGCTCGATTGATACTTCCAGATCAATTTTGGAATCGCGCTTGATAGTGCGTTCCTCGCGTTTCAGGAGGGCGTCAAAATAAATTCCAGAAGACCCTTAGTTGAGCAAGTATGATAGCTATTTTTGTCAAGTGCATGAACCCAATTATTACGCCATAGGGTCTAATGTTCCATTTACTATTTGGAACAACGAATTACAAGATCGCCTACAAACGTACTTGTTAGCACAGAATTCTTTCCCTGCCTTATGCACATACGGGGTGTCGCAAAACAAAAAGGATGACACAATTTTAATCAATAGTTTTCGTCGATTTTGAACTTGTTTTGCGAAAAAAAAATTTTCTACTAGAAAACGTACTCAAGTTGGTGAGTTCTACGAGGTCTCTGCTGATGGTTAGCAAGCTTTAAAAAAATTGGACATTGCAAATTTCAACCTGAAATAACGGTTAAAAAAATAGATTAAGGAATTACCTGGTTTTGTTTCCTTCGGTTTTTGACTGCTCCATGAAGGTGAATTAGACGTTGGCTGAGCTAAAATCGTTATGAACAATTTAACAATTAATAATTTCCGTAACTTGAACTGATAAACAAACATTGTGAAACCAGGGGTACATGGTATAGAATTATCAACCTGTGTGTATGGCAGATGTTATCCGACTACTTTATCAAAAGGTGCTTTGGGACTTCTTCTTGTCACTCAAAGTAATCAATAATTGCAAAAACGTATTTCTGTCAAAGCTATTTCTCCACTCGTCCTTTCCAGTAACTGCTATTCCTTCCTCGTAGATTGACTTGTAGAAATTTGTTTTTATTTTTTTTTCTTCTTTTTTTTTCCAAGACATTATACCCTTCAGTCATGCAAAAATGTTTATTTTCGGTGTCAGTGTGATAGATAATGCTTTGCATGAACTGGGACAAGTGACATGCTAATCAAAGGGTTAATAGAGAGCGTTAAAACAAATTACCATTTCTCTCCCGCGTGTCCTTCCTATCCTTGAAAGGGTCTGTTTTTCGAAGAATACAACCATTTGAGATGTGTGAATTAAAACGTAAACAAGTGCGACATTAGTTAAACGAAAATATTCACCATTTGGTCAAGAAGCAGTCACTAAGCCTAACACATGTTTTTTTAAGGAGTCGGTATCATTTCAATCGATGGTACTTTGATATAATGATATAATTTTCAGGCTCTCGATACAGGCAAAAAGGGTCACAGGTTATCCGTTTAAACTCTACGTAGTCCTTTTTTTTTACGTTCTTAAAATCTAGCCTTGTTACTCAGTGTAGATTCGAGATAACCTTGTTTGATTTTAACGAGGCCTTAAAATAGGAACATATTTGTTTACCTCTGCACGAGGAATTTTTCCCTTACGCACTCGGTTTGGAATTGGCCTATATGAATTTGGAGCGAGGCCCCTAGCTCTTTCATAGATTTAACTATGCGGGGCCTCTCAGATCTACAAGTTTGCAGGCTGCAAACTAGTAGATCTGTTTCCTCAGTAATTTCTTCTCTTAATCTTCTTTTAAAACTTCTAATGAGACATCTATGAAATTACCGTTTCGCTCCCATCTCTCCTTTCTATCTTTGAAAGGATCTGTAAAGAAAAATAAGTCTGAGTTGATCATAGTAGAAATGAGAAAGAGGGCAATCTGATGACATAGGTAACAAAAAACAAGAGGGCACAAAAAATACTAGCTATAGGCATTCGCAAAACGCACGCAATTTGTGCCTCAGGATAGTTGACTTGGGTGAAATGATATACTAACGATATAATAAAAAGGGATTAAGATAAAAAAAACTCAAAGAATCTTACCGTCGTCAAATGCTCTTCTCATATCTCTTGGAAATCTATCAAATGGGTCTGTAAAGAAATAGTCGTAAGGACGTGATTTTTTTTTTTTTGGGGGGGGGGAACTTGAGAACAGAACATAACCAATTTAGATAACTAAATAATAGGTAAGCACTTGATTTAAAATAATTAAATGTCAGCGCAGATGTTCGATCACATGCAGAAATTTTGTTTCACAGTTATCAGTGGCGGATCCAGACCTTGAGCTAAAGAGCGGGGGCGCCGCCCCAGGCCCCTCCCCTGGATCTGCCACTGGTTATCTCCCTGCTATATTACTAAATATCCTGTCTTTAATTCAAACACATGGCGTCGTGGATCAACTTTTTTGATCTAAATGGGCAGAAACTTGTGCATATTTTTTCACTTTTTTTAGTGATCAACTGACCTCCCCTTCCTCCATCTGTTATGATTGTCTTCGTTACTGTGGTTTTGACCCCGTCTCGATCATAAGTGACCTAAAAATATCAGGCCAAATGCTATATTCAAAGAGTACTGAAATATTTAAGGCTTGGAATTCACAGAAACCCACCCCCCCCCCTCCACCTTTTTTTCTTTAGTTCAAAGAACATTGAAATTGCTGGGTGAAAAAGCCATGGTTTGAAATTCCCACTACAGCCTACTCCCTTTCCCACTCCTGTCTTTGTTTTGTTTTTGTTTTTGTTTTAAATGCACCTTGGTCACTTGACCTTAAGCAAGACGATGCCTAATTGAATTTCGTACTCAATTGGAAATCGTTCATCGAGCAAATGTGGTGAAAACTTAATTGCCCTTCCTCCCTCTGCTAACTTTCTTGATATCATCGTCACCAGGTTTTTTACACTCTCATTTGTTACGCAGACAGACGCTGAGCGAGTTAAATCTTTAACTCTATCCTCCTCTTGCTTCTTTGAATATTGTAGTGAGCCTTATTCTGTTTTCTTTCCTCTTGTTGAAGTCCTCTCATATCGATGCTTTTGTTTGCATACTTTAACAACTTATTAACCAGGGAGGTCAAGTCTCTTACTCCCTTATCATTTTCACATACCTTAAACCCTACTTTAAATTTCACCCCTTAAATCCAATATTCTTTCCAGTACTCCCTCAACCATTTTTAACTTCGTTATTTATCCTTAATTCATCCCCTCATCCCTTACTGTTTCAGTTTTTTCTTGCCGAGAGGGAGATCTTCTCGAGTCATCGAAATCTCGTCTTGGTTCCAGCCGTGTAGAATAATCTCTCGAATCCCTCTCCCTAGAACTGCTATTGACTACGCTGCCCAGCTGCATAGAACAAAGATAACTAGATTAACTCAATATTATTTATGCTCCATTGCTTGAGAAATTTATGCGTTTATAAAAAAATTACGCATCAGAAATATTTCCAAATTATCATTTAAGGAGGATCGCAACGCTAATGCTCTTGACTCAAAGGAAGAACGAAAAATATTTTTACATTTAAGTGACATTACCTTTGGCTTAACATTGTTTTGAAAGTGATTAATGACATTTCCTGGTGGTCGATATCGAGCCACGACAATAATTTTCCCGTTGCTACCCTTGGCCTTGCCTACTCCCAGTTCTGTTGAATCCTGCCACACCATCTGTGTGAAGTGGCCCGTGCCACTTTTGAATCCTGGGCTTCTAAAATCATAGCTGTTAAAGAAAGACGAGATATTCATGGCTTGGATATAAATTGATTGCAGTGACTTGCGATCAAAAGTAGCCAAGTTCAATTTAATTAATACAAAGCCGTATCTTAGATAGCGGTTAGGATTCCAACACGAAGGATTTCGGCGAGTTACGACCTCAGTTAGATTATAATATCATTATACGTTTTTAGTGTATCATTGTCGCCGAAACGATCATCACACACGTAACAGTCAACGAGCTTAGCCCCCCTCCTTTCCCATGATCCTTGTGAGGTCTTAATTACTAATATTCTAATCGCATTATGTTAATCGCATTTAAGAACAACTTGAATTAATGTCAAACGGAAAGAATAACTAATATGTCCTTACTTGTCGACTTCTGCGTACCACCGATCCACGATTTCTCCTCCGGTGACATCACTCTTGCCGGATACGGAATACAAGTTCTCTCCATCATCAGTATCTTCGTGTCTTAGCCTCCCGTCTTTAGCCAACTCTTTAGCCCACTTTTCCGCGTCCTTTTCTAGAGATCTTGACCACTTCAGCGGAGGAGCCTGATGGAGAGACCGGTATCTGTTGTGAGCTTCAAGTGCTTCTTTACCAAATTTGTCGGGCATCTTTTCCCTGTACTGTCAGGATGTAAACATTCTAGCTTAGGCAGTAGTTATAAAATATAAGACATAAAAATAATATTGAAATGTAAACACCTTACCTCCCGTTGGGCAGGTCTCTGCCGAGGAATATTTACTAGGATATCGCGATAGCATCAAGCTGGGTCACCTGTCGCTATATCACCGCACTTTGATCAACTTTGGAAGAATTTAAAATTTTCATTGCCCAGCGTAGCAGAAGAATTTTGTAAGTATTCAATTTTTGTTTTGCATGCATGGATAGTAATTACTTCCACGTTTACGGGGGGCTATTAGAGAGATTGCCCATGGAAGGGAGAGTGAGAGGTTCTTTTGTCAAAGTTTTGGTTTCTTTAAACGTGCTTATTCTTTAAGATTAGGTAATTGAAGAATGATAATGTTTTTGGTGAAGTTGATGAATTTATTTAAAATAGCACTGAGTCAACAGTTTGTGAGTTGAGTCGTCAGATTGCTGCAAGCTATGACAATAACTTGGGAGCAATTAGTCATTTTTTTTAGGTATCATCATGTAGTGACCAGCATTTAACTTCTCCTCACAGTAATACTGCTGAATCATTCGTTACGATTATGAGAATAAGGGACATGATCGCCAACCTTAGAAGCTTTTATTGTTTAACAAATTCTCCTCTTGAAAAGAATTGTATGGAAGACGACATGGAGAGTTTGAGTACTGAGGTTACGGCGTGACAGGTTAAAGCGAGCAACGTGTGGTGATCTTTTTTTCAATTTGAAGCAAGAGTGTGGCTCTTCTTATCAAAATAATAGTGTGAATAAGTTTTATCCTCATAGTGTCGCTCAAAGAAAAATTCCAGTCTAATGCTAAAAGCACGAGGGCTTCAAAGTATAGTAAAAATATCGTGAAGGTTTTGATGTTCAACCAAAATGGTTGCAAGAAGGACGACTCTTGCTTTGAAGCATCGGGAGTTTTGTGCTTCAATAATCTTTTTTCTATTTGTTCCTGAATCAATTAGCTTTGTGCTTTTCAAGTATTCGACTTCTCGATTAAAACATAACTACTTAAAACTTATATTGGTCCGCATGATTTTCACTATCTTTTGATCTTCTCAGTGCAGTTCTTGTTGAAAGGTATTTTAAAAACAATACCTCTAACCACAATTAAGGTAAACCAAACTACTTATTTACTTACTTGATGGCCTCTGACGGCGTCCACTCTCAGTAGGGAAAATGGTCTATTAATTGAAAAATCAATTGGTCAACTTCATTCGAGCTAATTACTGATTCTTCAAAACTAATGAATACCACTCTCTATTCAAGATGTGTCTCACAGCTTCGGTCGTGATCAGCGTAAATTATGTTTCTTTGTATCATGTAAATGTCACGAGACGTAATAAGGATGGAGCGGGTCGAAACGAAACATTTAATCTCCTCTTTTGTTAATCCTTATCAGTAATTACGCAGAAAAATCGGATGTCGTATATTAGTATATTTACATCATTCGAGAATACTAAAGATTTCCTTCCTGCATAACGAGTCAGCGTTGTTATCACGTTTCGCTGTCTTGTTCATACCCTTGTGATGAGGTGAATTTTTTCAAGTGAGCTTATCTTACCAACGTGATTTCCGCAATGTCAGATTTGGAAAAGCTTGTAATATGTCTTAGACGCCCAATACTAAGTAAACATAAAATGCATTTTGTATAGAGCGTCTGATAACGCGTCCTGCACATATGAAACTTTCAGGTTTTTTAATATCTCAAATTAAATTTACTGAAGAATAAAAAGTTTTAACGTCTTTGTTTTCACATCAAAATCTATTAATGAGCCTTCATTTAACTAATATTGGTCAAATGCTTATATTTTAGTTCTTTACCTTTTCTTTGGCTATTGTCCATTTGGTTTCCAAACTTTCTATCGCTTCTTTCTGTCAAACTGAGCCCCACTAGTGCGACCTTCTAAGTAACAATGGAATGAAATGGCGCGCTGTTAAGTGCTCGCCTCTAGCCTCGTCATTCCATTTACCTAACGTGAATGCAAATCAACAATACATAACAAAGTGCCAATCACGTACCAAGACTGCTCAAGCGAAAAGTATAACTGCGTGATAATAGACTTACAGCGAGAACGAGCTGCGCTAATAGAGATTTTTTTCAAGGGAGATGTGACACAGCTGTGTCGATGTTTCTTGTGTCTTAATAAGTTTTAAACTCACGCAAAGTAGTTTGCGAATTACTGAGTTGCCTGGGCGAGCTGTTCTGTTTGTTTTTCCGCATTCAAGGTTAAATATATTAGCCTTAGGCTAAGGTTAATTACCGTCAAGTAACTTCGTATTAGTTATAGAACTCAACGAATGAAAAATTTAATACAGAGAGTTTGAACGGAAACTAAAACGTGACCTCACAAATAAGTTTTTCTGTCCTTTCACTTATAATTAAGTTGTAAAGGAATCCACGTTTATCCGGACTTCTTTTGAAACACTAGAGGATCTTGTAAATAACTGACGTCAGCCCATTGACTTCTTTATTCAGTTCGGCTTCAATGGAAGGAAAACAACCCTCTTAGAAACGCATAAACACTTTCAATGTTTTTGTCTGTGGATGCGTGGGCCTCATTGTGAGTTTTATTTTTCTTTCTCTTTTCTACAATAACATATTGTTGGTTGGCTTTTTGTCGAGGCTGCAAGCGTTGATGAGCTTAAGTTAATTTAGCAGAAAGCACTTATTGATAAATTCGCGCCCCATGTATGTCAATAGAAAACATTTAAAGATGTTTTTAACCGCCGAAGTTAATACCGTCAATCGTCGTCAAAACTTTACCTACAGTAAGTTGTGTAATTGATTTCTCCGTCCAGTTTCATTAAATATACGGAGAAAAGGCGACGAAATTAGACAAATATATCAGCAGAGGAGTGCAACATTGATATAACGCCACATTCTCTTGACCAATTCAAAAGGAAATACAAAGCAGATCCAAATGAGAATGAGCTATTTAGAGCTTGGGAATTATACGGACGGCTAAGATTGGACCTCTTCAATTGACGTAACTTCAGGACACACTTACTTATTTTGATGTATCTACCTTATCCATCAAACGGGTCATTAGAGTCAATGCAGTCCTTTATACGGAAAGCAAGCCAGCATTACAGAGATTAGAGCAGGGTACTGAAACACTTATAAAACGAAGCTAAATAAAAAGCCGCTTCTTTTCTTGTTTAATCCTTCAATCCCTTAGAGTGACTCGCATTTAAATTTCCCCTTACAGTATCCCAGGTCGTGAGAACAGAGGGAAAGATCGCCATCTAAGGAAGCTCTTGACTGTTAAACAAATTCTCTCAGTCACTTTCATAGGGAATGCATGGAACAGTGTGGAGAAAATGCATAATGATATTAGGGTGTAAGAGGGTCTCATTTCAACTTGTAAAGCTTAATCGGAGGGTGAAGATGGTTGTTCTCAAAAATTCTCGTCGGCTGTATTTAAAAGAATAGAACTCTGTTTCGAAAAATTCACTCAAAATGATGTTCTGACTCGTACAAATTTCAGTCTGCAGTTTATTTTCTCTTTCACTCCAGTACAAAAGTAAACTCCCTGAGTATTTTATTGATTAAATCTGTCATTATTTCAAAAGTTATCCTATAGGTATAACCTATGGCTAATGCCATCACACAGCCACAAAGATTTTAAATGAATTTTTGGTCCTTAAAGAATTCCGGTAAAGCTCATATTCTTTCCAGGAAAGCGTATTTGCCCTTAATTCATTTCCGCGCATTTTCACCCCTTCATAACTTCATATTATCGTTTATAAGAATGAGCCATGATAAACTGATTGAGCTTAAGGGTAGAAAATCTATTTTTTAAGATTTATACCTCCATTATTCGAGGATTTTTCATTTTATTATTATGGAAAGACTATACTTTTTCAGATTAATTTAAATTGTGGCTACTATTATGTCCTTAATTCCCAAATTACAATGATTAAGTAAAAACCCATTTCTTGTTTAAATAATAGCTTCATAATATCATTTTCATTATCCCAATATCTATTATTAACATACAGAGAGTAAGCACGAAGTTGGTGGCTTTGTCTAAAATCTATCCTTATAGTTATCCTTTAAAGTTATTCTTGTTCCTCTTCGCTTGATCGTTTTGTTTTGCTTTTGTATTACTTTTACCTCGATGATCGGCAATGATGATCTACAAATGCCATTCACCTTAAAATTAATTTTTTCTCTTCTCATCCCTTGAAAACATTTTCTTGGAAATGATTGAGCAAATTTCCTGCAGGATTGTACCTTGCCACCACGTACGTAAGCTTCCCGTCAGCGGTCTGGGCCCTACCCATTCCCAACTGATTACTCTCCTTCCACACCACTTGCGTGAAATGCCCAGTGTTGCCTTGGAAACCAGGTTTATCGAATCGGTAGTCTTTGACTTCACTGTACCACATGTTTGTGGCTTCATCAGCAGCTGTTTCAAATCTGCCAGAGAACATGGCGATGTTCTCACCACATCCTTTACGTTCCTTTTGCGTAGCGTGCTGCAGTTTACGTGCACGTGCCAATTTCTCGGCCCAGGCCTGTGCTTCCTTTGCAATCTCGTCCGACCACGTCAGTGGTGACACTTTATGCTTGGTGCGGTATTTGTTGTGAGCATCAAGGGCCTGTTTTGCAAAACCCGTTTGTGACACAGAGCTGGGGGCTTTCGTTCCTCCTTAAAGAAAGAAGATAAGACTAAGACGTGCTCTCAATTTATAAACATACAAACCGAGTTTTCATGGCAAAGATTGGAATGAACAAAATAAAGTAGAGTGTCTTTATGGCTAACGGTTTAAATTTTGGCTATTTTTCCCTCTTTTCTGTTACATTTAAACGAAAAACCTTTTCAATTTTTTCGCCTAACGGCTAAGTTTTTTGCTTTTTTACGGCCAATGGTTTACCTCACTGAGACCCTCTAAGTAAGACTCTCATTCCGCACCACAGAGGATTATGGTTTACCCAAGGAGTGATTCATCTGTACAATTTTTCTCAAAAATATACACCTTTGGTGAGTCCGCGATTTAAGCCGGATACACTACTCCTTTTCATCGGAAGTGAATAATTTTTTATTGACATATGTTTCCTTGAGTAAATAGGGTAAAAAAACTAGTTACACTCAGCATAAACGAAAATGATATCGGAATAATTTAACACTGTACAGATTTGCGTCAGAAATAACACAATTAAATGTCTTTACCTGCAGTTGAACAACTCTTAGAAGGCTTTGGATCTTGAGTAGGCGGAGAATCTGCATGAAAACGCAAATATATGTATTTATTTGCAACCGCACTCCAAGCTTAACTTAAGGAAATAGAACAATTAGTGGGTGATTGGATGAGTGAGTCAGTAAGTGAGTGAGCGAGTGATTGAATGAGAGAGTTAATGAGGGAGTGGGTGTGCGAGTGAATGGGGTGGGTGAGTGAGTGAGTGAGTGAGTGGGTGGGTGGGGTGGGTGAGTGAGTGGTGGGGTGAGTGAGTGAGTGAGTGAGTGAGGGAGTGAGTGAATAAGTGATTGAATGAGTGAGTGAGTGAGTTTGGAAGTGAGTGAGTAAGCGAGTGAGTGGGAGGGGTGGGTGAGTGAGTGAGCGGATGGGTGAATGGGTGAGTGAGTGAATGAATGAACGTGTGAATTAGTAAGAGACTGAGTGAGTAAATGAATGAATTAATAAATAACTGAGTCAATGGTTGCGTAAAACGATCTGTGATCTTAAAGACGCATGATTCATTTTCGCCATTTGCTTTTGATTAAGAAACTCAAAATATAGTTACAACCTTGAGGAAGTGCTGTTCTCATGTCTCGAGCAAACTTGTCTTGTTTTCTGGTCTCTGCGATTTGTTACGAGAAGAAAGAAAAATATTTTATAATTGTTTATGTATGAATGATTGCGAAACCGGATTTGTATCTGGACTTTCTTTTTATGTGTTTCTCATGTGTGTGCGTGCAGCTCTAAATCACAAGCTTCAGGTGGCAACAGCTGCGAATAAGTAAGTGATCCGTTAAAGTGGAAGAGCCAAGTTTTTTTACATGTCAAGCATTCTTGTGGTCTGAAATCTTTTGCTCAGCCATTTATATCTTTTTCCCTCGGGCAATTAATCTTTTTTTCACAAACACTTCACTTTCCTCTGCTCCAGTCAAGTTTGTAATATTACGATGTAGTATGACTAAGAAAAGACTTTTGATGAAAGTCATTGAATGGTATAAGTTTCATGAATATTGTATCGTGGATTTGTCCATGATAGGTTTCGTTCAAGATAGTGCAAGTCGATCCCACCTATTTTGTAAAAAAGGTATCAATAGTAGACGCAGCGTGTGGTGAGTACTTGTAGCTTGCTTCAGGCGTTCGTGACTTAATAAGAACGCAGCGTTTCTAGGATTAGCGATAGATGAAATAAACATGCAAGCAGAAGCCAAGTTCGCTCTTCTTTCTTGTTAATGATTACTTTGGGCAAGACAATTGTCCAATATCAAAATCTTATGCACTATCTTTTAATGTTTAATTAGCCCACTAGTTCTGCATTTCAGCTACTTCATCAAATGATCTTGAAGAATTAATTAGTTTCTGAACTCCTCACCCGATACTGTTGTCACGGTTTCCTTAGAATAGCCACCTCGATCTTAACAAGAAAAAAAAATTAGCCACAAAATAGCCACTATATGCAATGTCATTTGAAAAAGATGACATTGACATAGATCTCCACATAGATCTTCTGTGATCCTTGAGGCAAGAAAAACATGTCGCAGAAACCCAAGAGCTAAATCCATAGTTTTAGTGATTCACTCTTACCATTTCCTTTTAAGGTCACAGTGACGGTGGACACAACAGTCTTCTTTGTACCATCTGGGAGCGTAATGGTCTGTGATAAAAAATGCATCCAAAAACAGTCAACTACTGGAAAAGGTTTCTTGAGCCATGTGTGGCTTATTTATTTGTGTATTTTTTGACAAGGATGTCTTTTTTCAAATCATTCTATTGTAATTTGATAATTCGTGTAGATTCTAAGAGTACTTTTATCCAAATGTCTTTGATTATAGAGTACTGGCGTGAATGAAATTCAACTTTTAATGGTAAGGAAAGATAACTACCTTGAAATCTGAAAATTTCAGAATCAAGAATTTATAAAGCAAATAACAAAACTCATGTATGTATATGGTATTGAATTCTATGTTAAATTTAGATCAAAATTTATTGCATTACTTTTTCCTCTGTCCGCGTCTCCACTCCTCTCGATGGTCTTTCCTCATGTTTCTGCCGCTGGTACACAGGCACAGAACCCTTTTTAGATGCTGATTCCCTCTCAGGAATTGTGACAGGCCCATCCTGCAACAACAACACACATTATTCGGCACAACGTACAATTGGCGTTCGGCGAAAAGCAATAATATACAGCACTCTCTCACGAGACCCTTAACAAAGAGATGCGCCACCATGTCGGTGCGCTAAAAGAGGGAACGCCTGATTAAAGACTACTTAATGCAATATCAAAAAACTTGAAACAAAACAGCAAAACAAAAAATTTCTGAATCAAACGCTCGAAGCACTCATAAGTGTCACGTACTTTGGACGGGAAAACATTCTCCGCAAAGGCCCTCATCATGTTTCCTGCTGGCCTGTAACGACCGACGACAAACTCTTTACCATCGACACTCTTAGCTCTACCAATGCCCAGCTCTTTACTGCCCTTCCACACAACCTGCGTAAAGTGACCGGTGTTTGACTGAAACCCAGGTTTACTAAAGTCATAATCCTTGACTTCGCTGTACCAACTGTTTACAGCATCGGTGCCGTCAATTTCGCGTCCAAACACCATAAATACATTTTCTCCGTCTTTTGTGTCGTCGTGTTCAAGGCGACCTTTTTTTGCGATTTTCTTTGCCCAAACCTCAGCATCTCGCGCCAAGGCGGTAGACCATGTCAGCGGTGGCACTTGGTGAGCTGCGCGAAATTTATTATGAGCTTCCAAAGCTTCTTTTCCGAAAGAATCCATATCACTGTTTTAGACTGAAACTGAAAATATCAATAAGCTAGTCGAATTGAAAATGAATCGCTCGACTGTGTCGTGTCGAAAAATTTGCAAACTGTCAAGTGATTAGCACATGATGGTTTTAACCTTCAATACGACATGTAATATAGAAAGATCAGCCCGCAATGCCCGCAATAGCCATCATGCATGTCTACGTCAAAATAACCAAGAGTGGTGTTGTTTATTGCGAAAGTATTCCCGAAGCATTTGTATCAAAAGAATACTCACTTTAAAAAAAATTGAGAGACTGGCATGGAATCGGGAAAATTTTAACGCAAAGTAAAAGAAACTTCGAGAGGGTGAATTTTTAGCAAATGACGTAATCTTTCATAGGAACTATCGAGTGACTTGTCAGTGGAGCAGTTTCAAAGTGCTCGAGGGCTGCAAATAAGCAAATGAAAACGAAATTCAGATTATGCTCTTTCGCATAACACCTGATACATAAATTACAATGCAATGATGAAAGAATCACTCGAAATTTTCCTTCATTAGAATGCTCTACGAACTAGTAAAAGACAGCTAAATGAAATGGTCTTAATATGTGTTTCGGAAATTGTTTCAATATTTACAAACCGTCTTTCTAACATTTGAACGCCAGTTTGGTTGATTCACACTTGAAGTTTTCCAATATAGATTTTTAAAATGAAAAATTACGAGGAACGAGCAAAAGAATAAATATATCAATTTATTTTAGAATGTTGACCCCGACGAGGTCGCCAATAATGGATTACAAAAGAAAGACGGACTCCGTGGAAACTAAATCCTTTAATTGGAATATCAGCCAAAAACTTGTAGAAAATTAATTCAAACACACTGTATATTTACTTTTATCTTCTTTTTAGTTTTCATTATGCGTATTGGTTTTTCCGACGACTTTGTGTGTGATTGGCACGTGTCTTTATAAAAAGACCAGGTGAAAAATTGTCCCTTCAGGTAATTATTTTTAAGACGATCGACATTTTGCTAACGGGTCCCATTAAAGTCGGCCGTCATCACGTAATGGTAGAGCCGAGAGAAAAGCATATCAAAAATTGCTTAACATATTTCTGCCGTGAAGAGCAGAGTATTTTGTTTAATATTGTGGACGTACACTTAAGTCATTATTTATCCATATCAGACACTACATGAATATTACATTTTCCGTTCAAGGCTCACCCATTTATAAAGATCTTTATCATAAAGTTCCCTGTCCAACAGTATTGACGTATTTTAGTTTAATGTTTTTTTTTTTCCTAAGTGCTCTGCAAGGGCAAGGTCAAAGTTGAGGCTCTCACAGGGACAAAGTTTTTTCCTTTAGACTGTGGGGAGACAATATGCAAATTTGATGGATGAAGTATATTTTTAGGAGTTTTCGCTTTCTAAAACCGACGTCGACTATTTTATTTAGAAAACTGTAACATTTTGTCTGGGTAACTGATTGAAATTTTGTCACATTTTTGAAAACGTCAGACCACTTTTTTTCTTTTGCGATAGCAGTTGCAAGTTTTTATTTTCTAGCCGCTTTATGCATGCATATGGACGATGTTTACAATTTTTTTAAGAATCGAATCTGGGCGATCATACTACCTAGAGCTCTAGGTAATATCAATTTAAGATTCCGAAGACGAACAAAAAAACACAATTTGACGAATGTCTTGCGGCTTTCCTGTCTGCAACTGAATCGAGAGTAGTCAAAGAAAATTCATTGTGACGACGTACTATCTCGCGTTGATTGTTTTGAAGACATGTGGTGATAAACAAAATAAACTCTATACCGCCTACTTCAACCAAAACGATCTCCTATATACTAAGAGACTGATTGGAAAAATTTCAACGAGAGTAGATAAGAACAAAGCAGTTTAGATACCTCTTAGAATTTTTCTTTTTTTCCAACTGGCCGTGAAACTGTAGACTTCCTCGTGTCCGAACAAGTGCTGTATTCAGACTGGTCCTCAGGAGTACAATGACTAGCTACTTATAATAACCAAAGCGGGTTGAATTTGCATAAATTAGTTAACATGTATTCTGGGCCCCTGTTCAAGACCACATGGTCTTTTAATCCATGTTTCAAATGCCCTGGGCCTTACTTTGTGGTTAACCTCTGCAGAAGGAAAAAATTCACAGAAACTTCCACCCATGGAGTACTCCTCACATTTTATTTTCCACATTTGTTACCACCACGTAACTTTAGTTACCAAGGAAAGTACAGAAAATACTTGCACCAAAATCTATAGTTACCACTCGACGTAAATAATATTTACTTATTGACTGAGACGAAGGGCCGGACGGGAAATCTTTGGTGCGAGGTCTAAATGGACCGAGCGCAAGGAGGTACCTACGTCACGGAAGGGAGCCATATTTTTTCCTGTTCGGCCCGACCGCAGTGATCAATAAGCAATTAATCAAATGAATACTAAGTGCTAAAAATTTAGAAAATTTCGTTTCAACCTATAGAGCACATGCTAGCATATTAAAGAAGGGCGCACATTGGAGAAGTACTAAAATGATTGTCAGAAAAAAACTTTTCCTTTTTCTCCTTCGTCATAATTTCCCATTTATTTTTGGTTGGAGTCCGCGATTTCAATTCACGTTCTCGGAATAGTCAAAAGAGCCGTTTGAGTGCAATGTGAGTGGTTTTCTTTCGAACCGGCTCACGTCATCCCGTTCTGCACTGCACACGTCAGCTTTCACTGCGGAATTGTGCGCGGAGATCCGGACATACGGGTCATTTGACATGTTTGATAGCTTTATTTATAAGAATACGACTGCATTACGACAGCTATTTCTACCAAGGGCAAGGATGCGTTATGGTTTTCCGTGACCAGTGCCCTCCCACATCATCTATCACACAAGAATGTTCCTTTAAGGTTCCAGTTAAGCACTGTGACAACAACAATGGGAATGAAAGAACTAGAAAGTCAGCGGGCCCCTTTGCCGAAAAACATATCTGTAATCCAGCCATAGAGGTACATAGTGTTTAAGTAACAATAGACCAGGGTTCTGAATAAGGCCAAGAATATATAGACTATAATTTAAAAATACTCTAACAGCAAAGTCAAAGTTGTAAATTAAACTCATTCCAAAAGAAGAGGCGAAGAAAATCAGACGAGTGACCCGGATTTCAAATCAAGAGGCCAGGCCAAGAGAAGCAGCTTATCTATTGCTGTTTATTTTTTCCTCTGGAAGCGTTCCTAGAAGAAAGTCATTTCTGTCCTCAAGTTGTAAAAATAAAAAAAATAAAAAACCTCAGTTAACACAGTACAAGATAATGTGTTTCTGCTCATTTCGGCCTATTGTTTACAATCACACCTATATACCCACTGAGATTTACACACCGTAAAGGCGCAAAATAAATTTTCATTCCCAAGCTGATCGAAAAAGCCGAGAGCCAATCGGATAGTGCCCATTTTTCACGAGTGCGGAAAACGATACGTCACTCGTCGGTTTGTATCGGAAATCTCACCCTTCATCGCCCTTCAGTCGTCATTTCGTCCTTCAGTCGTCATTTCGCCCTTCGGTCGTCATTTCGTCTTTCAGTCGTCATTTCGCCCTTCAGTCGTCATTTCGCCCTTCAGTCGTCATTTCGTCCTTCTGTCGTCATTTCGCCCTTCAGTCGTCTTTATCACTTCACCCCCAATTAAATAAAAGAAACGTGATAATAGATATGCTTCCACCATGAGTTCCACAAAACCCTTTGATTCCCAAAATTGATGAGCGTAGAAATATTCCTCTCATTAAAATATTTGATTCATCCCACGATCATATAACTTAAGGGCAAGCTAATGCGTAAAGTTTTTACTCAAATTATAAACATAAAGAAATAAATGAAATAAATGTAGGCACGCAATGCGTACGCAAATGAGTCCCATCTTCTGTACAACTATAATTTCTACGGCAAAAGCAAAGGCAATGCTCAAGATCAATTCGCTTCTTTTAATTCTTATACTTGCGTAGATGTAAGAGAAGTTTGGAACAGCTAAATAACAGAAGAGAAATTCTTCTGCTTCTTTTTTCTCTTTGGCTTCCATTTAAGAATGAAATGTGACAGTCACCCTGTCACCATCTCCCTCTCATTTTCTCACGGTTATGTTATAAGGGGCGTCTTGTTCCCTCCACTTCAAGGTTGAGAAACAGGTCGATAATAATGTTGCGATAAAGTCAGAAAATAAAAGTTGAATCAGTCTTTAAGTCAGCTTAATTGACCTCCCCTGCGTTTCTCTGTGTTTTCCGTTTATTCACTTTTCATGTCATCTACTAAGGAACCTGTTTAATTTTAAAGAGGTCACATCTAGCTTCTAATGGTGAGCCTTAGCTATAAAATGTTCTTTAAAAAAATATGTAAAAAACGGCATGAGGTCGGGTAGTGTAGTGGATTTATCTTGCGAACGCTAAGAGCTCGAACAGAGTTCGGCGCCGCGCTAAATTCCAGTACGTGTCCTAAATTTTCTTTTGGATTTTTTTACCAAATCGTCTTCTTTCTCCTTATGAGAAAGAAAAAAGCTCACTGTTTATAGGTATGGTGACAAAGAGAGAAGGAGAAGGAAGCAAATTTTCTAGAACCTTTTCATTGAAGTATTTGGACTGTGATCATACAAAAATCGTCTGGGTTCGAGTAAACATTTCTAAAATTACAATTTAAGAATGGTTGCACCTCCCTATTGGACTTCACAAGGATAAAATTCAGGCTTCAGCTTGAAATCCTTTTTCCTTTTCGGTGGAACGAGACTAACCGAGGAGCTTAGAGTCGATTATTATGAATCCGCCGTTTAAAGCAGAAAACTAATTTGAATTACAAATATTGTAAAATTAATATTCATATTTTCGCTCAGTCTTGCACGTGGAAGAAGCTTACGAGCTGCAAGAAATTTCAGCGTCTTTTCCAGCTTTTATGGATTCAAGAGACCCATTTTTTTACCTTATTACCTTGGATATCGTCAGTTCTGTCAAGGTCAGCGAGTGTTTGATTTGCTGAATCGCGGGGTTAACATTTGATCGTCGTCGAGGATTCATGATTGATTTTGTCCAGACTTTTCTTCAGGTAAATAACCTACGTACAGATATATTTTGATGGAATTGCAGTGCTCGTGTTTTTCGTTGTTTATAGAGTAAAAATTCATTAACTTATTCGAATGTAAGAAGGGAGGGCAAGATCACATAGCACAGGATAAGACAAATACTCAATGTCAGTCGCCATGACAGTTCCTTGCTCGTGTCTTTCATGGGATGCCGAGAAATTCGTTCGTTATTCTTTTCGCACTTATCACTTGTTTCCTTATTGTCCATTTCATTTCCGTATTTATTTGTCAAACTATACACAATTTTTATGCTTCTAGTGTTGTAAAATTAAGTTTGTTTTAAACGCGCTTGTTATTTCCCTTTAATCACGCTGAAGAAAGTAGAGAGTAACGGTTAATATGTTTTGTATGTAATACTGAATCTTGTTTTCTGGATATCAGAGGACTGATTCCCATCTTTCATGCTGAAACTGCAGATGGCAGTACTTACTATAATAATGTACTTGAGAAAATTACGCGCTTCTGATCGGCTGAAAACAAGTACATTCTCATGTAACACGAGCGCAACATTGTAAAACGAGTCAAAATTACAAGTAATATCATGATTTCTCTTGCAATTTGGTGTACTAGGCATTTGTAAATTTTCCAAAGACTTCATATTGCACTTGCCTTACGGGTTCGTCCAATTTTGTTGTCTTTGAAAAATTTACTCGTTAACACTAAATTGCTCTCGAAGTCATGTTATTGCCTATACTTATTTGTACTATCAAAGAAAACTGGTTTTCTCCTTTAATTCTGCATCAAATATGAGGGTTCCACGTATTTATATACACTAGTTTAGCTTAGTTTTTATGAACAAAGAGCTCACCTTACGAAAGGTTTATATGTATTCTTATGGTATTCACTTTTTTAGCATCAAACATAGGATGAAAAAGTATCGAAATCAAGAAGATCACGGGATAACATCGGACAAGGTTGGTTTTTAAGTTTTATAATTATTTTACTCATCTCATCTTGTAAATCCTTACAATAATGACAAGCCACTAAAGCTGAAAAATAGAGAAACAACAAAAGAAAATCAAAGCTGGCCATTTTATTCAATTTCTGAACTCTTTGATGTTCGTCTTATCAAGGTAACTTGCCGTAGTTTTCATTGCTATTGCTCAGCTCATGAACTAAAGCTACTGCCCTCAGTGTGTCTTTTGGTAGTGAAACACTGGTACTATAAATGAAATAAATCTGTTGTCCCCCAAAATTGTTTTTAAACCAATCGTCTGTCATCAAAAACTCATCATAGGACTGCTTAGGCCTCTAAAAAATTTTTGTAACGATAGTTAACAATGTTAACCCTTTTTTTTCCAAGAAGAACTGCAAGAAAGAAATGGGAACCCATCGAAATGAAGAAATTCAAGGGAGGAAAGAAAAATTAGATGGATTCTAACAAGGTTAGTTATTTGGCTTTTTATGGAAAATTAGGTATTTGAGCCTATTAGTCTATGTTGAACGATCTAACCTGGATTTAGCGAATATTTGTAATTAAAAAAATTACATGTATCAATAAGGAAGAGAAACTGCAAACGAAGAAATGAATCTAGTTTTGTTTTCTGATTTCTAGGACCTGTCTCTGATTAAGGTGGCTTTCAGTTGTTTACAGCACTGCTCGTTTATTGAATCAACACCACCATGAATACTTTTTTATCTGTTTTTATGAAACATTGGTGTCAAATTAATTCCTATCTGATGTATTTTGCATCTAATGACCAGCCATCTGACCTATCGTGCTACCATAGCAACGGTTTAGTCTGCAAAATTATCTCTGAGTTTTAATATCAGAAAATAATGGTCACAAGAATCTCGATAGTCTCATTTTTTTTCCTACTATCTTGCAAAGTGTAAACATTTGACCAGGTATAATATCATGATTGTGGCAAGCCAT